CCCTAACGTTTCGGTTTGGAAAAACCTCAGGTTAGAAATAAATGATCAGATTTTCTTGTTTTCATTTGTCTGTGTCTCTTTCGCCTCACTCATCCTTCTCTCGACTCTATCGCCACAGGTTCGCTTGTGCTCTGCTCTCACTGTTAGTTCACGTTGGTCGTGCCCTAACGTTTCGGTTTGGAAAAACCTCAGGTTCGCTTGTGCTCTGCTCTCACTGTTAGTTCACGTTGGTCGTGCCCTAACGTTTCGGTTTGGAAAAACCTCAGTTTTAGTTTCATTACCTCTAAATAGCTTCCTCCAGATTTGAGGGATAATAATGATAAATAATAAATACATTCCGTTGTAAAGATAGGAAGAGGGTCTTGAACCCTCTGAGGAGACAGTTAAGTCTGATCAATACATACAGTATAACTAATTCAACATCGAAAGCTCTGACGGTTTGAAATACCTTAGAATGGAATTCAAGAACAATAAATAATGATTTTTGAGGTTCATGTGTTTAATTATGGGGGCTTCCTGGATACCTTCCGGCCAGAATTAAAGTAATGTTTCATCGAATCAAAGTCATCTTCATTAATCAGCTTGGCAAAAGTTTCCATGGAATAACAGACTGTTTGAAGGCGGAATGGAGTGTTGGATTCTTGTCGGACTGAATGGTTTTGAGGATAGTTCAAGGGAAATCCAGTGAAGCTCTCGACCCTCGACATCTGAACCATGCACATATTTTTCCTGACCCTCTGTCTTTGCCAGAGGCTTATAGCAAGCATGACGACATGGGCGGTGTCTGATTCAGAGGCTCCAGGAGGGTCTAACCCACATCAACCTGGCGCACCCAAAGCGGCCGCAGGGCTCAAACCATTTCAAGGTGATTTCTGCGAATGGCAGGGGGTTTGGAGGCACACAAACTTGAGAAAACACCTCCAGAGTCAACACGTGTGCTCAACCAAAAGTTTTGATGAATTTGCTCCACCCCTAGCTGATGAGTTCTTCTCAACTTTAATTGCCAACACAGCAGTGCTGGATGTTAGCAGGGTTTTATCCTTCAATCGTAACATTCCCACTACCATTTCCGGCAGACTATATCTGCACATCAATGGGAATTTTGCCAGTAACCTTGCTCCATTGAGTTTCATCTGATCTGTTATGATAATTGAGTGTACTCTGTTCAGCTTTGTGCTCTCAAGAAACTCCATCGAGAATCCTATCTCAATTTCGATCCACTCAATCTTTAACAGCAAAAAGACTTGCTCACGTATTCTTCTGTTGAGCTCAAGCTCATGTGATACTCCAGCCAGGTCAACCAGAGACAGCGAATTCCCACCACTTTCGGTCGGAAAAAAAGCAATCGCGAAATAGAGGCTGTGTATAAGCAGGCTCCATGCTAGAGATAGGATTTGTTCCTCTGGCCAGAAATGAGCATGATATATTCAGTAAGAAAACAAACAAATCCCCCAAGTCAATTTGAGAAGACTTCTAAGTGGGTGGAAGGACCGTAAGCGCGCATTGAACCATTGAGATCATGACCAGTGCACTTAGTGTAGGCTTCTGACAATTTTAATATTACAATGCAATCGAAACAAAGTCAAGGAATTGCCATAAAACTCTTTATTGTAATTGGATTTCATGGATTGGGTTTATCGACCTTCTTCCTCATTGTCAGGAATCTGATCTTGCAATTTTAATGTTTTAAACTACCACTTGTCTTAAACAGCAGCTCATTAGAGATGTACCTAAGCGCAGACTAGGGCAACAATCCCACTTCTAAAGCGTACAAGCTCCTTTCTTTGAATTCTCATACAAAATTGATACACGATTAGTAGTAGTACTCCCAAACATCAATTGAAGCGAGGCCCATCAATTAAGTACCCTAAGCCCAGTGCAGGCTGGATGTTCAGCTCAAGAAGATCATCTTCATCATTGTCTCTCTTTCACTTCAATCTGATTGCATACATAGCTAAAAATTCATGGGCACGAACAATCATGGATTGTAATGTTTTTTTTTGTAGATGATTGATTACGACCTTGAATAAAATACCTACATAACATTGTTTATTGTATCCAGCTTCGGCCAGATGATTTGGCCCTCTCAAGAAGTATTTTTCTTGTTGACTCACGACAAGAGGCTCAACAAAGATGTGATTAATCTGCCACTAGTTGAGTTGAGCCTTAGCGGTTGAATTCAACGGCGATCGGATTAAAGTAAGGAAGGGACACGCATACAGACAATGGGAATTCATAGTCTTTCAACCTTTAAAGATCACATAAGCTTCTCAACCTCCTTCCACAAAGGTGGGATGGCCACAGGGCAAATTTCTGCTACAGACTAGTTTTTTTGTATCTATTTCACCTACACATTGATGAGCAATTCAATACATACAACATTCTATTGCCAAACACAAAATGATTATGAAAGGGGAAAGGTGTGACTAGCTTGTTTGGCTTCCCCTTTGTCATATTGCTAGGGCAAGGCTGAGCCCCAGTCAGAAAGCTGCTGCTGTCTGGCGTGGATTGATTATAAAAGACTGCCCAGGACTTTGCTCTGCCTCCCAATTCCCCTCTTTCATCCACACCCAACCAACACATCCTCTTCTCCCTTCCTCTCTCTCTCTCTCTATTCCCTTCAGGGCACGCCGGTCATAATGGCCTCTCACACTCCCCCTGTTACCTCTCCCCTCGCCCACCCTGGCCAAAGGCCCGCCAAACCCGTCCGCTTTGGATCCCGCAACTGCCGCCCCAAATGTTGTCTCCTTGTTTGTATCAAAACCGCTCACAAGATGCCCATGGTTACCTCAAGCGCTACCCACTCCTACCGCTACACCGACAATGGTGGAATGGAACTCTTTTCCGGGAAGGGAAAGCTGGATGTCCTTGAGCGCCGGGTCTACCCTGAGGACATGATGCCAACTCCAGAACGCCCAACCTGAATTTCTTGTAAGCTTCTTCTTCTTCTTCACTCTGTTGTCTAATTCCATCACCCATCATCCTAACCAATTTTCTAACTTGGATCAATCTATTACTTCTCTTGAAAGAATTCATCGATTCCACCTGATTCCTCCATTGTTGAACTACTATACTGCCACATCTTTCAACTTTATCACGGTAAGCGGTCTATCGATCATCATTAGAACAAACTGTTTCAACTACTAACTCTGATGATTCCAGGCTTCCATAATTCTTTCTTGTTCTTGGACAAAACACGGACCTTAGCTGCCGAGGACCTTTCCACAATAAATCCAGCCAGAGGAAAAGGTGAAGATTTTTTCTAAAGCTTGATGCAACTCAAATTCAATCTGTTACTGATTATAACCATTCATTTGCCTCATCAATATTTCCACTTGGCCTTGCCAACTATAGCTCCTCAACATCACCCCCCCATACCCATCTTTCCTTGTTTTTCACAGCCTTCAAAGCCTCTCTTTCCTTTGCCAAAACTTGTATTCTAACTGTACTTTTAACTATCTCTTGATTACCACAAGTCTTCTGTTTTCTTTTTGGCCTGATACAATCATTAAACCTCTTTCAAACCAATTCATGTTGGAATAATTGGATCTTATGAGGAACCACTGATTTGGATGATTTTATGAGACTCCGCTTTCAAAACGATCTGGTGAAACACAAAGGAAGAAGTAATCAAGCACTCTTTGATTAATTGGTCTTACTATCAATAAGCATTTAATAATCATCTGCTTTGCTAAGATTTTGGTCAATTATCTGAATAATGTAAGGCTTTTGACATGTCAACCACTTGATGGGGAACTCTCACAATCTATTAGGACCATTGCTTGTAGCACAATTGGCACCCAGCATTGCACCTTGTCTTCTAACAGAGAAGTCATTTTCATGGAATCAGAGTTTTAATTCCTGCCTATGTGGCTCTGAAAAAAGTTGCCTGTCTTTATATTAAAAAATATCTTCCACAAGTAGGTATGCCCTGCATCCTGGATCCTTCCATATTTCTCATTGAAAATTTGATATGACTAATATTATACATAATAATTATCCACAATAAATAGGCTTCAGGTGAGTGTAAGATTATCTACATAGCTTCATACAGATTTTATGGATTAAAATGATGGTGAATATACTCTGTCTCATCATGAGGTGAAGAGGAACTTGACCCTTCTGGTGAGAATATCAAGAGGTTATCTATGTCCCAAATACACCATTCCTAATTTGCCTCCAAAAGAAAGTCTTTTTGTGTGAAATGCACAATAATGGAGCTCAAGAACAAGGAATAGTTATCCTTGAGGTTTATATTTTCAATTATGGGGGGGGGGGTTATACTACACACAGTAAGTTGCCTCATATTCTACAGACTGATCAAAAGCATGACCTTAAGACTTGAGTGGATCTTTTTTCAAAGTGATACAGGTGCAATCAACATCAACATGTACTCTAGGCTTTTGTTTTTTACAGATAGAGTAAATAATTGGGTTGAACTTTGAAATGCAAAATGGGGGCATCCAGCATTTCAAAATTATAATTTGCAGTGCAGTTTGCATTGAAATCTCTTTCTCTCAATCAATCAGCTTTGAGTTTTCACAAGACTTTCAAGTTCCAGCCAATCTTAGCAATTCTTCATCAAATCAGCTTCAACCTCAAAAACAATTTGTGAAATCCAATAATTTACTCTAGTTCACATTTTCAGCTGAGCTTAGCTGCAGACCAGTGTGTTTGAATTAAAAGTGCCTTTGAATAAACATTGTGTATATCATTTCATCATAAAAAAATCAGCTTGCAAACGTAAACATGATGTGATCAAACCTTTATTCCCATAAACATGGCTGCAGTCATTTCAAGGTGTAAAATTGCAGGATACATAGAAGAGTTTCACATTTTTGATGTGAGATTCAAAAAACAAAAAACAAAAAACATACACGTGAGTGAGGGAGATCAACCAAGTTGGAAGTCTATTTTTTCCCATCTTGCAATTGATCACAACTTATAAATTTAGAAAAAAAAGAGGGAGACCAAAAGAGAAAACAGCAGGATTTCAACTTGAGATTCACTGAAAAAATGAAAGTTTCAGTCCAATATAAATTAATAAGAAGAAGAAAGGGTTCAAGAGGGGGATGATTTCCTGGATTATTTGCAGAATTCAACCATCTAATCAAGCTTGTGAGATGTTGTCTGACAACTTGTGACACCAATTGGATAATGTTTTTAGTATGGCCAGTGGGAGTAACTCTGGATCCTGAACAGGTCTGGTCTACCTTCAATTGTAACCAATTTTGAATGGGCACTTTATGAAACAGGTGTCTGCATGAAGAGACAACGTGTAGCTCTTCAGGATTGAGAGTTTTGGCAAGGCAAATGGACACTGATTTAGTTCTGTTGCATTTGTCTTTTGAAGAGCGGGATCGGCTGCTTCTTGTTGTAATTGATTACTAATTCATGAGATTCAGGATTACCTTTTTTACGCTACAAGCGGGATGACTTATTTCCCACATCAGAGATATCTTCAGTGGGCCTTATTGGGTCTGATTTGGTGATTTTTTCACTCTGCTCAATTCATTTATCACAGAGTGTGAGTACCGGATACCATGACTATGATTCGGGACTGACTCACTGACTGAAATGAAGAGCATTTGGTTGGCCACAATAGGGGGGTTCATGATAGCCTCCGACCAGAAATATTTATGTGAACCACCAGCAGCCTTAAGCATGCTGCGCACCAAACAACTGTAGTGAGTTTTAACTCACCATGAGTGAAACACCAGAAAATTTTAGCTATGGAAACGCTTGCAACCCCACATCACCAAGCCAGCTAAAAAAACCAGGCAGCTCAACACCCCATAGCCATTTCGATCACCACGGCCTATCCCGCCAACGACTCACCTCAGACAACTCACCAGATCCCACCGACAAGTCACCATGCACAAATATAGCGAACGACAACAGATCCTGCGGGATCTATTCATGATTAGGATTTTCCTCCACCAGCAGGAGGGTGATGACCTCATCGACTCCACCTTGAAGATTCCCACCATCCCCTCACTTGGTACTATTTCGGCCCGTAACAATCACGGCCGTGCTTTGGTGCTAGATGCTCTATTTGACGATGAAGCGACGGTGTCCGACCTCTTGCACTTGGTACTGTCCAACCGATACTTGAATGACCGCCGGCCTCCTATGCCTCGTGACGAATTTGACTTATGTCAGCTGTTCAACATGCGCGATGAAGATTTCAAGCAGGCCGTCCGGACGACAAAGTCGGGATTCACCTGGCTATTGAGCCAAATTGCTTTTAACCCTATATTTCACAGTGGCAGCTTTCGTCCGCAACTGCCGGTCCCGCATCAGTTGGCTCTGACTCTCGAGAGGCTCGGGTCAAATGGGAATGGCGCCTCGGTTGGGCGAATTTCGAGGAACTTATGCGTAGGCCGTGGAACCGTGATCAAGGCAAGTCGCAGAGTGATCAGGGCGATCAACGATATGGGCCCGACATACCTACGCTGGCCTGATAAGGATCGAAGGAAAGAAATCTCTGAGGTGATGAAGGCTGAAGGGTTCGAAGGTTGTGTTGGATTTGTCGACGGAACGACGATTCCACTGTACCAGCGACCATCAATTGATGGGGAGGTTTTCTTCGATCGAAAGAAGCGGTATTCAATAAATTGTCAGGTCATATGTGATTGCGACCGGTTCATCACGGGTTACATGACAGGGTGGCCGGGTTCATGCGGCAACAGTATGGTCTTCAAGAGGATGAAGGTACATAAGGAGCCTGATGATTTCTTTGATCCTGGTAAGCAAGACATCTTTGTTGGGTGGCTCGTTTTGTATGGATCTTTTGTTGGATGGCTCATTTTGTATTGATCGTGCCCATACTGTCATGATTCCACAGGTCAATATCTGATTGCCGACTCAGCCTACGAGTTGGGTGTGCATTGCATACCTGCGTACAAGGCCCCGGCGGCCTACATCAGAGAAAACACTGAATTCAACTATTGTCTGGCGCGATCCCAAGTACGCAACGAACATACGATCGGGATACTGAAGGGCCGATGGGCTTCACTCCAACAGCTAAGATTGGCAATCCAGAAGCCATCCGACATGATGGAGATAATTCGATGGGTCAACTGTTGTGTGACCTTGCATAACATGCTTGCCCACCTGGGCGATGCATGGGATGTATTGGAAGCCAACATGGAAGATACTGGACCAGCTCGAGGGGAGGTACATGAGGATAACGCCAGAGGACACAGGGATTCGATTCAGTCAAAATGCTTAGATACCAACTACGCCCTTGGTATACTACCCATGTGACTTATTTTTTTCATTGCCATATGCAGCTAACATCATTTAAAGTTTTCATATGTGTAATGAGAGTGAATTAATCTATTTGCACAAGTCACAATTTTCTTGTCTGGTATCTGATTGCGAGATCCTCATGTGGTATTAGTGGACTCGTTGTCTGATTGGCCGTCTTCGGTAGGGGGCTGTCCATCTTCAATGACTTCCACAAATTGGAACTCTGATGGCCCTAAGACTGGTGACAGTAAATCCCAGTAAGGGCAGACCCGTCGGGCATAACCTGAGGGATGCACGGCTATATCTTGTAAGTTTTCATACTTGTGATGGGCAAGGTGAATGATATGGAACCCACCAAGGATAATAGGCTCTTGACTCCGATGAGCGCCTGTCGCATACATGACAAATTCATGAGCGCACATGTAAGACCTTCGCAGGAGTTGGAGCTTCCGATTTATATCTAAGGTCTCAATCCAGGCTCATGAGTCGAATAGGCTGGCTGCAGGGTGTGGAAGGGGAGTACACATACCTCTGGGTTCTCGTTCGATGTGACCTTGAATCCGCAAGAAAGCCTGGATCTCCAAGCAAACATTTTCACGCTCCTCTCCGTCCATCATCGTAGCCACCCATTGGGCATAGTTGCCTTCAGCAGTCACCCAGATAAGCAGTATTTGAATACTGGTGAGGCCCCCATCAACTGCGTCGCGATCCCATCGAATTCGTCGTCTTGTAGGTTGATCATCCATGATCGGTGTGGTTTCAAGGGTGGTTTGAGTACTAAGGGGGACATAGGGAGTGCTGGGTGACGTCTATAGCATGATACAGGACTCCACTGTTTTGCTGTATCAGAGGTGGCTTTTATGGCCGCCCACAATTTTGTATTACACGTCACAGTGTGGCATGAACTAGTCTTGCCATTGTCCCTCCTATGTAAGATGACCATGGCCACCGATGGGCACACATTTATGGCCACCTGTGGATCTAACTCATGATTGCAGGCCAAAGGTATAATTTGCAAATCATCATTGGTGGCCTTGGGTATAATCTGAATAATAACTCGCAAACAACTAAGAATAACCAGGCCACACTCGAAAAAGTCAAGCGTGACAAATCCACCGTAATTAGAGAGATAACAGAGAATTGACATGCTATAGTAAACAAAAAATAAAAGATAGAAGGGAATATCATCAAGGTGAGATTCCAGCGAGACACGTGTCGAAGGAACTGCCCGGCGTGTTGACCATTGAACGAAATCCATGCGGAATGGATTCTCAAACCTGAGTGAATAGCCAAAGACTGTCAGCTGCTGTATCCAATCAAGGCCAATTATATGACAGACCAACCTAGTCGGTCCAACTCAATCATCTTGTCAGTCCAACTCAACCATAGATGGTCTTCAAGAGCGCATCGACCTCGGACGCGGTTGTTCCGCTTTTGAGCAAATCTTGAGCCGCCGCCAGCTTTGTTTGTGCCAGTGTTGCGCGGGCCGCCGCGAGATTCTTCGCCTCAGTTATCTCCTTATCAAACCGTTCCTTTTCCCACTCGAGGCGATTGTCCTCCTTAGCCTTCTCCAAAGCCATATGCTGCTTGAGGTACGAGAACTTGTCGGCATTTGAACTTTCGAAAGCCGAAGCCAGAGACGTCTTAGGACGAGGAACTTCCCTAAGTGGCCCCCCGGGACTTGCGTCGGCCGATGGCTGGTTGGCAAACGGACGACGGCCAATGCTGCGGCTATTGCTTGCGTTTCCTCCACCGGTATCGGGAGTGCCCAAGGGGGACCCTGGGGGGCCTATGCAAGCCAGGGAACAATGCGTCATCAAACAGGGCGAAGCATCCAATGCGGTCCCACTGAGATTGAGCGGAGGCGGGAGATCCGACTCATCGACCCGGTCATCCGGAGTCTCAAGCGGGTCCTGCGGGAGATCGTCCTGGGTTTCGTCCCACCCTGAAAAGAAGATCTCCTGCGATTCGTTGAGAGGCCGACCTTGCGAATTGGGATAAAGATCGGCACCCACCCCAGAGTCATGCTGAGCCAAGGGGGTCACATTAGCCTTCTGCCCAAAGATCCCGTACATCCTCTCGTAACACGGACACTTCTTCTCCAGGAGCTCGGCTAGCGTGGGTAAGTCGTCACCTTCTTCAATCCCTGCGCCGGTATTTTCTGCCCAGTCTTTGGCCTTCAAGAAACGCTTCTTGTAGCCATCGATCCTTTGGCGTAGCTGGCTGCCGGTGAGACGGAGGCGACGGTTTGAATTGTCATTAACATAGATCGCAAATATGTCATACGCGGCGGCCTTGGTCACCTTGGTGGTCCCAACGGTGGTCTTGGACCCATCACCGTACAGTTGGGTGTAGTTTGATTCCTCCTCTAGGTAGCTACAGACATGCTCGTAGTCCTCGGCGATGAATGGCGGGTTGGCATCGGAAACGGGTGGTTGTGACCCTGGTGGGGCAGAGCCGGGTCCACTGGAATGTGAGTCGGCATGAGGTGCACGTTGCGAACCCCGAGATAGGTGTCCACGTGGCAGAGCTTTACGTCCTCGTTTCCCCTTGGCCTTGGCCAGCGACTTAGCCTTCTTGACTCGATCCTGTTCAGCTCGGTACAAGATCATCTCATCTTTGGTTCGTCGTGGTCGGGGGCCCTTCTTACTTGGAACACCTTGAGTCTGGTTGGGTGAGTCCGTCGGGTCAGCTCCCTTGGGCGAAGAATCAGTACCAAGGTTGAGATGAGAGACGTTTGGGCCGCCGCTTGGGGATTGGGCCACAGTTTGCCCCAATGGGGACAAGTCCATTAAACTAGGATCCAGCTGAAAAGGCGATCGAGTCAAGATTGATGCAGTGTCAGTCCGCAAATGCCTAAAATCACCGTTGAAGTTCCACAACTGAGAATGGCATACCTGACTGACAGACATGCCTGATTTGTGAAAAAAGAAGTTGGAAGGATTGTGTTGCACTGTTGTGGCCGCCGAAAAATTTCCAATCGGAATAGGCACTGTCGTAAGTGTGATGTGATTGTCGTACTTAGTGTTGAGAGGGAGTTGATGAGGGGGGTGATCCGGTTGAGGGCACTTAGTGTTGAGAGGGATTTGATGAGGGGGGTGATCCGGTTGAGGGGCGGCTGAGGGGGGTGATGTGTATATTCAGGAGCTGGCACGGATGAGGCAGGACGTGTGTGGCCAAATCAGATTCATAGCCTTCCACCAAAAAATTTTATGGATGTTGGTGGTTGACTGCGGCAACTTTTTAGCATAAAATTTAAGCATAAAAGTTGACCAGAAATAAGAATAAAAATGCGAGACCATAAGCCAAAAAGGCTATCATGAACCCCCCTAATATGAGAGCATTTTCTGAAGATGCGATCCGGCTGGGATCAGCTGAGCTTAGAAGTTGTGCCATTTCAATCTCCTTAGTTGCTACTTGAAGTTGAGACGCAAGCCTAGAGATTCACTGACGGTATTCCATCCCCAAGCCGGTCTTGGTGATTTGTGCAAGAAGATGTCACAGTTAGCCCTAATTTTCTTAATCAATGAATTTGGGAGAACCACAAGGAACGAAGCTGAACTAAGAGTGATACATGTTCAAACCAGGTCGGCATGCAACTAACTGGAAACCTTGACATTGAGATTTGTTATTCTTGGTGATATTGTTACTTGAATTGATGCCAGGATGTTGCATGAACATCCGGTAGCAGCTGATGCTCTTGATCCAGCTAGTCTGTCAAAAATGATTGCGATCCCAAGCGACAGCTCTGCAGGCTGGAAAACTTCGCTTCAAAGCTGTAGCGGCGCTCAGGTCCGAGAGTTAGAGCCCCGGGGCACTACGGGACCCGCCGGTTTTTTCTTAAAATTGAGCATGACATGGCATGGAGTTAGTGAATTTAATGACCCCTCAATCAGACAGGTTTCAAAGCTTAAAATTTCCTCTTTGCCAGAGTGGCCCTTTCTACTTCACCGAGTGCAGCGTTGCTGGCTTGGCGACTCCCTTCAAACTCGGTGCAGCGCGAACTTGGGTCAAGAGAACTCTCAGATTGAATCATCTAATCAACTGGAAAAATAGATAATACGACGGAATCAAATCTCTTTACCCGAACAGAAGCACCGCAGTAAGAATCCAAAATGGCTTTGATGGAGGGTAATGCTACCCTTGTCCGCTGAGAGCAGAGGTCTGGGTGGACGACTCCACACAAGAGCTCTCTTTCTCTCTCTTTACATGTCCCAAGTCATGATCGATTCAAGCCTTCAGATGCCCATTTTCCGCGATAAACCAGCTTCAGACTCATAGCATGTATCGACAGATCTCAAAATAGTGCATTGAGGAAAATTGAATCAAGGCACCCAAGTGAAACTATGCAGAAAACTAACAAGATATGAATGTAACTAAAAATGGTAGGATAACCTAGGTAACCTCCTGTTAAGAGGCGTTCCAGAGACGCGGACGCCACTATGACCAAGCATCACGCCTCCGCGTGAGAACTAGAAGTGGAACAATACTGCCCTTTTCACCGGGGTGCACCCCATGACTGCACGCCCCAGTGCTGTCTCGGAGGCGGGCTGGCGGCGACTAGGATAAATATATGTGCATGTATGTTTTTAAAAAAATTGACACACTTCTTCCGGGCGGACTAACTTTTATCCCGATTGACCCGCCTCTGGCAAGGATTTCTTTCAAGATAAACTTATCCACAGAATTTCTGCTCAGGCGCAAGGCTTTCTACAGACATACGAATATAGATTCTTTCAAACCAGTGGCAGCGGCGTGTTCGTCGGCTGCCTACTTTTAGTCCACTTAAAACTGTTGTATGTACCACCTGAAAGGCTTGAACCATGGTATTGAGGCTGGGAAAAAGGAATGGCGCGCGCTGACTGCACGAGCCGGGCCTTCTTTCTCTGTACCAACCAAAAGGCTATCCATTGCTCGGAGGCACATACTGTCACGACGGTCTTGCAGGTGTATATAAGGAGACCCAGCAGAGGCCAACTGTCGACATCGCTCCCTCACCAGACCAGAGAATCACAAACTTAACCACCCAAGTCCCCAACTATCAACATGAACGCGTTCTTCAGCTGCTTGATCTTCATCAGTGTACTCAATCCGTTGTTATCCAATGGTTTAAATCTCTCCGCCAAAGACGTGAAGAACTACATGCGAACGTCTAACGTTGAATTTTGTGAGTTCCATAGTCGCTACTGTACACCTTGCGGCACCCAATCAGTACTGAGAAATTCCTCATCCATTTTCACAGCTGCTAATGATGGCGATTACCGGTGCTCTCATTGCGATGTATTTGGTAAGGAGATTCTGCTGATCACGCCTTCCTCTCCAAATTTAAACACTCAAAATATGCCATTCAATCACATAGACGCCGATGGTTGTGACGTGTCAGCTGGCGCTCAAGTCAATACCAGACGAACCTGCGACCTGCAATATAAACCGCAGGCGGACGGAATTTGTAAGCCAGACACTCTTCAAACCCCGTAGTCTTAGTGACTTGCCCAAAAGATGCGAGAGTACATAGCCAGCTGACTTATCTATCAATTCAAAATGTTCATTTTTAAACCAACGATACATAGTTTGCGAGTCTACTTGCATAGGGACCAAGAATCCTTCTTCCGTTAGATACATCTGCAAATCGCTAGTCTCCGGCACCGGTAGTAAGCCCACTTCCCACTCTTAATATCCCGCCCTTCATCCAAGATGCAGTGACTAACCGAAAAACTGCATTTTAGCTAAGGGTTGCACAAATTGCATGAAAATTCCTTGATGGCGGCGAGGCTTTTTTCATGCTGGATGAATGCGCGAAGAAATTAAGAACTGTAGAGCTGTTTATCGTGGCTTTTCGGAGAAGGACTAGAAGTTGGAATGAATGCACATATTTACATAGTAAAGATTGATGTCGTCTATGGTCGATAGCAGTATTACACGCATAACTCAACTGAATCCTCTCGTTTGGTTGGGCCTGGCGCGCTGGAAGCGACTGGCATGTCCCAGGGAATAATTGTTCGACCGGGATTTGATAGGAATTTCTGCAGCTTTCGTCCGGCTATGAGCATCTGAGCATCGAATTCGTGCCATTTCGGTTTCCTTAATCGCTACTTGAGACGCAAGCCTAGAGAGATCCGCTGACGGTACTCTATCCCCAAGCCGGTCTTGGTGATCTGTGCAAAAAGATGACACAGTATGATCCATGAATTTGTAAGGAACGCCGCCGGAGCTGAGAGAGGCACATGTCCAAACCAGGTTGGCATGCAACCAACAGAAAACATTGACGTTGAGATTTGCGATTCTTGGTGATATTTTTGCCTGGATTGACGAGCAGCTGGTGCTCTTGACCCAGCTAGTCTGTCAAAAATGATTGCGATCCCAAGCGACAGTTTTGCAGGCTGGACAACTTCGCGTCAAAGGTGCAGCGGCGTTTCAGAGCCTGGATTACGTAGAGCCTCGCGCCACTCTGGGACCCGGCAACTCGCCAGTGTTCATTCTCGCAAAATCATTGAGCTTAACATCGAACTTAACGCAGTCCCTCTCCTTGGGCAGAAAGGGGGCGCGAAGCGCGACTTCCCGAATCTCTGTGAGACAAAGACCCTGGGCCTGAGGGCCTGCCCTTCGGGCTCTCACTCGAGAGGCTTGTGTTAGGCTCGGCTTAACATAGCGTGCAGTAATTTACATTTGATAGCGTTTGATGACCCCTGCACCAGAAGGGTTCAAAGCTCTTGCAGCCTATCTTTGTCAGGGGAGCTTATCCACTTGACCGAGTGCAGCATTGTTGTCGACGCGTGGCGACTCCCCTCAAACTTGGTCGTTTGAGACATTCACGAATTTTTCTACGCCTCACTTTTGGCCATGGGATTCGGAAGGATGATCGCGTTGCCTTCTTGCTCGTCCGACTGAGTCAGTCCAGTTGAAGAGCTGTCTTCATAAACACTTATCTTCATTCTTGATCGAACAAAAACTTCAGATGCCCATCTGGGAAGCTAAACCAGACTCATCGCACGTATCGATAGAAATGTGCACTGAGAAAATTCAGTAACCCTCCCAACAAGAAAGAAGTCAATCAGACGAGTGGATGTCCCCCCAAAAAAACTCACAAGCCAGGTTGGGATGTAATTATAACCAGACCGATTTAAAAATAAAAATGAAAAAAAGTAAGGACATCGAACTGGATACTCTGGCAATCCAAGATGAGAATCGATTTCGAGCTGGTTGTCAGGAGACTCAGCAAGTTCTACTGTCTCTCTCAGCCAGGCCGGAAGCCTCTCTTTTTCCGCCCATACTTTTTGGCTTCCTTTAGAGAAAATGATAATGATGAATAACGAGAAGGTTACGACCAGACAATGCGACTGACTCAGTTTGGCCAAGCTGATCAAGAACGCGGATCCTGTGAGGCGGATGACGACGAAGGGTTGGCTGCCAGTCGGAATCCGCATTGCAGGTTGCTCGACTTAGGAAAATGGAGCCCTATGGCTAGTGATATAAAACACGCCTATCTTGTCGGGTTAAGAAGGTATCCATCCATCCTTCCTATACATATCTTTTCCAATAACCGGCTTTTTAATAATCGTTTGACCTCGACATTCACACTTTTAAACACCCAATTGACAAGAATCACTCAACTTCGCACTCTTGGAACCTTCAGGTCTACTAGAAATACCTGACGCACACATACCAACAGCATTTACTTGTTCACACAATCAAATAGCCAATCGAACACTTTTCGTCAAAACAAGCAATATGCAAATCACTTTACTTTCCATCGTCGCGGCCATGATGCTCAGCGCCCCTACAGCTTCGGCACGTCGAGGCGTAAGTGGACTGAATCAATCTTTTTTTGTATTCCAGCTGTGGTGAATAAAATCTTACCAAAACAATCAATCTGATTTTACTTCTTTTGTTTTGAACAGGGCCATGCTAGAAGATATGGTGGTGGCTACGGTGGTGGCTACGGTGGAGGCTATGGCGGAGGATTAGGTTATGGTGGGGGCCTAGGTTATGGCGGAGGCCTAGGTTATGGCGGAGGTCTAGGATATGGTGGAGGATTAGGTTATGGTGGAGGGCTAGGCTATGGTGGAGGACTCGGGTACGGTGGGGGACTAGGTTATGGTGGAGGACTAGGGGGCGGTTATGGATTATACCGACGACAGTTAAACTTGAACGAAGAACAACCCAGCCAAGAAGGCGCTGGATCCAATCAAGGGGACTTTGGCTCTAATCAACAAGGCCCGAGATTTAACCAAGAAGGATCCGGATCTACACAAGAAGGCTCTGGATTTGGTCAAGAGGGTTTGGAACCCGTTGGAGAAAGAGTTGAGTGGATTCGCAAAAGTTGACCTGCATCAACTTATCCGGCTGACTGATCTTTGTTGGATTCTCCAGGCATTCCAAGGCGGCAATGATTCCGAGGGACAACAAATGGCCACCGAGGGGACCTTCCCAGAGGACTCATCGACCGAGCGCACCCTTTCAGACGACTCGTCAGACGACCAGGAGTCCGGCGACGACCAGTCGGCCGACCAAGATTCTTCTTCCGACGAAGAGCAACCAACCGGTGTACCTGAGCAAGCCGAAGACACCAACACCCAGGAGGACCAATAATCCACTCTTTCCTCATCTTTCCTTTAAGCGAGAGGCCTCCGACACCTTGGTAATCAATCACCTACCAACTTGTTCAAAATTCTTTCTAACTCCTAAATAAATTATTCTTCAGGGACGCTTTGCCATCTTCTTCTGCTTCTTCTTCATCTTCTTTTTCTCTTTTCAACTTTGGGAGATTCTTCAATCAACAGGGGGTGTTTATACCGGGTTTCATCATGTATACAATTTTTTATTCTATCTTCATTTTTTGGTCAACTTGGGAATCTTAAACACTTTGGAAATGCTACGGATTTATCTTGCATTGACTGTGACATGTTAATGAATTTAAGTGGTGCCTTCTGACACAAGACTGTTGGACATGAACAAGGGACAGGATGAGCTGCCTGAATGACGCCTTCTTAAAAAGAAGATTGTTGAACATGAATAGAAAAGGCAAAGTCTAATTATGAGTAGAGTGACCACTGACCGCCAATACTCTGCGCAGCAAGGCGCTTGAGTAAGTTTTTAAGTGGGAAATGACCCGGGTCAATTGGCATTGTTAGCTATGTGGTCAAGTTACAACATAACAAGTGATTTCTCCATCTAATGAACTCAGTCCTGGATTATGAATAGCAGCTACGAAAACCCCATGGCAATCACCAACCATTCATTTATTTCAAAACTCTACTATCTTTTTATCATTCAAGTTTTCCAGTCATGCATGTATGAAGCCAAGGAATCAGTGAAGGGTATATAGATATACAAGCCTTTAGAGAGATACAATTCCGATGTGAGAGGTGAGGTGAGGTATGTCTACAAGCAGACTAACAAAAAACAAGCATATCTATCTGAAATGAAGCAATGTAGGCGACTAAACAGCGGCTGCAAGAGGTAGATTGTCTTCGCCTCTGGACGAGGGATGAGCTCTAATAGCTTGTTTACGGGGTAAGGTATCATGATCATAAACTAGTCGTGGTTTGCCCATCGTGATCCCGAGTAGTGAGCCCTTGAAGGGGGAAGGAAAGTAAAACAAATAGCCAATCGAGGCGGATATCATTCCTATCAAACCGCCGACTATCACATCTCGCGGATGGTGGCGATGGTCTTGAATTCTTGTGACAGCGACTAAGCAGATCATAACAAAGGGGAAAAAATCAAAATTGGTCGATCAATTAAGCGAGGGTTGAAAAGTTTGGGCAATGATTTGAAGAAGAGTATTTAAAAAAAAATCAAACAAACCCCATATAGCGATCCCAAGCCAGATGATGGTAACAAGGAACCTGAGAAGCCTACTTTGCAATGGTCCGGCCGCTCGTAAGCCATCACCACCGATAGCGAAGGCGCCGTTACGACCGGCGATCCACAGGGTCAAGAAAGTAAGGCCAGCAAAGGCGGTCGAGCTATGACCACTGGGGAAGCTTTTTCGACCGTGTTCCATGAGTTTGTGATTATGAAAGAACGGTTTACAGATCTTTGAATCTTCTGAATATGCACAACGAGAGAAGAAGTCCGGCCGGAGTTCGCCGATCCAGATCTTCAAGAGATCCGTAGGGACGATCGAGAACGCATGAGCGGTCAGAAGACCGAGTAAGGAGTGGTGGAGCATCGGGACTAAATGGATTCCTCCTCGAGGATAGGCGATCAGTGTTAGGATGATCAGTAGGAGTACTGGTAAGGTCACTGAAAGATGATGTAGCCATTCGTCCGAAATCCTACGCAAAGCAAAAAAAATGATTTCAGTCAGTTTGTTTTGTGGGCTGGATTTGTGATTAATGTATATTCTTGGGCCAGTTGTTTTCATATCCACTTACTGCTCTGATCTCAAAGACCAATGATAGTCACTATCGTTATAATAAACTGAAAGGTCTCGCTGGTATGGTGAAGCAGTCTCAATGTATAACTGTTGATATGATGTAAGAGACAAAAAAAAAGTCAGAAGAGTGGAATTTGAACCAACAGAGTACAAGGAGGGTATACCTTTGAGACAATGATAGCTGCCAGTCCGACGCCCCAATCGATCACGTAGGCAGGGCAGAACCAGATCATGGAAGAAGATCCGCTGAGATTCTCGAGACCGATTGCATTTCTGAATCGTCCGAGAAGCGAATGCCTTCCGCCAAGATGGAGTCCTACTGATTCCGGATGGCTGAGTGGCTGTTCCTCGACTGGTTCATCTCCGGGCCGGATCTCCGCGGTTGTGTGGGGTAATAGTCGGTGGGTATCCTGGGAGGTGGATTGTGCCTGGGCGGTGCTGGTGATGGTTGGATGATGATTGAGATTCGAAGTGCCCGATGAGGAAGATTGATCTGCCGACATCTTCTTGGTATCTTCACCATTCGACGGCGTTTTTTCTTAATTTCGTGATTCAAGGGAATGTCTCCTCTGCGGTTTGCCGATTTGGTGGATGTTGTTCAAGTTCTTCTTTCCCAATCACCGCCTCCGAGAATCCCCCCCCCCTGAATAAAGTTGAGGTGTGAAACTGCGGCTGTCACACGATTGTATGCGCCTTTCACGCGTTCCCGCATTACGTACTTTGCCAGGCCAGAGGACACTTGGTTCAGGTTGGCACTCCTCTGGCACAAGCAACACACATCAATATGGCCTCATCATCAACTCAGCAGCCAGAGACCCACAACAACAAACATCAATCCACACAACCGACGATCGATGATCAACTCAGCAGAGAATTCCCAGAGATCGGAGCCATGTCGTCAGTAACTTATTTCATTCAAGTTTCTATAATATTCTATGAAGAGTGATCTCAACACTAATTCAATCATGATCTTCGTTCAATGTTCGCTGATGTGATAATCCTAGGAAAGAAGACTTGCAAGACTTGCTCAACGACCCGGATTTCTTTCATGCAATGCTCATCAGACAACCGGAGCTGAAACGGTCGATCGAAGACCATCAAGTTGCGATCAATCGGAATCAAGCCTTAGCAGGTTGGTCATCATCCCAAATTTACTAATAAACAGTCGGAGCAGTTGGAATGATCAAAATAGTATATATATATTTTTTGGTCGGTATTTATTTACCTGTTATCTGACCAGAAATTCTCCCTTTTTTTTCATGATACATAAAAACGATAATCCAATTACGATGACCATCTTTGATAGAGAGAAATCTTTCATTGCGACCCAAATTAGAAGAATTAAGAGATCAAGTGACCAATTCATTCAACCAAACTCAACAAACGATTTCACAATTTAACGACCTACTCAAACAACAAGCCGACCTATATCAGGTCAGTACCCTTCATTGAAATCATAAGAGTAAAACAAATTAAACAAGGAGTTGATTGATTTTTTTTTTTTGCTTAGCCTTATGGAGAATCGGCATCCCGATCACGGCTATTAACCGCCTTACATGAATCAGACAAGTTGACCGAAAGCTTAGCGAATCAGTTCGTCGTCCAAGGCTTGTTGGAAGAAGATCAGTTCATCAAAGAGTTTCGAGAAGAAAGAACGAGATATCATAAACGCGCTTGGGTTGCTAATCGGTGGTCCGAAGGTTACTTTCGTTGGAATTGAATTCTTCCTCCGTTGCATTTCTTTCATCTTCTTGTTCTGCTATCCCTCTCTTTTTATTGTTGTATCAATACACAAATGAAATAAACAGCGTTAATGTAAGATGACGAAAGAAAATAAGTAAGAACCTGAACGACATTTCGGCAAATTTGTGAGAGCAGGCAGCGAACGTGCTTGGGTGCTCCGTCTGGGTCTCAAATCAGCCATTTCATTGGGGAGTCTCATAGAAGCATCAAGATCAGCAGTACCGGATGAAGATCAAGCATTGAAAGAGATATTTATTCACAAGAGGGTTTACAATTGTTTCAAGTCGCGAAGCTGATAACAGAAGCCTTGGAATAATCAACGGATATGATGGTACATGCAGAGCAACAACTTCGATGAAAAAAAGAAAAAGTTCGAGGGTCGCGAAAAGGAAGAGGAGATGGTTATCCGGAGTTCATTGAAAAGCTACGGTTGGCCAGAGGTATCAAAATATTCAACAGGAAAAGGAATCGGTTGAATCATCAAGGCATCAGATGTGATCAGTCGCGCGAGCTTCGAAGATTCAGAGGGAATATTTCGTATTTCGTCGGGAGAGGTCGTGGGTAAATGGGCTTCGTGTTTCGATGAAGAATAAGAAAGATTCTTGGACGGCCAAAATAAGCAGGATTAGAAAGGGTATGTAGCCTTACAACTGACCAAGTGGATGCTCACCGTGATAAGGTTGGGAGATCGTGAATGGATAAGAATTACAAGATGAGGGAACAATGTGAAACTGATTGATACTTTTCGAGAAGAATGAGATCGATGGACGTAAAACAGTAGGTAATTAGGATTATGTATGCGAGGCATAGAATGCGGGAACGGATGAAGATTGAAGAAAAGAAGATTACCAAGATTCAGGTTGGGCCACCAGGGGCGGGCATCATATCGCGGTAATTAACCCGACGACCTTGGACATCCGACTTGCCCTCCTCGGAAAACATTTCCATCTTCCCCTCGTCTGTGAAGCGATAGGAATGGGTGATGCTTGAGGTGAGAAAGGGCTCCTCGAAAGTTGCTGACAGCCGGATCAAAAGGGAGCTCTTTGGACGGCAGTTGATGGATCCAAAGCGGACTGGCTTGGAGGGCCTTTGGCCGGGATGGGCAAGGGGAGAGGTTACGGGGGGAGTATGTGGTGCAACCATGGCTGTTGGGGCTCGAAAAGGAATTGGTCTGGTGTGGGGGAAATTGGAATGGAGAAGTGGATGTGTTGGTCTGGGGTGGGGGAAAGAGGGAGAGTGAGAGGGGCCGAAGTCATGGGCAGCCTTTTGTATTAAATCCTCTCCGGGCAGGAGCGCCGTTCCAATGGGGTTTAGGCTTGCCCCAGCGATAGAACAGAGGAAAACACGCCCGATGGCAAGCCAGGCATGATGCAAACAAGCTAGTCACAGATCTTTCCTATCGCACTCGTGAGTTGCTTGTACAATTGACGGTTTTCATGTATTGAATTGCTCATCACTGCATAGCTGATAAATGGATTCCAACAAACTAGTCCGTAGAAAACATCGGTCCTGTGGTCATTGCATCCTCCTGGAAGGTGGTTGACAAGCTTGTGCGATCTTTGATTGTTGCAAGATTGATGTATGTGTAAATTCACTTTACTTCCTTACTTCATTCCGACCAACGTTGGAATGAACAGCTAAGGCTCGACCCAATTAGTTGCAGATTAAAAGCGACTTTATTAGGCCTATTGACGTGATATAACAGGAATCTCTATGTTGAAATTCGGAGGAAAAAGTTATCTAACAGAAGCTGATTGCAATTGGCCATCGTAGGTCTGGTGGATAAGAATTGTTTACTCATTGAGCGTCGTAATCAAGTATGTTGTAAAGAAAAACACATGACAATCGACGGTTGCTTGTCCCCGTCCAGTTTCAGGTAAGCGATGGGATCGACGCGAGAGGTAAACGGCTATAAAGATCACGATCTTCAGTTGGACATTTGGCCTGCAGTGCTCTTAGGGGATTTGGTGGGCCTCACTTGAGAGTACTAGTCGGCTATCAATGTTGTAAACGACTTCAAAAGGTGGGGCTTTCAGAGTTGAGATTTGACCTGCTATGATCTTAGATGCATCTCTACTCATGAGTGGTTTGTCAAGACAAGGATTGATTTAAGATCTTAATATCGGATTTGTGACAATGAGGAAGAGGAAGGTGAGAGTAATTACCCCCGTTTCATGGAATCTAATTACACAAAATGACTGCTTGGTCATGACTGGACTTTATTTTGATCGTATTCTAATGCGGAAGCCTACGCTATGTGGTACATAATCGGAACGGTACAATCCCCGCAAATCATTCTCTCATTCACTTAGAATTGTGCGAATTTTGACTCCGGGGCTCCAAAAGTTTTGGGTTTCTCATTGAGAATGCTATGTGCATTTCTAGCTAGAGGAAGGGATATTATCCAAAGTATGGAGCCTACTGGGTAGATTCCGTTTCGCGATTGCTTGTCTCGCGAAGGTGGTTGGTTGGGCTTGACCGTTTCAGGTTGACCTGGAGTACAATAGAAACTGGAGCTCAATACAAGAAGAATGTCTGAGTATTTCACGTTGCGGGTAAAATCGATTGGATCGGAATAGAGATAGGATCCTGAAGGGATTCCTACAATTCTTCAGATAGACAGAAGAGAGCACGCTCGATTATCACAACAGATTTGAATGGAGCAACGTCATCGTCACATTTCCCATTGGTATATACGATTGATTTGCAGATATAGCCTGCTGGAAACAAGATTGTGGGAATTTCGATTGAGGGATAAAGCCCTGATAAAATCCAGCATTGCCGTGTTGGTAACCGAAGTTGAGAATAATTCCTCAGCTACAATCTCGGGCCCCCGGATGTGTTGACTCTGGAAGTGATTTTGGTGGTTTTACAAGTTTGTGTGCGTCCGAACCCACTGGCCTTCGCAGAAATCACTTGCCTCGAAATCATATCGGCCCTGCGGCCGCTTCGGGTGCGCCAAGCCCCGAGGGGATTGAACTTAGACCCCCTTGTGGAGCTTTTGAGTCAGACATCAGCCATGTCGTCATGATCGCTCTGAGCCTCTGGAGTCTGAGTCAGCCAAAGGTGATGGATCAGGATATAATAAATAAATGGTCGAAGTCTTGATGGTCAAGAGCTCCACCCGAGTTGACAATCCTAAAAACCATCTAGTCTAACTTGAACCAATCATTATCAGATCCCATTCTTAAGCCTAATTAAGAACTCAAGGATGACTGAAGCTCCCGAGTCTAGGTTTTATACCGATGTGGATGCCTTACAAGAATTGGTAAGCTTCAGTCGGGCTTCTCCCTCAGCGCCAATTCATTGATTCGCTTCGCCAACCTTCGGAAACTTGAATTTATTCAGGGAATATCAGCGCAAGATATAAAGAAGCTTAAGGATGGCGGATTTGCTACCATTAAGGCCGTGTTGACCGCTTCCCGAAAACAGCTAACAAGCCTTAAGGTAATTATTCTCTACATCCCGTTTTCCCACCGTCCTGAAAATGCATTAATCGACAACTCTGCCGGTTACCTTTTGCAGGGTATTAGCGAAATTAAAGTCGAAAAGATTAAAGACTCTGCGTCAAAATTATCAGGACCATCTTTTAAAACAGGCAAGTGACTTACAGATAGATAATAATCTCACAGGAATCGAAAATCCGGGAGGAAATGAAGAATTCCTAACCTCAAAAACCCCCTCTTCCGCAAAAAACCCCTTTATGTCCTGTCAGGCTCTGATGTACTGGTAGACCGAGAAAAAATAGTAACATTATCAACCGGCAGTAAAGCTGTTGATGCAATGCTTGGTGGAGGAATTCAAAGCCAATCGATTACTGAAGGTATTTTCCCTCCTTCCCACTTCTTTCTTTTTGTTTTGTATTCAATCGAGTGAAATGAATCCAGGCTGAACTAACAGCAACAAAAATGGAACCAGTGTATGGGGAATTCCGGTGAGTGATGATGATAATCATTTGATCAAAATTGAAAAAAAAAAACCTACCAGCGCCATCACTTTTGGAATTCTCATTATCTTGATTGATCCATAACTCATGTGATCTCTTTTGAACCGGAAGATGTGGAAAAACTCAATTGTGTCATACACTCTGCGTCACAGCTCAGCTCCCAGCAGAAATGGGTGGAGGAGGAGGCAAAGTAATCTTCAAACCTATCATCTCTGCAAAGAATCTATCGACTGCTTTTGAGGAAATAACAAAGATTCGAGAATTGGTTGATTTGTTTAGGCTGCTTACATCGATACCGAAGGTACCTTTCGGCCTGAGCGAATCCGGACGATTGCTGATAGATTCGGGATGGACCCAGAAGCGGTTTTAGATAACATCATCGTCGGGAGAGCTGCCAATAGTGAACATCGTAAGCTCAGTAGCAGTCATGAACTACATCATATGCATGCCAAATCCCTAATCACCTTATCTTGTGACTTCCCGTCTGGGTTTTTTCGCGGCCCATAATCTGTTCCTCGAAGAAATGGAGCTGATTGTTCACCTCGCGGCTAAATTCGCAGAGGATGGCACATTCAGGCTGCTAGTAAGCTCAAATGCACAACTGAATCTACTAACCTTCAGTACTTAGGTTAATCGATCGGATTTCGGACACAGATTGTTGACTCCATCATGGCGTTGTTTCGAGTGGATTTTTCGGGAAGAGGAGAGCTCTCAGAGCGACAACAAAAATTGAATCAAATGCTTGCCAGATTGACTCGTATTTCAGAAGAATTCAATTTATGTATGTCATCCCTCAAAGAAGGCAGCTTCTGATAAACACGAGTTTTTCTTACGGAGTTGGTCTTATACCGATCACTCCAGTCATTCTTGTGCTAATGTCTTTCTGGCATGCTTGAATGAGCAGGTATCTTCTTGACCAATCAAGTTCAAGCCGATCCAGGAGCCGCCAGCATGTTTGCTGGTGCCGACAAAAAACCTGTTGGAGGGCATGTGCTGGCACATGCGGCCTCGACTAGGATCTCGTTACGCAAGGGCCGAGGAGATGAAAGAGTAGCAAAGCTTTGCGATAGCCCTGATAGTCAGCTTTCTTTGATTTCAGTATATACATTTTTTCCCCATCTCTCCGATGAAGAGCTCGTAACACCTTACTAACTTTATTCTCTTAACCGCAGTGCCCGAGGGAGAAGCTAGCTATAAAATAGCAACTGGCGGGATTGAAGACTGTTAAGCCGGAGCGGCAAGATGTGGTGTCTATGCTGTATACAGACATGATTACCTGCGCAAATATGAACCTATCTTGTCCTGCAATATCTGTGAACTTTGCACGCGGGCAACTTATAGCAATTAAACCTATTTCATTGTGCACCTTACTCATGACCCGGTTGAAAGTGTCCATGAGCTCCCTAAGGTTTTCGTTTAACCCATGACCAAGCTGGCGCGTGGCCTTACTCTTTATCAGACCTTCCAGAATTTCCGAGCGAATGACTCATTGGTTGTCTAGTTTGATAGAGTGTGGGTCTAGTAGTTCTCTTTCCTACTTAACTGAGTTCAGCCCATTCCAAAATCACAAACCGAGGTCCACTTCAGCATCGTCTTTGATCAGCAGGATGTTTGGGTATATTAAGTTATACGCGCATGGGTTAAGCTCAAGCAGAGAGTATTTATAAATCATCACTGACACAACTGACCATCCCCAGGCCACCATCTAAACGTAACTCCACATAGGATGAAGATTGGCTACATCAACCACCCAGTGTTCGAGAAGACATCGTGGAGATCGATTTATCTACTTCACGTTCTATTGGTTCAGATTGGCTCAATCAACACATCCTCAATCCAATCACCCGAGCCAGCGCTAACATCAAATGAGCCACAAATCCCATCACTTGAAAGCAATCAGACAGAAGAGAGATGGCGACTACCCGAAGCTTTCACTCTGGATGATCTCCGACTAGTCAAAACCTCAAACTTATCTACACAGCTTCCTGAAAACTTCCGGGTCGTCTCTCGCGATACTGCGGTTTCCGAATGGTATCCGAAAGCCCAGAAAGCTCTAGCTGAAGAAGCCTTTGCATTCACTCTAGGGGATCTCTTGTCAATCAGATACACAAGACATTCTAATCACAATCAAAATTCGCTTGGGGTGATGGAATCTACTTTTTCGGCCGCGCCTTGTGAGTCACTGCATCCTAGGTTAAGAATTTTTCCTTCATTGATCAAGCGTCGTACAAAAGAAGTTTATTGACATGTTTCGCCGGGAACCGATAAAAAGTGAATATCACTACAGCAAAAAACGTCACGCTTTCTTACAGCCTTTTCATACCAGAAGGGTTTGACTTCCTTACTCGTGTAAAACTTCCCGGTATCTATGGAGGGACAACTTACGGAGAAAATACTTACAAGTCGGATGATGGCTTTCATACTTACGTGATGGTCAGTGGAAGCAATCCAGATCCTTGGACTCTTCTCAGGAGATTAGTAATGTATGTAAGGAACAAATATTCATTCAGGATCAAATTCTGCTTGTGAAATTATTCCAATAGATTCAAGAGGATGGAACAGTTGGATTTTATACTCAGAACTCGAAATCAAATCAACATGAATCATTTAGAGGTGGATCTCGCAGCCTCAGTCGAGGAATCTGGACTACGATTCGTCAAGACGTATGGTTAGATAGCAGTGGAATCGCGATTAGAGGCTTTAACCTTTGGATCAATCATAATCTCGTATCCGCCCAAACAGACCTTTCTCCTCGCCATCTATTTTCTATGAAGAACGATGATTTGACGGAAGCTACGCACGTCACAGGCCAAATCCAACGAGTAAGCTTGTCCGGTATCGAAAACAATTTCGACAAACAGCAGGTGCCAACTCATAGTGACGAAAGAGAAATCAAAGACGGAAACTTTATACAAGTGTCCGGAGATCAGTTACCAGCGATCGAGAACATCAGAAACCTACAGGAAATCGCCCGAACCTCGCCTCTAAATAACTCTGAAATCTTGAGGGGTCAAGAAACTACTCAGCAAAATTCAACCCAGCAGCCAAATGGGAAAAATCTCACCCGTTCTATGACTGTTTCCCAAAACTTGACCGGTGTAAATGATCAGACGAAAAACAACACAAATACTACAGTTGAACATCGATATTTTGGAGCCTTTCCAGCCTTGGGGATCCCTGAATTAGCCGAATTAGCCAAGGAAAACTCCAAGAAAATCGTGCCGGTGGTCCCAGCCTTGAGCATAGCGCAGCCGCTCACTGAAACTGATGATGATGATGATAATGATGATGATCAGGTGGAGGACGACAATGACCGGAGCAATGAAGTGCCTGAGTCTTCAAGTTCGAACTCTAAATCTAAGCTTAGCCCCTTCCTTGGTGCTCTGGGTTCCATCTTACTTCAACAGGAAGACCCAGTCGATGATCAACCACTTCAGTTCTTTGGATTCTTCGCCAGTGATCTGTCTTCAGCTACCGAAATTTCTCCGAAATCAAAACCCGATGACCAAATCAATTCTACCATTTTTTTCAAAGACTTTCAAATAATTTGTAACCCAAACATTCATGCTTCATGATTTACCTCTTTCTTTCTGTTACTTTTTCTTATGCTTTCTTGAGTTGCATTCTATGGACTAATCTTTGGAAAATAATAATAAAAAACACTTTCTTGGTTTGTGCTCCTAAGAAGTTTTCTATCACAGCATTGTGGGTGATGTGATATCACTAGTATCTTAATCAAAATGTTTTTCACATTCATGAATCAATTGATATTGAATTTCAATCGGCAGGAACTAGCAGCAAGGGTTATATTCTAACCAGTTGATAGGATACATTTGTTTTAATCAACGTCTCATGCTTGGCATTTTTTTCACTCGCATTGCATTATTTCTATATATTTTTTCAAGCTAGTTCCACTGTGATCAAAATTAGAGGTGCCTCATGTCCTTCTAACATAAAGTGGCTCATATTCTCAATGGTTTGTGACTGTATCCATTTTCCATTTTTCTTTTGTTGATCATTGGATAATCCAAATTGTAGTTACAGAAAAGCGTGAATTGGCATCTCCTGGGGAGTCCCCATGGAGCGCTGCCCTTTGCCCTCTGCCCTCTGCCAATTGGTACACAGGCCGCCAGCTCCCACCCGGCATAACTTTGATAAGATAGCTGATTCAGAGATGCTCAGGGTTGCTCCAAGGGTTCTGACTGAATCCAATATTCACGTTCCAACTTCAAGTGTCATGGCCGGCCTTAGTGCGCCCGAAGAGTCCAGAGGGCCGATTGTATAGCGGGCCCTCCCGAGGGGCTAAGGGTATGTAGCGATTTGCAAATTGTGACAAGGGAAACATCAACTGCTGAATTCACCTCAGAATAAGCTGTTCATTATCGGGAGGTCCATAAATTTCATCGGCCTCGAGACCTGAGAAGCTTCTCAACTTCTGCGATGAACACCGTAGTCTCAAATGCTCGATAGGGCGTCTATCCCTCAATCGCAGACTACTCATATTTGCTCCAGCAGATTCATAGGTGAATCAGTCGTACTGTAATTTTGGGGAATTCACCAAAGGACTTCTCCCTTCACCCATGTCAATCAATTAGAATCACTTACTTGACGCTCTTAAACACAATTCCTTGGAAACACGAGTTGATCATTTAAGATTATACCTTGAATTTGACCCAACTCTTAAATACGCTCAGTTTACAGGGGGGGATCAGAATGGTTATCATATGGGAAGATGATCAAGCCGGGTCAAGGAATGACTAATTAGGAAATCTTCCTGGTGGTTTGTGAGACCCAAGCAATTTACCTTCCTCTTCACCAGTGCCTTAGTACTCCTTTCCCCAATGTGGCCAATTCAAAATATAGCTGTACATTTGGGTTGGGCATCATGTCTTGGTAGTTACCCCCAAAAACTTGCACATCTGACTTGCCCTCCTCAGAAAACATTTCCATTCTCCCCTTTTTAGTGAAGCAATTGTAGTGGGTGGTGCTTGAGGCGAGGAAGGGCCCCTTGAAAGTTGCTGACAAATGGATCACAAGGGAACTCTTTGGACGGCAGTTGATTGATCCAACTTCAACTGGTTTAGAGGGCCTTTGGCCAGGAGGGGCAAGGGAAGAGGTAATGGGGGAAATTGGGTGAAACCATGGCTTCCAAAATAGGGAGTAAGATGAAGACTGTTGTCCTGGGAAGCCTCATTTATATCAAATCCTCACTGAGAAAACATTGTTGGAAATGGGATGAAGATTTCGAATTCTATACAGGCATATAAGGTCTCCCAACCGCAGATCCAGCGCATCAAGGCTGAAAATCCGAACCTTGTCAAGACACATGAAAAACGCCCAGGAAAATTCACAGATGAGATGCAGACCAAGCTGCTTTTCCAGCTTGATGCAAAACTGACCACAACCTTGGCCAAGATGGCAAAATTAATTGACAAACAATTTGGTGTTAAGTTTTCAACTCAGGCAATTACACTACAAACAATACCAGTTTTGCCCCAGGAAACCATTGCCATTTGAGTGGTGGAAAATAGATCCATTTCCCTGAGTCTTTTTTTACAAAATCACTCAGGAGTAAAAATTAGGCTAAAATGAGCTATTTTAGCCAAAAAAAATAGAAATGCCTCAAATGAGCTAAAAGTTAATTTTGGAACGTTTGAGGTATTTTTATTTTTGGGCTAAAATAGCTCATTTTAGCCTAATTTTTACTCCCTGAGTAATTTTGTAAAAATGCCTCAGGGAAATTGATCTATTTTCCACCACCCAAATGGTCATTTTTTCCTGGGGCAAAACTGGTATTGTTTGTAGTGTTAGTAACCTGATCCATGATATGGATATATAATGGAAACAGGTTACTAATATCCCTGCTTCCTGTAATAAGCCGGGATTGATTGAGCAGCGGGAAAACTTTGTAAACTGTTGTGGTTTGGATCTTGGGTGCAAGATTATTTTTGTCAATGAATCAGGATTTGCTCTTCACTCTGGTCAAGTGTTTGGATACTCTCCCTCTGGTTAGATTTTGTTTTTGTTTTTGACTGATGCTTTGACTTTTTTTTGGTTGCAATTAAGGTTAACCTGCAGGCTTGAGCCTTGTTCCCAAGGCCAAGTAGGTGAATTTGATAGGAGCCCTCTTGCAAGAAGGCTTTGTTGACCATGAGTTGCTTAACACCCGACAACACCAAGGCAAAAGGGGGTCAGTTCTGATGAATTATGTGTGTTTCTCTGTAGCCTTGGTGCCCGGTTGCCTCAGGAATTGATCATCATCATGGACATTGCCCCGATCCACCAAGGCGACCGCTTTGAGGAGATGAAAAAATCACTTGATGACTCAAAGTCAATCATGATTGAATTTCTCCTTACCATTCCTCAATACAATCAAGTACAGCTTCCACTTGATCAAATCCTACATCTGATCAAAGGAGCTGCCCAACTGATCAGCATTAGTATCAGGAATCAAAAAGGAATCATTCTGAGGTCCAAGAGATCACTGGCCCAGTCTTGTCTACACCTTCTGAATATGGTTTTTTGTCCAATCATCACTGCTTTTTTTGTTTTTTATTGCTCAAGAGACATGTGTAAGATAAAAAAATGCAAAAATGTAGATTAACAGTTAAGGTATAAGCAAACCACCTCAACCCTAAATTAAAAAATTAACTCTAACAGGTATTGCCCAGTATGGCCCCGACACATCCAGATATCCACTCATGATTTCAGAGGAATCACACATCCGCATCCGCTGGTGGGTATCCGCACAGATATCCGTGGATACTTGCCCTGAAAATGGCCGGGTTTCCTTCCAGTCGGCAAGGGATTTTGTTTTTGTCCTTTCCGGAAAATTGGGTGATTTATGCTGATGGCGTGGATTCAATTCTGTCCAGTTTCATTATTCAGGATCAGCTCTTAAACTCCATCAGGTGCGCCAACAATACTGGATGACCATTGCCATACAGGGAGGGCAGATTGACTGGAGTATGGTTTGGAATCAATTTTTGAGCAATTGGCATGCTCCAAGTTGATCAGTGGCAAAGCTTTTGATTTTGGGTCAATCGTGTAATTTAAAGAGAGGGAGGTAGAAACACCTTTGCAAAGTAGCTTGTCAGAAAATGAAAAGCTGATCGGAATTGTTTTGTTATCATTATCTTCATGTGATATGATTCTAGCATCATGGCCTGGGGTGAAACCAACCAAGCAAGGCTGAGGGTTGATCCAGTTTGGTGTAGGCACCAATACTTTAAAACCAAATGGATCCATAGTAATAGATTTGAGGTACCTGAGAAAGGATGTGCCTCATCCCCAGTTAAAGAAGTAGACAAAGGGTCGAGATCATAAGTTTCATAAGGGTAGAAAAGGTTCCAAGCGGTTGATGGTGCAGGGTATGGCGGCACAATTGCCAGTCTAGATGAACAATCCTTGGCGCCTTTGATTTCCTGATCCCCTGTTGGCACCAGATCGACAACCAGCAACGTTGCCACCAGACCAACAAACAGCAACACGGCCGTTAAACGTGTGGCTCGCAGCCCCTCTCCATCCAATGATGGGAGTGGGGGTACCGTCAGTCCGGGACGTGGTGGATCCGGCGGTGGCAACTTTCAGACTGGAAACCCAGCCCCGCCTGCATGCAACCCTGCACCACAATTTTTACGTGATTTTTCCCACCCTCCCCATCCGGCAGATGACCCGCGTACTTGCTCCATGATAATTAATGCTTCTTCCAATCAATTTAGAGACGAGTATGAGCTCTGGGAAGATGGTGCCAACTTCTGTGATTGGCTCCACAAGATTTTCAAGTTGGCAATGTTGTGCTTCAACAGGGAAGACTGGTACGACACAGACAGGACCCAGGGGACCCCCTACAGAGGTGGGTAAGCAAAACGTAAAAATGTATACAACCACTTTGACTGCACATCAGATGTGATATCTGGATAGTTGCCACGTCAGGACATGTACCTACTGAAGGTGCATCCTGCCCATAAATCTTTTGATGGTGAATCTTCACCAGTGAGCCTTCAGAAGCAAAAAACTAAAAAAAATCTGAAAAAAATTCTTACATTTTTTTTTTATTTAATTTTTCAGTTATGAAAACTCATTGGTTTAGGTTAGCCACTCAACAACATGTGTACATGATGCACATTTAGTATTTACATGTCCTGATGTGGAAAATATCCAGATATCACATCTGATGTTCAGTCAAAGTGGTTGTGTAGGGTGAAAATCCATTCACACATTTTGGTTACCCACCTCTATAGGGGGTTTCCTGGGTCCTACGCAGACTGTTTTGAAATCCTTGCCAAGTCCGCCCTTCTCATCTCCGTCTGTCAACCCATTAAGGCCAACCTTTATGACATTGGTTCAAGCCACCTCCTTGTTTGGGTTGGCCGGCTGTGGGATGTTGGCACATGTATCGGATAAGGCATGCCAGGGGCCGCGCAGCACAGCCCAAATCTGCGGCCAAGCAAAAAGGTGACTTATGGTCGGGTATCCCTTGGGATACCCGGATATCTGCCAGGATTTCACGGAAAAGGGGGAATCCACATCCGCTGGCGGGTATCTGCAATGGATACCTGGAGACCATCTCTAGTTGACTAAGAAAATTCTTGCAGAATTCCAAGCAGGTTGAGTATTTTTCAGATCATCTCAACTGTTCAGCCAGACCATTTCCCTATCCTACTTTATTGGGCCAAAATTGGGAATCTCAGGATGATGGTTAAGAGTAGTCAGAACTGGCTGATGATCCTTATTGATATTAGGGAGTAAAGCTTCACTGATTTTGTGGTCCTGTTTGAAATATAGATGGGAAAGTCTGCAAGCAGGGTGGCTGATTCTGATAAAACCGTCTTCTCCTGGCCCAGGAAGCTTGACCTCCAAATTATAAAAGGCTTACTTTTGGAGCTTGGAAAAGATTGAAGGCTGGTTGCTCTTGTTTATATCCATCATAAAAATCATCTCCTCTGCCACTATTTCCAGGAGAGCATTGTGTAAGGTGTAGACTGAATCAATCTCCTTCAAGCTTTGACCATACAAAAAATAAACTGACTTGAGCACATCAGAGAATAGCATGATTGCTTCATCAAACTACTGGATTTTTGGACAGGCATGGAGGATATCTTGAAGAATCTTCTGCTTGCTTGTGGATCCATCGAGATGATACTTGATCATAGAATGCAACATGATATGGAGAAGCTTCAAGTGGAAGATGTCCCTAAAATGAAGAGGTCCACTTGGACTGGATTACTTGTTGATGTTACTGTTCAAGCTCAACATAAATCAGCCAATCTCTCACTCCAGCTCCTCTCTGTTGAAGGTTTAAGGGTAACATAAGGTCAACACACCTCTTGAGTCATGTGGTACATTGACTTTTGGCGGGTGTGGCACCAGCAGTGGGCAGATACGTTACGGTACGTTACAGCAGGAGATTTGGAGAACATAACTTTTTTTAGTTATCCAAATCTGTTGTTTTTGTAAAGTAACTAAATTTGGTTGTAAAGTAATGTAAAATTGTTGAAATTTAAGCAACAGCGTGTCAGAGGTGAAGGGCCAAAAAAAAAGGAAGAACTCTTTTTTGGGAAAGGCTCACGGAAAATGAATGAAAGAACCGATGAGGTTTGATTTCTTATCACTAGCTATGTTTTAAATAGACTAAGTACAAGATGGTCAGAAATTGGTTGTGGAGAATTTGAATAAAGAAAAATAATGAATAAGAAAAAACCTTTTTGGGTACGGCATCACACACCAGCAAGAATGGAATATAACCTAAAAGATAAGCAAGACTACATGAGAGAAGATTTACCCTCCTCAGACAGGGTTCATTGACTACAAGCTGGGGAATAACCTTCATAACAGGAGATAGTGTCAGACTATGTAGGAGAAGACTTCAAGTGACTAGTGAGCAGATCCTACAAGTTTAGAATAAGGTGACCAGGTCATGAAATGAGATTTAGAAATCAAGAAAACAGGAAGTGAGGCATGAGTAAGAAGCTAGAATTCCAACAAACGTAACCAATTTTATTTTTTCTATATATTTTTTTGGGGTAACATAACTTACTTGGGGGGAGCGTGTTTTGAGAGGTTGAAGGGACAAATCATATTGCATACTCAACAGTCAAAGATTGCCTCACATGCACATTGAATATGTGAGGGTTGTGGGTTCAATTCTTACACCAGACATCTTTTGACCTGGCTTAGTGGTGAAATGATAATCACTGGTTGGTTTATGATCATATTGGGTGAATTATCTTGCACCTAATGAACAAAACCATCAAGAATCAGTGTATCCCCACCAAATTTACCCTTAAGTTATCCAAATATTGGAAATTCTGTAACATAACTCTGTTCTGTTCAGAATTTCTGGGAACGTAACTAGAAAAAAAGGGGCCTTTTGCTCTAGTAGATATCATAACTGAAATAAAGATATCTGTAACTTGTGGTTAACGTAACTGTAAAGATTATAGGGGGTTTCAAAGCTGAGTGCAAGTGACTTGCAAAACATTTTTCAATTCACTCTCATGCATGGAGATTTTCAAAAATGGCTTTCTACTAGCCACATCTATCCTTATAATGAGTAATGGGAGCTGAACATGCATGCTTGGTTGTGCAGATTGACTTGCAAGCCCTTTTGCAAGGAATTTGCACTCAACTCTGAATCCCACTTATGTTACAGCCAATTTTATCCATTTAGGTAACGTATCTGCCCATTGCTGGTGGCACCCACACTTGATATTGGCCAAGCAAGGCTTTGCTCCAACCCCCACCAACTTTGGCATTTGTCAAGCAGGGGTTGGGAGGGTGCCACACATGCTTTAGGGTTGGCCAAGTGGGCTTTGGGATTGGCCCAGCGTGCTTGGTCTTTTTTTGGTCAAACGTTTGTGTGTGCCCAGACAGGCTTGCAACACCATAATACCATTAAACAGTGCTATGGTCCCAGATTTTATTGTTAACATAGAATTGATAAAATTTGACAAGAAAACCCTGTGGTTCTAGTGGTATGGTAAGCCAATCTTGAATAATAGGCCCACATAATCAACCATTCAAGAAGAAAAGTTCTCAGCCATTCAAGATCCTCAAGGAGAGTTTTTTGAATACAGTGCTGCCATTAGAAATGGAAGGAAAAATATTTAATCCTACATTTTCATGAAGAAATTTTGAACAAATATCTCAAGAAAAGGAGGAGGAGGTTTGAATGGTCTTGTAGTTTCACTTAAAGAGGGGGCCCAAGAGTGTCACTTGGTTGAAGATGAAGAGAACCAATAATTGCTTGTTGCAGGCTACTTTAAATAGACTATCTACAAGCAGTCAATAAGTGGTTGACAAGAAATGAATAAAACATCCTTGGCAAATTTGAATTGAAGGAGGATGCCACCATTAGAAAGCATGAAAGTTTTCTCTGGCTTTGATCTGAGCCTATTTTTTTGGTCATATGTAAATGTGTGAAAATTAGCCTCAAAGCTGGCTTTGTGAATTGTGCTTTGAAAATTTCCATCCTGTAGGTCGTGGTCCATGTAGAATTGTAGAAAAGAAAAAGAATTGAGATTTACAAACTCCTCATGCTAGAAGATTTGTTGTTGTAATATCTCAATTTTTTCAATTTTGAAAAAGAAAAAGCAAGTAAAGTCACTATGAAAAAATATGAACAAACAGCTGCCAGTGTATATGCAGAAACTCAGATGGCTGAAGTTTGAGATTTGTTCCAAACTGATGATAACTGAATCTGTCTCTCAGAATTACAATAGTGGGCGGATGAAATTTGATCAAGCATCAGGACTATCGATAGTTCCAGTTATAATAATCTTGCAGATTGAGTGCCATGATGGTTTGATGCATAATGAGGGATGTATATTGCATCCGGTAATTACATAAATACTCAAGCAGTTCCTTCTCCGTCTGTTCTTGGTCGGGAGTGTTGTTTCTGCCCGGCCGAATGGTTTTCTCCGGAGGTTTTAGCCCGCCCAGTACTGCTTGACTCTCCAGGCTCTTCTCCCTGCCCTCCACCTCCTCTTGACCGTCCCCTCCCCCTCCCTCCTCCCCTTCTTGACACTGGCTCCTTCGATTTCTTGTATGTTAGCTTGACTCTTTCCTCAAACAACCCACAACCCACCGAAAACATCAAACTAACCTCAGAAGAAGAAAGAGAAAATTCGATCAAAACAACCTCCTACTCCGTTTGACCAGAAGGCACTACCTGAAAGAGAACTAGGAAAACAACACCAGCACTCATCTATCAACCAACTCTTCCGCGTATCAATCCGAGCGTCCCACCAACATATCGCCAAATTACCTCGGCATCCCCAGCTCAGCCAACGAACAACGACCCACATACATCACTCAAGACCTTACCTTATCCTCACTTTGGTCCACAAAACTCTCAACTTGAGAAAGATACCCGCCCACTCAACCTGGTGTAAGTCTCATCATGGACATCAAAACTCAGCAAGTTTTTGTTACGCGCCTTCAGGTCATATCGCCAAATTCTCCTGATCTTTTTTTTGGCGGACCACCTTGTGAAACTTAGCCACTCCTTTCCTTATCATACCTGTCTCATTCAAATCACTCTGTAACTATCGCATACCCTCAGTCTAGCTTCATCCAACCAAACTGACGTCCTTATCTTTCTTTCCTCTTCCAGGTCTCTTGCTCACCAGTCGCATATTGTTTGATCTCAAAGTTCACTGTAAGCAAGTCACCCTTCCTCGTCTTTTTTTATACTACCCCGTCTGTTTCTCCCATTTATTCATAGTCTCATACTGGCCATTGCATCCCGACCTTGTCAACTTAGGAAACTTTCACATCCCTTGCCCACCTCACGCTCCAACGAAACACTAAAAAAGAGAAAGCCGATTATCGGACAGTCAATCAAACGACCCCTTTCCGAATTGAGTGATGACTTTGACCGATGACGAATCAGATCTCTCCGAGACCTTATCTTCTGCTGGATCTACCATACCTCTACCTTCAAGTGAATTAGGTAGTCGGGCCGCTAGTGAGGATCCTACTAGCCCCTCTGGTCTTGCCCCTTCATCCAAAACATTCCCAAAACTTGATCGTAGACGTAAATCTCGTTTTATCAAACCTAAAAATAACAGCTCTACGCCTTCTCTCCCTACCCCCAATCCTGATAAGGAACCCAAAATTAGAAAACAACGACCATCTACTCGTCCTACCACCGGCCCTGCTAATGGCCCCATAGCGTCATCCTCAAACACCGCAACATCTGACCGTCTAATTAAAGCAGAATCACTTCCTCCACCCAGCTCAGAAAACGGTATTCATCGCAACAGTACTTCTAGCAACCTGACTCGTCCCACCAGTGCCAAAGGTGTTATCTTTGGGCCTCAGCCTCATACCAATCCCGAAGAACCCTCAAACTCGTCTATTCCACATCCCTGCACCTCTCATGGTCATCTGCCGCTCTTTGAACAACCTGTTCTCTTACAAGGCGCCCGACCAAGACGGAAGCCTCATTCGATAACTCTCAAGTCTAAGAAGAGCAACAAAGGTCGAAAGCCCAAGGGTTACAACTCAGCTACCAAACCAACATCATCCTCCCTCGATAAAGATTTTAGTAACCATTCTGCCATGGATCGCGATCCTTCAGCCACCCCCACAGCTGCTACCTTTAAAGATGAGGAATCCAGTCTAACCGAGCAAAGTTCCTCCGATGAGGCCTCATCAACCGATCGCCCGGCGGCTCGCAGTCGGACTGCGAGTCCATCACGGCATCCATTTCAACCGTTACCCGACCTTGATTCACAACAGGCGGCTTTGCAATCGGAAGATCATTGGCCTAACCCAGCACAAGACACGCGACCCTCACCTATTCCTATCACATCAGCATTACCCCAACGTCATCCCCCAAGCACCAATCCAATTTCAGCTTCTGACACTACTTCCTCGAAATGCAATTCAGTTCGATTACCCCAAGCTCTAGATTCTCCCAGGATTCCGCTTCCTGACTCGGGGCAACTATGTTCCTCAAGCAGCCTTAACAAAGGACCTGTCCAACTCCAAGCGCAAGGGACGACTAGCTGCTCTACTCAAAAAGTAAATGGTAGAAATACAAGTGAAGAGAGTGCCCTTACTCCTGATCCTGAGGACGTTCGACTAGGTACCGATCAAATCATCAAGCCAAAACCTCTACCTCCTTCACAGAACACCCCTATTCATACTTCAGCACCATTACTGAATTCACACCACCTCTCCCCAACATATACGAGTCCCGTCCGATCTCTACACGCTGATCAACCACCAATTAATCATCTCTTGCCCTCAACCTCCGCAGATGGCACCTCAATTTCCACCCCCAGCCTCAATCTCAAGTCTCGACCACCAAATATCATCCCTCCTTCAATCTTAAAACCCAATCTAGGAACTTCCACCATTGTTGATCGAATTGCCGAAGCCGACCTACAATCTGCGGCTTTCGGTACTGACTTTTCTTCTGCCAGCCCTCTTCCATCTCGCAACCGCCTTGAGCCGAGTCTTTTTCCTAACGAGCCTGTTGAACATCTCACAGATGATGCCTTGGATGGCGAACCGATCATCGATGATATGATGGACTATGACCTTGACCTGGACGATGATGAACCAACATTAGATACACTGATGGACCTTGGGCAAGAGCCTTCAGAAGCCGGCACTTCAGCAGTCGATGGCGTCCCAGTCCCTGATTCAGAAGACGTGCTCGAATACATGGAGGCCCAGCCTTCTTTGAATCCACAATCATCACACAGAACATGCTATACCGAACTTGATTCCCCTCCGCCTCCTAAGTCGAGACAGTCGCCCGAGTCGGAGCAGGAGCCACCTAAGCCTCGGACAGAGAAACCCAAACACGCAAAGACGCATCCTCCCGAAGTGATCTACGAGCATGATGGTACGTATTAGACTATATCTTTTCTGTTGCGCAAAATCTCAAATAACTTGATTGAATTTTACAGATCACGTTCGGCGGCGAGAGGATGCTTTGGAGGCTATGGTTAAGATTGAAATTATGTTTGCGCAGGTCAGGGATCGCCTGTATGCCGAACGTCTGTCAGATGTTTACCGGGAGACTGCGGCAGTACAGCATGGTTGGTGCACCCCCTCTTCTTGTAATAATCGAATCTATAATGACTTACTCATATAACGCGCCTTGACAGGTTCGCATCCTGAATTGAATGAATACTATCAGCTGCTGGAAAGAAAGCGTGACGCTCGCTTATCACTAGCACACAAAATCTTCAATCTTAAGGAAATCGAGCTGAACAAAAAACGCGAAGCTGCCACTAACTCGGTTTGGACCAGGTGGTACGAGGCCAAAACCGAATTACATGATAGCATGATCGTGGAAACACAAAAGCAAATGAAACAGCTAGAGCGCGAGAAATGTCAACCTGATCTTCGATGTGGGTATCACGAGATAATTGATTCAAATTAAACTTACTTGACTAATGCTGTTTTACTTTTTTGGATCACCAATCGGGTTTATTCCTGCTCCTAGATAATGTTGAAGTCCAACTACTCCCTAGACCAATAATACCCCGGCACAACCCAGGTAGAAGATCCCGCAAGCGAGCCCGGTTAGAAATGGATGAAACAAACGAAGAGCTATTGGCGATTCAACTGCACACAGCAATCGCTAAGCGGGCGACAGTGAATCTAAGTACACTGACGTCTGAAGAATCATGGGCTGATTTGTCGGTGATGAAGCCACAAGTTAGTACTTCAACATAGATTATTAAATGTTCAGTTTTTTGACTGAACCACCCCTCCCCGTCTGCCTCACAAATGTGTTGAACAATTGACCCTGTAGTCAAGAAATGCCCACCTGGATCCTGTGAATATTCTTTGTGCTCCCCAAAGTATGGCCACTTATTTTCGTGATGATCCTTATGAACCCACAACAGAACCCTCGAAAAAGCTTCTACCGTCCCTTGGTAGTGGCGACAAGCTAGATAACCACCATAACCTGGCTCGCGATCCGGCGATTATCGGAGCCGAGAAGCTCATCGCTCTCAATCCCAAACTGATACACTCACGTGCATCCTACCCATCTCAGGTTCAAAGCCTTAGTTCACCCTCATCTAAGTTACACTCTCGGCGGCTCAATAATGGACTGGATGGTCTGACAAACATCCATACTAGCTCATCATCACGGACCGTACGAAACTCGAATCGACTGACGTCAGAGCAAATCGAGCCCGACTTGAGTCGGCTGCCGGGGACGACGAACAATGGACAGTATTTCAAATCAGATCGCCGGCCTACGCTAGATTCAGTGATGGCCCATAATACCCCGGAACGACTGAAGGGCCAATTGAAAACGAGCAACGGTTCGAGCGATCCGGTGTCTTATACTCTGACTACTGCTTGTATAGGATCCTCTCCCAGTCAGACTACCCATCATCAGCTTCCATCTAATAATCACCTTCGCCATCAAACTCCTAACATTCAAAACAATCAGAATCGCAGCAACCATCCTACTCCGTTATATCCTTCCGTTCCTATCAGTGTCAATTACCATGAAAGAGTCAAATCTCAACTTGCTTGATCATAACTTGTAACATTTTTTTTTCAATTTTGTTCCACACGTCCTCCCTTATCTTTATCTTTACATTTTTATTATCTTATTTGATTTTCCTTTGGAGTCTTTTTACATCATATCCCCATTCCCATACTCCCTCTTGGTTGATATTTTTTTTTCTCCCCAAACCTTGATCACATGAACTTTTTTTGCTTTGAATTTTCATTTTTTTTTTTTTTTAATTCTGGTTTTTTTGGTTTGGTTTGGCTTGTTTGTACCCAAGTTCGTATTTCTGTGAGATCTGGCTAAAATTATCATAAATTTGATTCACATTCATACATACATCCATACATATATATTCATCTAAATTTGATGATGATTGTTCTATTATTATTGGGTTTTTTTTTTGGTTTTCGATCTTGTCCCTCTTTCTGTATTTATGTGTGGGATGTTTGTCTCTTTGTTTGTAAGCACATATCTTCATATTTGATTCATACAAATACATACACACATGTTATATATCTCATCCCTCTTCTTTACATATTTATTCCTTTTTTTATCATCCTCTCATTCATACTCAACATCCTTCTTTCTTATTATAGTATTAATTCTGATGAAAACAAGAATATACACATTACTAGAAAACCATCAGTTTTCTGTTGACCATTCTTTTCTTTTCATCTTTTAATAAGTTGGATTCTATTGATCATTGTTTGATTCTTGAGGAAGAAGAAGAAACTGAGGCTAGTGTGAGGCGCAAGTGCTTCTTTTGGCAATGCTGACACTGAGCTCGAAAGGGTCGTCGACTGGACTGCCCTTAATTGCTTCAGGCTCTAGCGCTACCTAAACGACACTTCATGCTCGGATAAAAAAAGTTTTGTTTTGTTCTTTGGTCTGCCCCACCAAATCTCTTCTCTGCTGTCTTTGTCCTCTGTTCCGGAAAAAATTGCATGGTCATGAGGAAGGCATATACTGATTTTCCATGTGGTCCTTGTTGTAGCTGGAGTAAAGATAGGAATACCATTTTACCCGAGAATATATAGGTTCCCCACCACTTCTTGCCTACACAACCACGAAATTTTTAAAGCAGTTCAAGCGCCCATGGCCTTGTCGACTGCGTGAACCCGAAAACTTGTTTGCTCCGTCCAGGCGAAGTTCCTCCACAGACCCTTCCAGTATAGTTATCTGAAACTCATTTAAGGATCTCCTTGAGCATTGCAGATCAAGAAATAAAAACGCCGGGATCAATCAATTAATTATCAGGGTTATTGGGCGCAGCCGGCCGAATCCAATCTAGAACACCACCGCAAGTCAATCTAATTTTTTGGTTTTTGGTTTTGAATCTTGACGATGATACTACGGCGAAATGATAGATAAGATAGATTGTCGGCGGTCGGGTCGGGTCGAATCGGCTTAAACTTCTGGGCTTTTGAGTTTTTTAAAGAAGCGTTGGCTTCCTGAGCTTGATCGGACTCTCGAGCGGAGGCGGCAATAAATAGTTGATTTACATCGCGATGACTATCGCCATTAGGGCCCCGCAGCTCCCTCCTGGAGATCGTTTCGACTTGCAGCTGACTTCAAGCTTGATAAGGGCCGATAGCGTTCGGTTTGCATTCTTCCTGCGTGGGTGTCGTGCCGTGGTTTTTTTTTTCTTTGCCTCTGCTGCTAGACATTCCAGCCTTAAAGCCAACGGTCTGCATATCGATCACTCGCGGTTTTGTGAAAACACCCTCGTTTTTCCAGGTGCTTATCTGGTGTAGCTGAGTCTGCCAAGGTATATTCACTTCACCCGTTAGAAACGTCAAGACATAGAGCTTTCAGCTTCATTTCCCACTTCTGAGCATCAGGGTCATTATGGAAATGTCTAGAGGAATCTGTCTCCTGGCTTGTTTATTTCTTTGTGTTGTGTTGCCGGTGAGATCTGCGAATGGTGTTGCAGTGGGTGACAGCGCACTGGAAGCGCCACTCCAAGACGCCCTTCTACCCACCAAGACACTCGAGGCACCAGATCTTGTTGGCCAATGTCCGCTGGACGAATGCTCCATCAGTAGCGCTCACTCGACAATCGACCGACCCTCCTCGCCAATCGAATTAGAACGGGTAGTCGAGAAGGTCGGGAAAGAATGGCAATGCGGCTCCATCCGCTCGTCACGATGGAGTGATAAACAACACCTCTATCCCAATGTGTTTTGGAACCACATAATGGGTTCGGCTAACAAGCAATACGCTCAAGTTCGGAGCTTGCAAGGTATGCTTTACTCACTGAATAGCTTGCTCTCACATTCCATCCTATAATTACGCGTTGCTATGTATATACTAATTGGAGAATTCTTTGGATCATCTTTTGAAGATGCTGGAGTTTTTGGACTGATGCCAAGGATAATGACCCAACGAGCATACTACGAAACGCAAGCCACGGACGAAGAAAAAAGAATGATTGATGAGTCTTGGGAACGTCTCTTCGAGCGTTGGTGGACGGCAGATTCCGGGGCTTCCGCTCAAGAAGGACGGATGGTCGCACAGAGGCTCTTGGAAAGAATGGATGAGATTGCTGAGCAAGTTCGCATCAAACAGCAAGAGTATCAAGGAGAAACAGAGGAAGAAAAGAGAGAGATAGGGAGAAGATATGTGAAGGCTATCGCTGACGACTTGACCAAGGAATGTTGGACTTCATATAATCCCCTCTTCCAACAAACTTCATGGTTCAATAAACTCACCACCACCAGTCAAGAGATCCATTCTTCTCTGGATCAGTTGGCTGAAGATCTTCGGAAGCTTCCAGACCGTAAGCTTCATCCACTCCTTTTTTTCTTTTTTTTTCTCTCGGGGATCTTGTGTCTAAATGTGAACCACTCACTTTGTTAGCTTCAATGAAGAACTATTTTTATCATGAGGTCCGCAATAAGAGAATCAATCAAAGTGCTTCCTTAGGATTAAAGTTTTCTAAGCACCCTGCAACAAACTCGTGAATAAAATGAGCACTTTGATTTATACAATCAGTCAGTCTTCTCAACATCGACTTGTAATTTGTAGTACTAGCATGGCTTCAGATATGAGATTTTGAATAAATGGTCACCAATGTTTATTAGATTAAAGCAAGAGCATGAACGAGTGTTGTAAATGTTCTCTCTCTCTCTAATCTCTCAGTGTGGGCTTCCTTGGTTGTCTTGATGATGGAATGGAAACGCTTGAAATGAGGGCATGATATGAAGGGGATTCTTGCTCCTTCTCTTGCAGATTTTTGGTTGGTTGGGTGAGGAATGGACTGCTGCAAGACTGCATTTACAAACCCATGAGGTTGGCGATGGGTTTGATGGATTGATGGTCATCATGATGGATTCGTGTGAAGATACAGATAAAAACAGTTACTCAAAATGCCCTCAAGAGATTGGAGGGTGATGGAGGCTTCTTGCTTCATCGGGCATTATCTGGATTGATCTCCCACGAATAAGATTGCTCGACCTCCTTGCTGATGTCTCATCTTCTGTTTTCCCACTCTGACTCTTCTCGCTGTGGTTTTCTGGTTCTCGTCCCCCCGGCTCGGTGAATCCACAGCCTTGTTATCCTCAAACATTCGAAATCGCAGTCGACCAGCAAGACTTTTCAGGTGGGTTCGTCTTCTTATGCCTTCACTTGTTTCCATCACACTCTTGCTGACCTGAAGACGTGACTGGGGTATGTCTGCAATCCATCTCACAGCAACGTTTCCATAGACTACAGCTCATCTCATCGAGGGTACCGAGGCATCCGATCGCAAGAAGGAAGTAAGCAAGAGATGGAGATGGGAAAAAATGCGACTCATGCCTTACGAAAACTCCTCGTCTGGGCTCCAATCGTCGTGCTGATCTGGAATTTCGGCCAAGTTCTGGGTTGCAACGATGGCCTTCACAAACGATCTCAGCCTTCTGCTACTCCACCTCCCGGGGCTCCGAACCGTCAACTGGAATGGGGAGATCTTAATATTCTTCATACAACCGATTCTCACGTACGTTGGTTCTGCTTGACTCCTTCCTCAATAGTATTCCTGCTTCGCAAACAGATGATACTATCCTTCTGGGAAATGGCTTTTATTCAAGGTGACAAACAAAAATCGCTAACCCTGAAAAAACCTTCATATTTTAGGGCTGGTTACTTGTAAGCAAGCTCTATCCTCTGAAAAGAAACCGTCTTTCCAACGGCTACAAAAATCAAATTCTTATACGAGCTGGATAAATCATTTTGGGTCACAGGGTCATCTGAAATCCGAGCAACCCGAACCGAACTACAGTGGTGATTTTGTACGCCATGATTTCCTAATCAATTTTCAACGACAACAAAACCTCATCTAATTCTCGATCCACTTGCTATTGAAAGGGCGACTTTCATTCTTTTGTTCGCCGAATGAAAGAGAAAGCGAGTCAGAAGGGCGTTGATTTATTAGTTGTGGATTCGGTGCGCTACAGAGATTACAGCCCGAAGAAAGCTAGACCATACATTACTTCACACAAATCCTGATCGTTATCTACTTATTAGGGTGACTTGCATGATGGCAATGGCTTGAGTGACGCCGAACCGTATGTCCATCCAGGTACCCCACGCGGTTCCACCTCGAGCAAAATCTTCACACGTGTCCCTTATGATATTTTGGCTATCGGTAAAACCTCTCAATTCTCATATCTGCGGTGAACTCGAATCTCATGAGCTTCCCCCTTTTTCCGACTTCGTAGGAAACCATGAGCTCTACGATTTGCCGATAGCACAGGACATGCACGATAATTTCGCACCCTCGTGAGTATCACATCTGTCGTAATCTTCCTGAAATCTGGAAATTCGATCTCCACCTGTGGATCACTCTTAGAAGCCCAGATCGTGACTGACGAAGAGGCTTTTGTATATCCTTAAAATCAGCTGGAAGGGCTCGTATCTAACGTCGAACGTCAATATCACCACCTCCGGTACCTCTGTTCCTTTAGGCTCCCGATACCGCAAATTCGTAACCGAGCAGGGCCGGAAAGTGACCGCATTCGGCATCATCTTCCACTTCACCGGCAATGCAAACGGGACGACCGTCCAACCACCGTCTGAGGTAGCGCCCCTTTCCACCTGTTTTTCGTTGAAATCATGCTCAATACTTGACATCGTCTATTCTTATAGCTCGTTTCAGAACCTTGGTTTAAAGAGGCCATTCGAGATAAACCTGATCTCTTTCTTCTTGCCGGACACATGGTGCGGCTTTCTTCTCTTCTCTTTTCACCAGATATTTCCTTCACACCTGAAGTTAAGAGCCACACGTCGAATTCGTAGTCAAGCCTTCCAATGGACGCAATCATTGATCTATCTATTTCTCATGAGCTAGGAAACAGTTGCTCAAATTTTTCTCTCAAACTATTTTTTCAATTAACGAAATCCAGGGAATTCGCGACCCAGATTGGAAAATCGTCTTAGATTCCATTCGAGCTATCCATCCAGACGTCCCAGTGACAATTTTAGGAGGCCATGTGAGCATGCTACAGATTGGGTCTTCTCTGTTTTTCTCCTTACAAATCGTGGGTTTCTGATTTGTTTTAAATATAACATTGGACTTCAATATTAGTATCATATTCGTGATTGTCAACAATTGGATGACCGGTCCATGTCCCTGGCTAGTGGAAGATACATGGAGACTCTAGGATGGATGAGTAAGTTATTGATTTTGTTTTGTTCTCCAATCTAGCCAATGCTAAACTTGTTTGTCTTTTTCGTGCTGTCGATAGGCTTGAGTGGCCTGGACAATCCCGGAAAAAAGCCCAAGTTTTCTCGACGTTACCTCGATGCTAATCGCGTAACTTATCAATTCCATGCTGGTGACAAATTTGACACGATCGAGGGAGTCCAAACCACCCAGAAACTGACCAGAGCGGCCGAGGAATTTGACATCTATCATAGGTTTGGCGTTGCACCTCAGTGAGTAACTCCCCAGGTACTTCTCTTCATAACAAAGGCGGCAAGACTGACGCCAAGCGTTTGATTGCAAATCTTCGATTTGTTAAGCTCATTTTTCGGATATCGAGTTCCATCGACCTCGAAGGAGTCTCTCAGCTATCTATTTACTGGACCGGATGGGGTCCTGGAGACTGTTGTCAAAAATCCCAAACGGAACAATCCAATGCTAGGTATCGTTCACACCACAGCCATGCGAGCTGATTTGTATGCCGGTAACTTCACTTCCAACGACCAATTTATTACGATGCCCTTCAACAACTCGTTTCAATACGTTCCCGACGTGCCTCGAGTGACGGCAGAAGAAATCTTAGGAATATTAAATGCTGGTCAGTTTTCTGACAAGTGTATATCTAATCCCAGTCAAACACATCGAGCCTGACCTGTGGATCTGGCAAAAATACAGGTGGTCCAGTGCGGAGCAAGGCACAGCTGAGCCGACTGAGGCGACATTTGGAAACGAAAGAAGGCATCCCAAGGGACCAAAACTTCCATCTCGGCCACGACGTCACCGACCATTATCTTAACTGGATGCGCCTCCAATTCGAAGATCACCATCACCAACAGTCCGTCCTCTCCGGCCGCTCGAGTCCTCAGATCCCATCGACTTCCTACGGGTATGTCACCAAAGATCAATGTCCGGGCTATGGCGACGACGTCATCCACACCCCTCTTCCGGTCGTCGATCAGACCGAATACGTGGCCACTACAATTCCTAATGACTCGTCTGATCTCATTGATGTTGTATTCGATAGGTCTGTTGATCTCTCTTTGCTCGTAGTCCATCTTCATCTCCCATAGTTGTCGAAGCTGACTCAATGTCCTTTTCCCCTAATGCTTGGTTTCACACAAATTACCCACATTTGTCATCAAAACTCGAACATGCAAAAAAAAAAAAATATCAAAATTGATGATTGATGACTGGTAGCTTCACCGCGAAGTTTGTCTTAACGGCCTTGAACGAAGCCCGGACTCTGACCATCTCGTCACCGACTCATGGGCACAAGAATTACACGATGGAAGATGTGGAAGAATACAGTCCGTTAAAAACCAACCAAATCCTTGGGATTTATGCTCAATCTAAATGGAATAATTAGCCATTCTATCTGCACTCGTTCTTTGCTTCCCTGCTTTATCTGCTCCAGTGTATTTCTAGATCGTTGCTCTTATTTATACGTGCTCATATATTTCCTCATTTTCCTCTTCACACAAGCAAAAGATTGAAAAAAAAAACACATTCGAGCCTATCGTAACATCTAATATTTGTTTCAGCACAGAACTATATACAATCATTTATTGGCTGTTCTTTTTTTTTTGTCTTTTTTTCATTTACTTGCTTCAGATTTCGTTTTGTTACCAGATAATAGTGTGTGATATCGACTTACCAAAAAAGTGGGAGGATGTGCTCACTCACTAAAATGTTGCTCATGTTGGGTGAACACAATCAGCTTGGCGACCTCGGGCAAGTCTGGGACACGCCGGCAGCAACCGGCAGCCCAGTGCTTCTGGATGTAAGCCCCTTGCCCAACTGGCCACTCAACCTGGAGTTCGTTGAAAGGGAAAAATATAACGAGCTAGGTTGCGGTACCGTTGCTCTTCTCCATCATTCTCTCCCGGACCCAACAGGCACTGATCTGGGCATGTGACCCGGTGGTGTTAAATGCTGTTCTATAGATGTCGGCTCCCGAGGATCTGAGCTTGATTGATCGGATTGCCAGATGCTTGGAAACTTTCTATCAGAGCAGAGTCAAAGCTAAGGCTTGATCTTGATGTACAAAAACAAGTCACTCATTTCGGTCAAATTAGGAATTGATCTTGCGCTTGGTGAATGTCCAATCACTCTTGGCCGTGCTTGTCCACTGACTCGTTTGGTTTTGGGCCTTCTCCTCAGGCATTCCTAATCGTGGTGGGCCAGTAAGACTTTCAGGCGAGCTCGTCCATTTAATGCCTCCCATTTGTCCATCGCTCTCACTGACCTGCCTAGACTTGTTTGCGTCATCTCACAGGAGGATTTCTTATAAACTACCCAAACCTGGTCGAGGCTATTAACAATTTGGAAAGACTCATTTGAGAAAGCAAGATAGTATTAGAGATGGGCAACACTACGATTGACGCCTTTCGACATTTCCTCATCTTTGGCACGCTGATCTGGAATTCTCGACACGCTTTGGGTTGCAATGACGGCCTCCACAAACGATCTCAGCCTTCTGCTACTCCACCTCCCGGGGCTCCCAACCGCCAACTAGAATGGGGAGATCTTAATATTCTTCATACAACCGATTCCCATGTGCGTTTGTTCTTTTGACTGTTTCCTCATCGGGATCCCAACACACCGCAGAGAACCGATGATCAGCTGTAATATAGCGGCTTTTTGTGCAAACTGACGTTGAGAAGCAAATGTTTCTGATTCTCAAAACATCTTCATGTTTCCCGTCTGGCAGGGCTGGTTAATTGTAAGCAATTTCTCTCATTCTTCAAACTGCTACCAGGGCGAATTCTAAAATCAGTTGCACCAATCCTCTGGGCCACAGGGTCATCTAAAATCCGAACAACCTGAACCCAACTACAGTGGTGATTTTGTACGTATTCAGATCAAAATTAAGCTGCAACCTTGGGGGAGAAGAATACTTTATCTGACGCGTGCTTTTCATTTTACTCGCTACCGCGTTTTACGATTTGCTCCTCTGTGATGGCTGTCTCTCTTCACTTGCCACCGAAAAGGGCGACTTCCACTCCTTTGTTCGCAGCATGAAAGAGAAAGCGACTCAGAAGGGGGTTGATCTATTAGTTGTTGATTCGGTGGGCCACCCAAATTTGATCGAAAAAAAAAAAAAAAACAATCCTATCGTACGCGCTTGGCCCAAATTCCTGACCATCATCCGCTCTTTAGGGTGACTTGCATGATGGCAATGGCCTGTGTGACGCCGAACCGTATGTCCATCCTGGCACTCCTCGCGGCACCACCTCAACCAAAATTTTCACTCGTGTCCCTTATGACATCTTGGCTATCGGTAAGAAATCTCTCAATCCTCTCATATCTGTGGAATCCTGAACTCGATCTTCATAAGATTCTTTCTTTTTTCAATGCCGTAGGTAATCATGAGCTCTACGATCCAGCGATAGCTCAGAACATGCACGATGATTTCGCCCCTTCGTCAGTATCGCATCCGTCCTAATTTGTCTGAAATTTCAGATATTAGAGCTACAGACATGGATCGCGTTTGAAGCTCAGCCTGCGACTTACCAAAGCGCTTTTTTTCATTTCCTCAATATCAGCTGGAATGGCTCTTATCTAACATCGAACGTCAACATCACCACCTCCGGTACCTCGGTTCCCTTAGGCTCGCGATATCGTAAATTGGTCACTGAACATGGCCGGAGAGTCACTGCTTTTGGCATCCTCTTCCACTTCACCGGGAATGCGCATGGAACAACAGTCCAACCACCTTCGGAGGTAGCACACTTTTCCAGCTACTTTTCATCCGAATCACGCTCCATGTTTGATTCTGTCTTGTCTGACAGATGATTTTAGAGCCTTGGTTCAAAGAGGCCATCCAGGATAAGCCTGATCTCTTTCTTCTGGCCGGACACATGGTACGGTCTCGGTCGCTTCCCTTTTTTTTTCGCTACCCTCCTTCCACCATCCTTATCATCAATGCGCATCCAGTACTTGCCCCTGTTGGCGCTTATCAAAATTTATCATGGCCTCAATCGCTTCTTATTTCATTCTCGTTTCTCCTAAACCTTTAGGGAATTCGTGACTCGGATTGGAAGCGCGTTTTCAAAACTATTCGAGCCATTCATCCAGAAGTGCCAATAATCATTCTGGGAGGTCACGTGAGTATACAGTGGAGATGCTGGTGTATCAGCTCCTCACAAATCGCGATTTTCTAATGTTTTTTTTTTTTTCTTCCTCATTACTTTTGGGATATTATTTCAGTATCATATCCGTGATTGCCAACAATTGGATGATCGATCCATGTCTCTAGCTAGTGGTAGATACATGGAGACCCTTGGATGGATGAGTAAGCTCTATATATCTGATTGTATTATAACAGTAGTCTCTTCAACCTGATTGAAGCTGATCTTGTGATTTTGTTTTGCTTCTGCAACCGATAGGCTTGAGTGGTCTGGACAAACCCGCAGAAAAGCCCAACTTTTCTCGGCGCTACCTTGATGCCAATCGGCTCACTTATCAATTCCATGCTGGAGACCAATTCGACACGATTGAGGGGGTCCAGACCACAGAGAGATTAACCAAAGCTGCTCAGGAATTCGACATTGATCGCAAGTTTGGTGTTGCTCCCCAGTGAGCCCAGCCCCTGCTTGAGCGCTTTCTCATTTTAGCAAAGCCGGGAATGCTAAAGAGAAGCATTTGATTGTCATCCCATATGGTTATGTTTATTTAGTTCGTATTATGGTTATCGAGTCCCCCCCACTTCAGACGAGTCCCTCGGTTATCTATTTACTGGCCCGGAGGGAGTCTTGCAGACAGTGGTGAAGGACCCAGGACGGAAAAATCCTATGCTAGCTTTTGTTCACAGCACGTCCCTTCGAGCCGATCTCTATGCCGGCAACTTCACTGTCAACGACCAATTCATCACCATGCCCTTCAACAACTCCTTCCAATACTTCCCTGATGTGCCTCGAGTGACGGCAGACAAAGTTCTAGGAGTCTTGAATGGAAGTCAGTTGTCTAATAAATTGATAGTGATTTTCAGGAAGCTGCTGACCCACTGATCATCGACACAGAGAGCCCAGCGCAAGACGATGCCCAGTCGAGTCAGATGAAGCGACATCTGGAGACCAAGGAAGGCCTCCCGAGGGATGAGAGTTTCCATCTAGGCCACGACGTTGATCAGCATTACCTTGACTGGATCCGACTGCAATCCGAAGACCACCATCACGAGCTTTCAGCTCGCTCAACCAATCAGACACCCTCAGCCTCCTACGGCTACGTCACTAAAGACGAATGTCCCGACGATGGCGACGATGTCATTCACACCCCTGTTCCATTCGTCCGTCAGACCCCATACGTGGCCACTACTATTCCTGACGACTCTGCTGATCTGATCGATGTTGTATTCGATAGGTCTGTTTCTCCTTCCTTTCTCAGAGTGTGCTTTTTTTTTAACTCTTCCCCAATCCAGCTGACACAGGTAACTTTTTCCCCCAACCGTTTGTTTCACAAAAAAAACCCTGCATATATCATCATTTTTCGGTACATCACTTGATCATGATGATCAAAAACGTATATCATTGTGCCCTTAATTCCCCCCAGCTTCATAGCAAAGTTCCTCTTAGTGGCCATCAACAAAGCCCGGGCCATGAATGCCACATCTACGGATGGGCGGACCGAAAATTACACGAGGGATGATATCAAAGAATACAATCCTGTGAAATCCAATGAAATTCTCGGCATCTATGCCCAGTCCAAATGGAATAATTAGCCGTCTTGTAGGTAGTAGGCCCGCGTATTTTTGAATGTCTCATGTATTCGTAAGTAGTTTGTCATGTATACACAGTTTTCCAGATTTTCGTTTTGTTACAAGAGCATGTGCTTAGACCCACTGCAATATCTATCGTGTGATTGAGTATACACGTAGATTCAACCATTTGTTCACCCTTTTTAGTCAGTTGTCATTTTTTTGCCTCCTCATTTGATTTTTGAAAGATTGACTTAGATTCGGATTACAAGGTGAGATTGTAAGGTTTACACTTGCGAGATTGACAGAAAAGTAATGCAGGAAAGAGATATACAAAATTCGGGCTATGTCTTGCTTTTCTTCATGTGGAGGATTCATCACCGGATTGTGGTCTGATTTCCGCCTGATTGTTCTCGAATTGAATCAAGAGTTGCATCGGCCGAACTAAACAAACAAAAAGTCGTTGAGATGAATTAGGACGGCAATTTGGCGGCAGTATGATGGATCGGATATGAGTGAAGATCAGATTTACTTCTCCGCTCCAACGGTCAGTTGGGATGAAGGGTCTCGTTTGAGTTGCTTGACGTCGCCTAATACGCCCAAGAAATAGATTCGACTCCTTTGGCCGGCTGATGGATCACGCTGGAGGGAAAATGGAAAGTGAATATCAAACAAAATGGGAAGAAAGAGAGGGAATAGAGAGAGGGAGAGAGAGGGAAGGACGAACGAATTCGAAGGAGAGGCTAGAGACGGATTGGAAGCGGGTGACACGGGTAGGATACTCGACGGCTGTCTCGAGCTCGACATCGAGCTCCCACTCCTGGTCAGGCTTGAGATCGTCTACCTGATCGAAGCTGATTGCATTTGAGCGGTTGGTCCAGACACGGGCGAGCCGGGGAGACTGGTCACCCTTGGCGACGTTGATGACGATTGTCCGAGCCCGCACGGGCTGGTTGAAGACCACATGGACGATCATCTCCGGTCCGGTGTCTTGGTGGGTGACGAGCGACTCTTCCGGCGAAAGCTCGTTCCGGGTATGGATCGGTCGGATGATCGCGCCTATTCCGGTATGCCCCCCTCTGCCGGTTGTTGATGAGCTGGGTGGCTGGTCGACGTTCAAGCAGTACGACTTGGATTGATCGATGTATGGGTATAACGAGTAGCTATTACTGCCGCCGGCCGCCCGAGAAAATACATCGGCGGAAGTCGACGGGTCAAGTTGCTCGAAATCGACCCCAGTCAAGTCACCTTCCTGTGGTCCAAAACAAATCAGTTTCTCACCCTTGCTTCATTCCAGTTGATACACTCTTTTGCAGGACTCACACAGTTATTAACAGGCATGCTCCTGGCTAAATCCTTGTTGTTGTCAGAGTGAATGCGTGTCCTGCAGTTTCTAGTTGTTTTTCTTGTGACTCGATTCTCAATCCCATCAAGTGTGTCTTTCTTTTCTATTTGAGATTTGCCGAGTATTTAAATACTATTGGGAAAGGAGTGGTCCATCGGGATTCGGGGTTGGCGGGGATGAGTGTGAGTCTGTGACAGCTGTGAGTGAAGGCGTGATAGTCCCGTGACAGCTGTGGAGCAGGATACATGCGCCCTTCTCTGGTTTGCAGGAAAAAAAAAAAGAAACACAGCACTCCCCAAAACGATGGCACAGGGATTCAAGAGCAAGAAGACGACGACGACTCCCAAAAACAACCGCCATAAGGCTCAGCCGGTCAAGAAGGGCGGTAAGTCACTCTTCATAACCGATACACTTTGAGAGCGATTGACTGAGATTGATGAACCTCTTGAGTCTTACAGGCCGAAACATCCCTCCCAACAAACCAGCGGCGGTGACTCAGAAACTGAGGAAAGAGGTCAGTCCTTCCCCCCCAGATTAAAAAAAAAAAAGAAAAGAATGACTGATTCTCATTGTGTCGGCTTCCAGAAAGTATCAAAGAGTGTGACGGGAGACATCGAGCAAATGGTGGTCTCGAAATCGGTCGGAAAACTGACGATCATGAAGCATCTCAAGGAGGCTGAGAAGACCTCGAATTCCAAAGCTGCCAAGTAATCTGGAAGAAGAGACCCAATCCATGCCCCACCCCAATCACTGCCATCCAAGCTGGGCTCCTTTGTAGACCAGCTAGAACGGCCCTAGTATCGCCCCAGGATGGACTCATCCACACACACACACCCATCCGTGGACTCGTCTACTCCTCTCATAATATTCTCATTTCTGAGCTCTTGTCCCCTCTCCAACAGCGTATACCAATCGATTGTACCAATCGTGTTGCATCTGCAGGAGTGGATAAGCTGAGGAAGTCCTTTAGGGAACAGTAGAGGCTGACCGACATGACTTGCATTCGATGAAGAAGGCTCTGCCACTCCCCTTCGGAGGATTATTCGGTTGTTCAACGTATGTACCGGTTAATCCAACAGAATAAAATGAATCATCATCACTCGAGAGCATACATACAGGCAGTACATGCATCCAGTTTCTGTTTCCAAGACAAGCGTCTACATAACAGGAAAGTTAAGCTTCTTTGGGGGTGGTTGAATCAGGTTGGATGTTCTTTGATGGCCTTGGAGAGAAGCCAAGTACATAGATAGGGTGGTTCTATGTATGCAGTGGAAATTTGATGTGTGGTCCTTCATCTTTATCCTTACCGAAGAATGGATTGACTACTTGAATCTCTCCGAGCTCAATAGACTGATCTGCAACCAGAGAAGTCCGTCAGGACTGTCTACTCAAAAATCAGAGAATATCTCCTTCGCCAGTCCGAGCCAAGGCCCCAAGGGTTTACATGAAGAAGTCGAGCTGAATCCTTCAAGCTGCCTCCCACAAAAGCTCAACATATCCTCAGCACTCCCAACAAAAACATAAAAGAGTCTGCATTTCCCGCCAACGCCAAGCAAGAGTCAAATCATACATCCTCCAGACCGATGAAAACTCAAGGGTTGAAGATTGGAGCAGTCCCTCGTACTCACTATCTTCTCAACTTGGCTGTCGCTAGCCTCGTCCTCTTCAATCCTTTCAGTTCTTCGGCCTGCGATGATCAACATCTCCACCAGCGCTCCCAACAGTCAGCCACCCAGCCCCTAACCCCTCCTACTCGGGACTTGGAATGGGGTGACCTCAACATTATCCATACCACCGATACTCATGTATGTCTCGGCATCCAATGATCTATCCCCTATCTACTTGGATGACTGACCGTCGCTTTTTCTTTTTTCTTTTTCTGACCGCTCATGTGGCGTTTAGGGATGGCTATTAGTTCGTTCAAGACATGTTTTTGTTCTCTTTGTGTTGTGTCTTAACTGGTCGGATTTTACACAGGGCCATCTCAAATCTGAATATCCCGAGCCGAATTACAGTGGCGACTTTGTAGGTTGCTCATTTCCACACGAGAGATAAGAAGAATTATGGATTTGATAGCCAGTGGTCAAGCAGACTTGAATTGATTCCTTCGACTGGATATTGTCTTGATTTTGTTAGGGCGATTTTCAGTCTTTTGTTTTGAGGATGAAAGAGAAAGCGAAGATCAAAAAAGTGGATTTATTGGTGGTTGATACTGTCAGCTTTTCAAGTCCCCTCGGTCTTATCTCTTTTATTGATGTTTCTCAACTATACTTCTCTAGGGCGATTTGCACGATGGTAATGGTCTTAGTGATGCCGAGGCTATTGCTCATCCTGGCGTAACTCGAGGTACTACGTCGGGGAAATTATTGGCCGGTGTGCCTTACGACATTCTAGCGATTGGTAAGCTTTTTCTTCTCATAAACCCGTCTTCCTGATATATCTGTTAACGAACGAGATGAGCGACCGCTAGGAAATCATGAGCTTTACGACCTGTCGGTTGCTCAAGACATGCACGATAATTTTGCGCCGATGTTAGTGTTTGCACTCTTGTTGTTTTCATAATCATTTCTGAGAGGGGCTCTTCAACTTTGATGCATCATGAAAATATAGATGGAAAGGCTCTTATCTTACCTCGAATGCGAACATCACCACCTCCGGCCAGTCCGTCCCAATTGGCTCTCGTTATCGGAAGTTTAAAACCGAGCAAGGGCGTCGAGTGACCGCTTTTGGGATCATCTTTCATTTCACTGGAAATGCTAATGGAACTGTTGTCCAGCCACCTGCTATGGTTGGTGCCTTGATATTTCCCTCAGATTTAACTCTTGGCACTAATTATTACGGCACTTCTCCAGCTTGTTCAGGAACCTTGGTTTAAAGAAGCTATCCGCGAACGACCCGACGTCTTTCTTCTCGCTGGGCACATGGTAACCTCTTCACCCCATTGTATTCAACCGCATATCTTGCTGAATTTCAAACTTGGGTTCAATTTTTTGCCTCCATCCAACTAGGGTATCAGCGATGCCGATTGGAAAATAGTGTTCTCAACTATTAGGGCTGTTCATCCGAAGGTGCCAATCATCATACTAGGTGGACATGTCAGTGTTGATGACTTTTTCTCTCGAGTGCGTGTGCGTTTTACATGCTAACTGTGACAAATACAACAGCTGCATATCCGAGATTGTAGGCAACTGGACGATCGTTCCGTGTCGCTGGCAAGTGGAAGATACATGGAAACTATCGGATGGATGAGTCAGTTACTCTGACAGATGGTAATCTAAATTTGACTGGTGTCGTACTCATGCTATACTTTTCTGCATATGTATTCTAGGTCTGAAGAATCTTGGTGGAAACAGCAAGCTGGAGTTTTCTCGGCGATATCTGGACCCCAATCGGCTCACTTATGCCTTCCATGCCGGCAACGATTTTGATACTCATGCGGGCTTCAATACGTCCCGTGGACTTGCCAAGGCGGCGGCTGATTTTAATATCACTTATCAGTTTGGGGTTGCTCCACGGTACGCCTTGTAGTTAAATTTAACATCTGATGAGTTCCTTGACAGCCATTAATCATAAAACAATCTCCGGCACAGGTCTTTCTTTGGCTACCGAGTAGCCCCTACTGCTAACAATTCGCTTAACTATCTCTTTACTGGACCCGGTGGTGTGCTGGAAACCGTCGTCAAAAACCCAACTCGACCACATCCTCCCCTGATTGTTGTCAACACCGGCGCTATGCGATTCGACATTTTCGCGGGTAACTTTACCGTTAATGATGAGCTCATCACCATGCCCTTTTCGAACACATTTATGTATGTTCCCGACGTGCCCCGATCGATTGCTGAGAAGTTTGTAGTGGCAATGAATCAGGGCAAGTATTCAAAAATATTAATCATCGGAACATGTTTATAAGTTTTGGTTTCCGTTGGGTGAAGATTTGAATCAACTGACCTCCCGATAACATTCTTGAAAGTTTAGGTGGTGTAGCTCGAAGAAGGAGCGACGTCAAAAGGATGCGCAGGGACTTGTCGGAGGAGATAGAAAAAGACGAAGACTATCACCTGGGTCAAGATGTTGAAGCCCACTATCGGAAGTGGCTCCAGCTTCAATCCTCGCTTCGTCGACCCACGCAGTCGTACCTGTCAGCCGATATGGAAGAAGGAAAGAACGTGATCGTTGAACGATCGATACAAAAGCACGACTTGCACACCTATGGATATGTCACTCATGATCAGTGTCCCGGTTTGGGAGACGATGTCACCCATGAACCTTTGCCTTCGTTTGTCCAACCTGACTATGTCGGCACCGCGTTGCCCGCTTCAACAGATAAGGTGGACGTGGTTTTCTTCAGGCAAGTCGTCTAATTGCTTGTCTATCATCTTACTCACTTGGTTGAAATAACGCCAAACCAATTATCTTGGACCGCATAACTTACCTAAACATCTCTCTCTCTCTCTCTCTCTTCCTAATGCTGCAAACATTCACTCCTTTTCCCATCACCAGTTTTATCACCAAGTTTTCGCTGAATGCTTTGAATACGATCGCTGCTCGATCTCATTCTCCCCGCAAATTCACCTCGAAGGATGTCATGAAGTATACGGAGATCGAGTCGAACCAAGTCTTGGGTATCTATGCTCGTCAAAAATGGAACCATCATTAATCTTCCCTCTTCCTTCCTCTTCCTCTTCCTTTCTTATTCTTATTCAGACCCGCGGTCTATTTCTTTTTGTAGAGTCAGGCCGTTTAGTTACTTATCGTTTTTCATTTCATTTCACTTTTCACGTTTCTCAAGACTTCTTAAATGATTTGGAGAGCTTCTTCTTTCTTCTTATTTTCCTCTAATTGAATAATAAAATTTTGGTATCGGTATCACTAATATAGAATGGGTGCTTGTGTGTTCAGTTGATGCAAAACGCAATCCAGACTGGAACCTTTTTTTTTGTCACGCTTCTGCTTGAAAACGAGGATCTAATTCAATTCTCTTTGAGTCCATCAATTGAAGGTTGCAGCTGAAACCAGCGTCCCGCGGTGCACTTGGATGCTTTGCCAAACACAAACACGGGCCTGATGTTGAAGTTGGGGACAACCAAGATTGAATTTCCATGATCCAATCACCTGTCTGGTCTGTGTAACACAAACATGGCGGGATAACGCACCTCTGAAGAAGCTGCTCACGTGGTGCAACTCATGTCGATTTACTTTTCTCCCTTGAACCGCACTTAGATCAGCCGGCGGGGAAGCGTTTTGTTCTTTGCCCAAATTGGAGGCAGAGGGCTGCTACGGATGTTGGGAATTCTTGCTCCCGGAGCGTGAGCAGTCTGCGCTTGCCGAAGATACCAGTCATCCGATGCGGGGAGCTTGCAGCCTGCGACTCCCGCACCAAAGAAACAATGAGGCGAGGCTTATCATCACAGCACGGCATGAACGCTGCACACAGAAAAACACGATTCGGTCGATTTCCCCAGCGGACTCCAGGGGCGCTGAGGTTTGCCTTAGCGCAGTGGGCAGGTCTTACCACATGGGATGTCATCGCTTGAATGGTGCTGGGTAACAAATATTTAGACATCCGTCATGAGTCTAAGTCCTTCATGGGACCTCTCCTCGGGATAATCTGGCCGAACATGTCTATTATATTCCAGTCTGAAGTGGGGGGGCGGTGGCATTCTTTGATGATTTGATTTTAATGAAAAGGTTCAACCCAATAATCGCAAATCCGTCAAGGACCACTTTGTTCCCACTTGAGGAGCAAAGCGAGAAATACTCAATCTTCATCTTACATGCCCGTAAATATTTCTTGGATATACTATGTAGCTCCGGTTTTCCAGGTGAGTCTTCAGCGGACGCCTCCAGTCCATTGAACTTAAGCTGACTATCACCCTCGAATTCGAAAGAGCGCTTCCAGACCTGCATGCTCACCAGTGTATATCATCACATCGCTTTTGCTGGGTTGGGCCGTGGCCTGTCCCTCGGGATGGGTGGACTGGCTCCGTTTACGGATTTCCTTTTGAGAGTTCTTTCGCCGGCGTGCAGATATGGAGAGTCCCATTGCCAAGGAGTGAGTATAAAACGAAGACTCGATCGGCACTTCTTTCCTCATCCTGCTCATCAATCATCAGTCGAACACAAGGTGCAATATTCGATACCCCCAAGCCGCTTGCTTCCAACCTGTTTCTTTTTTCTTTTTTTTTTTTGTTTTTGAGCCATCAACCCATTATCTTCAAGGACTCCAATAAATTCTTTCAAAGATGGCGAAAATCTTATTCGCCCTTATAAGCACTTTGTTAATTCTTAATACTATCTCCGCTCGCTCTGATTTGATTACGCTCTTGCGACGCGCCCTGAAAGGTGGAGTCTCCTTTTATCTGGGGAACATGGACGCGATCTCGACCGATTTGATGAAGAACAATGACCCTAAAGAGGATTGTGTGTTCTACGTGAATAGCTACAACTCAACCCGAGAGAAGAACGCGGCGATTGCATTTGCACAGATGCGCAATCGGCAACTCACCGCTAGCGGTGGTCGGGCTACCGCCAACACGCTCTATGATGCATTCGACCTGAATCTAGCCTTTGGCGACTCTGGGACTTTGATGAGGGAAGCCACGGCCGGCGGCCCTACTTACCTGCGTAGTTATTTCAAGGTCACCTCGGGAGCATATGCAAGACTCTGTCGCGGTACGGTCTGGTTGATCGTCAAGAAGGGATCGCCTATCTATCAGGACGCGATTTGGCTCACTCATGAATACCCCCAGCTGATTCGACCTGGGTCTGGTGTGACGGCTATATGGGAGATCGACCCAGCTGAGATTGAAGCTGCATTAGCTCTGAACAATCCAAATCGTGACTTACACCCCACCCCTTACAGTCAGTATCATATCTTATGTTTTGTTCATAGCCGCCTTAGCCTTTTTTTTGAGTAAGGCATCAGCGAACTAAAATTGGGCCATATCTTTTTCTGAAGGGGGTGGACTGCCACCCGGAGCCCAGCCACCACGAAGCATCGATACGATCACTTACGACAAAAAGGACACCGCCAGCATCCAATCGAAGATCGACGAGTATGCACGATACCCTGATGTAGCCAATGGCTATCTACCGCCGAAGGGATCTGGATCTCCCCAATGTGACATGGGCGATAGTAGTCGAGTGCCCTACAACGTTTTCAATGGCCTCTTCGGCAAGTTTTGCGAAAACACTCTGAATAATCCTCTCAGCGGCCTCAGTCAAATCGTCGACGCTCGTGGATTCGTCATCCCGCCAAGGAAACGAAGCCTTTCCAAACGAACGCCTCCGCCCAATCCCGACACTTACAAGGATTACAAGTTTGGCCTCAGCTGGTCTGGAGGAAAGGGGAGTTGCTCACTGTCTTGTGAGGAAGCTTTTCACGCTGCCAGCAGTTCACCGTGTAAGCTATCTTGACATCTTTAATAAGCTTTATAATTTTTTCGGTTACTTGGCGAGATCTAACAAGACTTTTGTATATACCGTTGTAGGCGGCCACACTGCCGGTGAACAAAACATCATGAGTACTTCAGGAACAGTTGAAGCCGGCTGTGGCCAATACAAGTGGACGATCATCAAGCCTCCTACGAGTGGTCTCGATCCGGCACCCTCTCCTCCCGCGGTGTCGGCCGTCAAATGCAACCCGGCCGACCAGTTTGGGAAACATGGAGACATCGATCCCGGCTTCCAGAACCAATACACCGGCGTTGCTTGTGCGGGATCGGCGCTCAAAAACATCAAGCCCGGAGACCCTGAAATCAGCTTCAAAACTAAAACCAATGGAACGCCTTATAATTATAAGATCTCGTGGCTTCCCGCTTGTAAAACCACCGTCTCGGAGATGAATGTCTACAAGCCACTTCCGAACGATGATAAAAACACCTGTATAAGCCTTTTCCGCAAATCTTTCACTGATTGTGAGTTTTCTTTAATTTTAAGAATGTGACAGTTTGTTTGTTCATATTACTGATCCTGATTGGACCTTTTCTTGATTGACATATCTTAGGTAACAATGGAGGTGTTGGAGGATCAATAGACGTTGGGTGTGTTCGATACGAGTTTCATCCCTAGCTTGGTGCTCACCTTTTTTCTAGCGTCATAAGACCTACATACGTACAATCCAGGACAATTTTCTATTCTCTCAGGGTTCTCAGTTCTTTTTGTATACTTCTTGATTCTTATTTAGCCACAAAAACAAATTCAACATAAATAAGCTGTTGTTTTTTGTCTTTCCTTTCTGCCAAACAAACATTTGTCCAAGGCCAAGTGAAAAGACGCCATTCAATTGTGATCCATGGTGTGTTTCTGAAAAGAAAATTCAACACAAGCTGCATCATCTTACATTTTTATTATGTTGCTCTACTTCTGACCGGATAAGAATATCTATATACATTAGATTGAGTACAAAGTCATAAGGCCATTCACTCCATCCTCCACATTCAAACTGTGTTTTGAATTAATAATCGATGTGCGTTCAGGGTCTTCTTAGTTTGCATACTTTGGATGGTACAAAGGAGATTCTTTTGTTTCTTTTCTTAGACTTCTAAAAAAAGGTGCGAGAGGAACCGAAGTTGAAAAAAATAACCTTTCTGTAGCTCGTGAGAGGCTGAGACAGAAAAAAAAGAATATAGAAATCGAAGATAACTTGGGAGAGAAAATCTAGTGACCGGCCATGCCAGAAATCCCAGTAGCTTCACGAATACGGGCAATCTCAGAGGGAGATAACCATTCCTTGGAAGAGTTGAACCAATGTTCCCATAGTTGGCGAGCATTGGCTTCTCCGGGACCGGCGACCGGGCCGGCAAATTGGGATTCTAAGAATTGGCGAGTGCTGATCCAAAACTGATCGCCAGTGACGACGGATTTGAAGGATTCAGAGATCCCTAGATGGGGCGAATACATCGGATTGGTGTGCACGGATCCCGATCGAGAGCGGGAGATGCAGGGTTGTTCGGACGAGTCGGAGCCATCGATCTCCATCGTGATCTTGGGGATCTTCATCGCCAGTTTAGGTTCACCCTCCTTAGCAGAAGAGACCGATCCTCCACTTGCACCGGCTAGGGTCTTTTCGGAGATCGGCGTGCCTGGCTCGACTAGGACGGAGGAGGGTCGTTCTGAGGAGGCCAGATTCGAGACTGTCGAGTCCGGCTTGATGATCAAGTGAATCGTCTCTCCCGTTTGGATGGCCTCATACTCCTTCAATAACTTGCTGTCTGCAAGCGCTTTCCCCTTGTACACCAAACGTTGGGCTTCAACCGGTGGTGCCGAGCTGTCCGAATCACAGAGGAGTTGCTTGAGTTCACTGATCGTCGAGCTGGGTGAACAGGCGATCGAGAACGAGAGGGGTGGCTTGAGTGATTTGATGGTGATTTTGATCGGCTCTGTTAAGGCCAACCAAACAAAACAAAAAATATCAGTCTTCTGGTTTTCATGTTTTTCATGAAACGAAACATCCATCGAGACATCACTGACCAGAATTAGCCAGACCAGTAGATTCGTCGGTTAAAGGAGCAGGAGGCTCGGCCAATGGAACCTGATTGAAATCGGTCATAGGAGTTTTGATGAAGCCATCAGTAAGTGCTTCCTTGCTTTTTGGTTCAAGATAATGAGAAGGGCGGTAGTGATTTTTTACCTGTGGACAGTTGACTCTTCTTGGGCGTGATTCGAGTGAGGAGTTATGCTCGTTGGTAAGCTGGAGTTGCTGCTTACAGAGTGCTTGGAGATGACGCTTGACAGCATTGATCTCGTCTTGAAGTTTCTGGGCTGAAAGCATTGAGTCCATCTTGGAAGTTTGGTGATGTTTTGGTTTTTATGGTTTTTGGGTAGTTCTTCCACGTGGTTGAGCTTCAAGATCAAGTTGGTCTTGCTGTGGTGGCAGCCTGGGCAGGAGATCGAGCGGATTACGTAATCGGGGGTCATAGCATGGCTTATGTAAGCTGGCTTGGAACCCCTTGGAGCCCACTCAGAGCAGACCCCCTTTTGGATGCTCGTTCGACGTCAAGCAATCCCATCCCAGGTCCCAATATCGAGTGTTGCAGCGAGGGAGGCAACGTGCAGTTTGTAAAGTCCGCTTTGAAAACAAGTAGCATGGTTTGATACTTGAATAAATACTAACGCCAATGGCCATCATGATATTGGCTCGTGGTGCACGCTTAACTGTTGGACTTGGTCCACTCACATTAGAGCATCTCCTCCACGGGCTCACCGCAACCAGAGCCTCAGAGGTAATGGCAGCTGATCCACCATTATCATCTGCTTCCAAGCAATGTTTCCAAACGCATCAGGTGACACCGAGCAAAAGAAGGCTTGTGACCAGAGTCAAGTTGGTCAGTTTTGAGCCGGCAGCTGATCCATCATCTGCTTCCAAGCAATGTTTTTTGAACACATCAGCTGACACCGAGCAAAAGAAGGCTTGTGACCTGGGTTGAGCCTGAGGGGGTCAGTTTTGAGCATTATCGTGGTCGTAACGGCATCGCTATCCCCATTAGCAAAATGAAATTCACTCGTTTCAGACGGCCGGATGGGTGGACCTGAAGGGCCCTCACAAACTTTGCGCCAATCAGACTATATTACTTGGAAGCGACTTGCGTTAGCTGATCAAGTCATCTGGACATCAATGCCTTGATCGAAGATTGCGAGATCAGAGTCGCCGGAAATAAGAAAGCCCATACTACAATTCGATGGATCGGTCCGTTGATACATCAGGGTTTCAATGGTGCTGTTGTCCAAATCGAGACTGCGCGTGCTTGTCGATAGTTTTTTTTTTTGTTATTGGCGATAAGAACATGCCAGTCTATCTTGTGTGCAGAATCAGACAGCTGAAACCGAGACAACTTCACGAGTCTAATGCAACATGATTTTGTTTTTTCCCCTTTTCTCTCTGTGGCACTTGATGATGAAGAACCGGTAAGGTCAAGTGACAAGTCGCAATTAGATAGGATCTGGGTATGCCGCCAATTCATCAAACCTACACTTGATTAGATAACTCCAAAACTCTGATAGGCGTCTCATGGTTTGCAAGAGATGGAACCGGGACTCCTTCCAACAGGTCATTTGCGCAAGCTGATATTAATATCTCATTGTTTTCTGCTCAACCCCCCCCCTCTCCACTTTTTCAGCTAGTCCTATGATTTGATCTAACAGATCAATTACCTGAATTCGCCACTGAGTTACAGTGCTTCTGCCCCAGTCTTATAGAGAGTAGATCTTTTTTTTCATTAGTTAGTATCCAATTAGGAGTAGTCAAGATGTTGATTCCCCTGAGGAATTTCCAAGGGTCATGTTCTTTGTTTGTCTTGACAAGCTTTGTCCTTTTACAACATGCAGTTATAGTCGTAGAAGGGATCAAATGTATCACATGCAATGCGGAAGGCGTGGTGGTTGACGAGAAGTCGCAAACGTTGTGCAACTTTAGGCAAAAATGTGGTGAACATCAGTGTGGAAATTGGCGAAGTGCAACTAGGTATGACTGCCAGAGATCGGGTTGTGGAAAGATCCATTTCAAGCTCACTGGCACATGCAATCACCAAACCGACTGCCAATGCCAGGTCCAAAGGGAAAATTGGCTGAAAACCTACGAAGGTGAGTAAATCAGTACCAAACTGGCCGTTTGGTCTAAATATATGTACCAAAAAATTCGTCCTGCTCCTTCTTTTTCTCACTTCAGACAAGCATTTGGGGGACTGGATGACCTAGCAGTAACCATCCTTCACAGAGGCTCGGTGTCTCTCCTCTAGCAACAAATCCAAATCACTTTGAAGAGAGTGACAAGTCTGGGGTTCAGATTGCAGCAGACCCAACCCCTGGCAGCTGCCACCCCTAAATCTGTCCTATTACACATTACCCCATTTTCATTTTCAAAACCATTATTGTTAGTTATCCTGTATACAAAACCCCCTGCAAATCCACTTTACTTTGAATAACCATTGCCCATCTGCTTTAAACAACCATTACCCATTTGAAATGATCTTGAAGGATGCATGCATCTCACCACACATCTGAGTAGATGACACTGTCTCTATTTATCTCCACATCATTTATAGTCTATAGAGCTTGACCCCATAGGAAAAGTACTGGAAAAAATTATATTACTCATAGCTCACAATGCTCAAGTCAAAACTTGCACTTTTTCTTGAAAAAAGGAATATTGCTGATCAGCTGAACCTTCTCACCTCGCATTCTAACATAGGTTCATGTTCAGACTCTTGTAATATTGCATAGCAGGGTTTATGGGCATAGTTTCCACAATCAAGAAGTCTAAAATATAAACACATGATAACCTCAAACCTATCTAACTCTTCTGTGCTGAAGCGCTGATCTCTATGTCAAATTGATGCTAGATCTTTGGGTTAATTATTTTTAAAATACAAGCTCCAGAATCTTGTACTCCCTACAATATCCACAAAAATTTATTCTAATAAAATGTATCACAGGGTGGTTTGGAAACATGAGCCTTGGTGTAAACTCTAAGTTTTCCCTTTCCAGTTTAGCATTTCCAGGTCTGACCTGTGAAAACATGAGCATCTTATTCTTGAGTGTCAAAGATTAAAAGAGGCTATTGGTTTATTTGCTTCCGAATCTCTTAAGATTTCACTGTTTTAGCTTGGTCCTTCCTGTTTGGCCAGATAGGATGAAATGCAGAAATCATACTTTAAAAAAATCAAGGTGATTTTCACACATCTCAGAATGAAGCAATAGCTCAACAATTACCTAATGGATGGATAGCTATTTCCTAAATTTCTTGATTGAGAAGAGGGTCCTAAACCTCATTGGCTGGTGAAAACTTGACCTCCTTCCTTCTGAATTGACAACTTTAGTCAACAGGCAGTGTTCCAGTTTATCTGAGACTGTAAGCACTTCCTGAATCCAAATGAATGTGTATTTTTTAGGATATAGTGAGGCTGTAGATGTGCAATTACTGTATCATTTGTTTACATCCAATGTAGGAATATATTCTGAGTTACCTCCCCCACTGGACTGTGTGTTTTGGGAGAGGGAGTTTGAATGGCCAAGTATTACATAATGCATATTACATACTATACAAATCATGAAGAGAATTATTTAGCCAGTTGACTGAACTTGAACATGATTCCACATAATGGTCATGATACAATGTATTGATCTCACAAAGAGTGCTTCGACACTTCTTCCCTTCACAAATTGATAACAAGTCTAACATCTAATGTCAATTAAGAACAAAAAAACAAAATGAAAACAGCCAAATTGCACAAAAAATAGCATGAATCATGGAGAGAGGAGCAGCAAACAGATAAAGAAAACAAAAATCTACAAATTAAAGATGTGAGAGGAAAGAAAAGGAACAGAGACGTCTAAAGAAATTGTGCAATAGTATAACAAACAGATTAAGACGATCGAGTCTTTTTTGATCACCAATGTCTATGAAAAAAAAATAGAAACAAAAAGAAACAAAAGCCGAAAATTGATTTTTACAAAGATCTGGTTTGTCCGCCCAAATTAATGCTCCACAACCTCAATACAATATATAACTTATTTGTTTTCATCGATGATCCAAGTAGCAAGGGTTTAAATGAATGAGAAAATAAATAAATAAAAGTCAAAAGCGTCAAGCAAAATCAACAACAAAAATTCAATTCAATTTCAATCAGATTCAAATGCAGACGATCAAGGAGACACTAACCAAACTGCCAATAGTGGGAATCCGCTAATCAGACCGACCCAAAAGAAAGCCTAAAGAAACCCAAAACAAGTGAGTATTTTGATCAATATTACCCCCCCCAAAAAAAAACTGATATGTGCTCAGCTGAAAAAGGTCAAATCAACAGGGAGTAGGGAAGGGGGACACAAAATGGCGGAAGACATACGTTGGCAAGAGCAGGTCTAGTCTTGAATAGCTTAGACCTTCCAATGTAGGTCAAAGGCAATTGAGTCATCTACACGAAAGTAAAGAACACACACACCCACAAAAAAAAACAAGGAAAAGTTGGGAACCAGCTCGGTCAAGTGAATTGAAATGATTTATTGAGGGGATGATCAAATAGAGGAGACTGACTTGAGCCAAGAATAAATATAACCTCAGCTTTCGAGTGACAATGACCATCAGTAATTCATGGACCAGGCTGGATAGGAATAGGGTCATGATCGCCGCCGCCGATCGGCTGACTCCGTAGGACGAAATCGTGCTCGCATAGACATGCTTTAATAGGAAATGATGCACCGGTTTGTTCCACTAAAAAGAAAAAAAATGATTGTTTCAATTTTAATTTCTTTTGGATGAATTCTAGGTTAATTTGGAAAAAGAAAGAAAGAAAAAAACTGGAATGTAGCTTTGAGACTCGATTTACCTTTCTCGAAAATTCGTCAAATGAACATGAGTTCCACCAATCCGAATAAAACTCTCGATCCGCAAACCTAGTCAGTTCAGCAAAAGCATTACAAATACCTACACAAAAAAAAAACGAAATTTGCTCAGATGATTATAGTGCACTTTTTTTTTTAAAAAAAAAGGAAAAAAAAACACTTTTGGATATGTGAGGAGAGTGAGACTGACATTCAAAGATGATATAAAAGATGAGGAGATAATTAATAGTAAAAGGGACGACCAAACGGATGACGTTATCGACGAGATGGAGAGCTGATGAACGATGGTCACGATCGAAGGCTTTGATATTCGTGACTTGATCCCAGATGTAATACTGAGTGATCATGTAGATCAAGCCAAATATCCCGACCACCGCAAACACTTTCTCGACCACAAAGAAGATCCGAATCCTGGATTATGTCGTCAATCTGTGAGGAAAAAAAAAAGCGGATAGGTTTTCTTGATGATCACTCACTCTTTCGTGCGTGGATATCGCAGGCGATATACCAATGTTGGAATGAGAAGATAATCCGTGAAGTTAGAAATCGTCAGGTTTTCCGGCCAGGGTTGTCCGGAGTATTGGTCCTCCTTCTGATCATCATCATCGTGAGAATCGCGGAGGTTTCTAGCCCCAAGTTGATCCAATAAATCGATCGTCTCATGGACTTGTTGTTCCATCATCTCATCATTCATCGGTTTTTCTGGACCCTGATCGGATTGAGAATTTGAACCTAAACTCTGATCGATAGTCGTTGGTTGTTCTTTCTTCTGATCGACGAACTGCTGTAACTTTTGATAGATTCCAGTCTTCACTACAGTAGAGACGAGTGTTTTGTGATGCTGTTGATCATCCTCTTTAATTTCGATCACCTTGGATCGCTTCAATTCCTTCATCTTAGATTCCAAACTCTTCAATTGAACTGAATATTCTCCATTAGTCGCACAATACGAATGGATCTTCATCAACATGGTAATCGAATGTAGCGTCAAAAATCCGGATTGGATCCATGGCCATTCTCTATACACATATTTACAATAAAAAGAAAAATCAGAAATCTGGTATGAAATTGTTTCACAAAGTATAAAAGTTTAGGAAGGAGGGAGACTGACCTATAAAAGATATACAGTATCCATGCTCCAAGCCAGCTGAATTGGAAAAGATGTTGCAAGATTAGACCGGTATGGCAGTAATCAAAATATCTGTTAGAAAGAAGCTTAGTTTTTGTTGTAAAAAGAATCAAGTTAGAGCCAACTTAAGCAAGCAGATGATCAGATTGATAATGATAATAAAAAAATGTGAAGGCACGTACTTTGGCGAAACCAAGAGCCGAGAAAGTAGAGGCTACCAGACAGAGATCAACGAGAGCAAGCTGGGGGAGATGTTTAGAGAAGAGTCTGGCGAGTGGGGATTGGATGACCAAAGAACCTGAGGCATGTAAGGTGGCGATGATATGGAAGCCGAGTAAGATCCAGAAGAGCGCATAGAGTCCTCTCAATGGGTTTTGATGTAGCAGTTGATTGTGTGGGTCCAAGGTCGACAGTCTTGGGGTGAAATTGACGAGCAATTGTTGTTGTTGTTGTTGTTGTTTTGGATTGGTCTTTAGGATGGCCACCGTCGTCTTTGTTTCTACAGTCGTTATTTGGTTGGTGGTTGTCTTGACTGTCGTCTGGTTTTCCTTCGTATTAGTTGCTTGTGGTTCTGGTTGGATGAGACTGGTCATGATGCTGTTTTCATGGGTGGTGGCTTGGTAGCAGCTTCTCCTAGTTTACCACTTTCCCCCCCAAAAAAAAAACTCAGCACAATGTGCCCGGTAGCTTTCGGGTAATCTCCCCGAACCTGCGCTCCAGACCATCAGCTTTGAAGTTCTTGAATTTGTGAATTTACAGATGTATAAGAACACTTTCTAGTAATTGAAAAAAATAACGTCCCTCTGCAAAGCTACATAGTAGAATTCAAAAAAAAAAAAATGTTGCAGAGGACAGCTCCATGGTGAAATTTCACAATGAGTGAGGAGCACAGAGGCAAGAGTGATCTGAAAACAGTCTCGAGGCAAAAGACTCAGAGGAAAAAACATGGTCAGAGAGCTAAAAGGAAAAGTGTTCAGAACGTCCGTCTCCGCTTCAGAGCCATCACGTGTATCTGCACATCGAGTGGTGGCAATTGAGTGAATTTTCTCTTGCAATGTAACCTAAACCAGTTTCGCCCGGAGAACATGTGACTACTATGTACTCTTGAGCCTTGCTTATTTTACATTACTACAGCTATGGTGAAAATGATCGATTTTCTGTTCTTGGCTCTGTGGAACCCTGAAAACAAGCAGCGGGTTTAGTGTGACCAGACAAGTTCCAAGGCTTCTCCCTTGTCTTAGGGCGGTAGTACGATAGAAATGGCGTGATGGCTCTGAAGCGGAGACGGACCTTCTGAACCCATTGCTACACTTGTGCTTAGGTTTCAAGACACCAATATCGAAAGGGGATAGGGAAGAGTAGGAATCGTAATGCTATATGCTATGATAGCCGGAAGAGTGGGAGTCCTGGCGAGTTTCATTAAGATGCAGATAGTGCATCACGGGCACCGCTGATCACGGGATGGATGAGTTGTTCAGCATCAGAAGGTGAAACCAACGCTTGAAGCTCTCCTCTGAGGAGCGGCACTTGAAGGTATCTTCACCGTCTTGAACAGATTAAGTAACAGGTTCCAGGTAATCATAAATATCTGACCGCGCTTGCTTGGGCATCGTAGGCTTCAACGCTGGAGCTGACTCGATCCACTAGGATTGTGTTTAATATTTTCGTTCCCTATCGAGCTTCCGAACCGCTTTATCTATTACAACAAGTGAGCACACAATATTGCTTCTGAATCTTCAATCTACAAGAAGCTGACCTCCATGACAGATCGGAATGTGTTCCAGATTCTTGCACATTGCACTGGTGTGCCTCATTGTGCAAAGAACCCTTGGCATCAATTTCTTGAGGTTAACCCCTGAAAATGATAGTATTAGGCTTGATTTTTCAGCCATAGAACCTCGTCATGGGACGGTTATTTCAAGGGACTTGGAGCCAAAGGAGTTGTACTCAGCCTTGCAAAAGGTGGAATGTGGACCTCAAGCTGCTAAGCTTCTCATGAATACTGCCCAACAGAACGCTAACCAAGAGACCCGTTCGTATATCGTGGCTGATAAAACCTACCAGCACACCAACGCTTGGACAAGTTTGGATCGCGTGGAAGCCACTTATACACCGATCGATTCAGAACTTGCCGAAGTACTCCACCACGCAATCAAGAACATACTAGCTAAAGCCGAGGAAACAGAAGAAGGAAAACAGAAACAGCTAGCTAGTGAAGAAGAAGCAGAAAAAGAGAAGCGATTGGCGCCCGGCGTTCAAGCAAATCCAGCCGATGCGCTAGCCACCGGTAGTGCAGCAGATGAGCTTTCATCCTCAGCCCCCGTCAACCAAGCCGACGGGGCTTCATCGTCATCTTCAGCCGAGCAACGCCAAGACAAAGCACGTTGCTTTCCCAGCTGGCGCGCGAAGTTTTCTAACCGGCCAACCGATAGGCCTTCAACTTCATCTTCCGGTATCCAATCCGAAAACCAATCAGCTCGTTCCACAGAGAAAAAGTGGCTTCGAATAGTTAAGATATTAGGAGATTTCTCGGAAGTGCTATCAAGCCTCTCCTTTTTATCTTAGCCGTGAAGAGTCATGTACCCATTCGCATTAATAAAAACTGTTTGGTCTTCATCTCAAGATAAACTGTTGCAATATCCTAACACTCAGTAAGGTCTTGTAACAGCAATTCGCATAGCTTATACATTCACCAATGACATGGTAACCTGCTGCTCACCAGTCACAGCAGTTCCCTGAAAGTTTGCTTTCTCCTTGGAAATGGAGAAAAACACAAAAATTTAGCCACAGAAAGTTAATGCCTTGCAACCTGCACACATGACTGTTTAAGTTCTAGTTCTGTGGGAAAGTCCCTGGATACCTTCTGGCTGTGAGGTGTTATTTAGTCAGCAGAGCTCCCATGGGACCAAAAGGGAAGACTCAAAAAATGAGAGGATTTCCATGATCCAACTCCCAAACTCTTCACTCCAAAAATGGAAAGGTCATGACATTTCCCCTGAGTTGGTGCAGCTGACATACATAATTAAATACACATTGACAAAAACACACAAAAAGGCGGCTGGATTTTTTTTTTTTTTTTTGCAATTCCAAGGGGTCTCAGAAAGCAGGATTTTCAAGAAGTAATTTCGCTATCACAGTGGGTAGTTACTTTTAAGTTTTCCAGTCACTTTTTTTTTGTTTTTCTGTGTACCCATTCATAAGGAACATGATATTGTGGTGTTTCAGGCCAGAAGAGGGTTAGAAGGTTGACTGAAAGAGTGCTCACACTACATGAAGAGCCTGTATCTTGTAGTGACCTCAGGAAACAGTTTAGAGAAGGCTGATCTTTGTATTACTGTTTGACAACAGTGGGCCAATACTTTACATTACAATATATGGCCCCACATCTGTAAAGTATTGGCCAGCCTTTTTTATTTTTGAGCCTTAATAAAAAAACGCGGTTTTTCCGCGTTTTGACGCGGTTTTGATGCGCCGCAGCACACGTGGTTTCCGCTTTTAGACGCGGTTTTTTAATTAATTTTGTATGGGTTATTTTTTGAGTTTTTTTGAATTTTTAAAGTTGTTTCCTAAAGATTGAAGCTTGTATTTTGAGTGAAATTGGACTTCACCATTCAATTCTAAACATTTGTAAATGTAGGAAATAAATTTAAAATAAAAAAAATGCTTAAAATCAGGCCGGTAAAAATCAATCAAAAAAACATTAAAAAAAGCCTGTCCACTGCAGTATTCAGTAACAAGCGCTGATTTTTATGTAAAATGGTTGTTACCATCATTTTTATCATGTATTAAAGTGTGGGAAACAAATTTAAAATGTCAAAAAATACTGAGAATTAACATGTAAAGAATTAATTGAAAAAAGTGTCTAATTTCAGTATTGAAAATGAAACGTTGAGTTTTAAGAAAACTGGATGTTACCATTAAGCTCTACACACTTTCAAATGTAGGAAGCAACTCTAAAACTTCAAAAAAGCATAAAAAATAAGGTACACACATGTATGCAAACAATTAGGTGAAAAAGTGATGAATTAATTAAAAAAATGTGTCAAATGCAGCATTCAAGGTATAGTTTTCATTTTGGGGAAAAATGGTTGTTACCATCATTTTCTACATGTCTTAAAGTGTGGGAAATAAATTTAAAATGTCAAAAAATGATGAGAATTAAGCTGTAAAAAATTAAGTGAAAAAATGGGTCTAATTTCAGTATTAAAAATGAACCGTTGAGTTTTAAAAAAATTGGATTGCACCATTAAATTATACACACATTGAAACCTAGGAAATAATTTTAAAATTTCACAAAAGCATAAAAAATAAGGTACATACATGTATGCAAACAATTAATTGAGAAATGAGTGAAAAAAAATAATTAATAATCAAAATTCATTTTTATGAAAAATGGTTTTTACCATTAAATTCTACGCCTTTTATAGTGTAGGAAACAACTTTAAAAATTCAAAAAAACTCAAAAAATAACCCATACAAAATTAATTAAAAAACCGCGTCTAAAAGCGGAAACTGTGTGTGCTGCGGCGCATCAAAACCGTGTCAAAACGCGGAAAAACCGCGTTTTTTTATTAAGGCCCTTATTTTTTGTTATTTTAATCAAAAAAGAATCAAAATTTTGATATGTTTCAAGGCTTTACAATATGATTGTATTGACCAAAAACATCCTGTATTGGCTGTTATCAAGGGTCATTTTTCCAGCCCTCAACAATATTGCAATTGACCACCTAAGGTTGCGTAAAGTAATGAATCTTTTGTTACTTTGCAATGTGTTACCAATACAGACATCACTATTGGCCCACCATTGTGTTTGATCGACAAGCTTATTATCTGTAACAAGCAACATTGAAACAGATACAGTATGATACAGTATCTGCAGATACTTTTGTATTGTATCTTTTTTCTGATACTTCTAAAAATTTGTCTTGTGTATTGTATCTAAAACAAGATACAATCCAATTGTATTTTATCAAAAACCACTACACATTTTTTGGCCAATTGCGACTGTTTTCAACAATTTTTTTGAAAGATACAAAAACATACAGTATTGCATGTTTTGCATTGGGCTGTATTTATGACCAGATACAAGAATTTTGATACATTGGTATAGTGTCTGTTTTTTGATACAATACAAATACAATACATTCAGAACAAATACCAATAAATAAAATACATTCAGTGTATTGGTTTCACTATTGTTACAAATGAGGGATGTGTTGTGGGCAGGAGGGGACAATGGAGTTCAATGCAAAAAAAAAACAAGTGACATTGAATGGAGAAATGTGCAGCAGTTCCATTTTTTGACAAGGTGTAGCTAAATCTACATCATTGGAAAATTGTTTTTCAATTATTAAATCAGCCCTCATTCTTCAGGATAGGATGATGTTTCAGATTTTTTGCTCACTTTGAAATTGGTAAAAAATGTGTGGTTGGTTGTGATCCTCAGAATTTTCCAGGTCTAGTTGACTCTAGAATGGTGACCATTTGGATTCAGTTGTTCTGATTTAAAGTTACTATGTGATGGCCAATGAAATTCATGATGGTTATCAAATATTGAATTTCCATCCAAACCATAGTGAAATGGAAGCACAGAGAGTGATTTTGGCATTTCAAGATTTTTTTCTTCTCTTTCAAATACAAAACCTTCACTATTGTGATTTCCATAGGGTCTCAGTGTGAATGTGGGAGTTTGTGGTGATATTGGACAACTTCCCGTCAACATCTGCAGGTCTCCCAGAGCCGGTTTAGAGCCTCAAAATTCAAATTTCTCTGGGAGAATCAAGAATTTTTGGGTCTAGACCAACTTCTGCAAGGGTCCCAGATCCAACAGGAAGTCCCCCATTGTTGGGATAAAGCTACAAATTTGATTATATGTTTGGCCTGATTCATTTTTTTGTGCTTCAGAGTGTGATGTACTAGTGCAAGCATACATGTGATTGTTTCAGGGAACAGGAAGGGATGTGACTAAATGGTTGTGACCTTCCAACTCACAAACTCACATGGGGTTTTGGAGTATTGACTTCCAACCCCCCCCCTATACAATTGTTTAGGGATTAAACTTACAAAGCCGTTGAAGGGTTTGGAGGAACAACTCCCAAAAAACCGGGGGGAAAAATAGGGATCCAGATGTCCTGAGGACTGTCCACACAGGAAGTCCTCATGATTTGGGAGTGGGACATCCAAATTTTGGCAGTATGTAGATTACCAAAGGCTGTTTATTTGTCATAGTCTAATAATTTATATTTTTCATGTGATTTCTTTTTTCTTTAAGATTTTCATTTTCAATTTTTCTTTTGATTTGATATATCCTGTTTTTGTTTTTTTATGTTTTTTTATGTTTTTTTATTTTTATGTTTTTTCCTTTCTGTATTTCTTCTGACCATTACAACAAAGTTTCCATTCCTGATCAGACTTTTCCTTTGCATTGTGTGATGAGAAATGTGAATTTTGGACTCTGGAGCTTCCTGCCACTTGAATTAGCCCCTGACTTTGTAATCACACACGCAGAAGGGGTACCCATCAACAGGCTTCCCAGCTCTGCAGTATTGGCATCTGATGACAGCCGTAGATGCCACTGCTGTCTCCGCGATAAATACCAGGGCCACCAAGACCGCAGCGGCGGTGCATTGGACAAGTTTCATTGTAGAACTACTTCGCAGGTTGTGAGTGCAATCTTCAGCCAGGTGTGACCAACAAGGCTTGAACCAAGGTGATGAGCACGGGAAACAGGTAGACGGAGTTTTCTAACGATCTTGATTGCCGATACGGTTACCAGAAGGGGTGCTAAGGAGGATTGTTTTGCAGTTATAACCCTACAAAACATGAGACTAAGTATTTAGCAGTCCTAAAAGCATTTTAAATATGTATCAGAAAAGTGCCACATCATTTGGCCTACCATCATATCCATCTATTCTGTTATTGTAGCACCAGGTACCAACCAAAATTAACTTAGTTAGAGAGATAACATGAATGGCAATCAAAATGGCCTCAATATTTATAGTTGGATTTGTTTCTGATCACTGAGTAGATAAATAGTTTGGATAATTAGAAAGACAATATTCTTGTACAAGTTCTCGATTTTGTACATCTTCACATAACTTGCAAGCAATTTGCTGGGAATCTCAATAGACAGAAGGTCAAAGGAAGAGAAGGCCTTGGATAAGAGGATATACAAAGATATGAAGATGAACAATGAATGTCATTTTAATCTTGTTCTTCAGTTGGAGGCGGATCCTGCTCAGCTCTTTCTCTTTGATCACGGAACCCCTGATGATTGAGTAATCCACCACGCGCGCCACCCTGCATGAATCTGCCCGCGAAGCCGATCCGAAAGGATGGGAAACGGGTACGATTGATGAACGGAAGACCGTACCAGCTCGTCCGGCCACCGTCCTGTTGATCTTGCCTTGAGCTCGACCCGGCGGCCCTGGAGGCCTGCTTGAATTCGACGTCTTTTTCCAACACCGCCAATCCGTAGTCCTCATCATCCTCATCATCCAACGAGAAGGCTAGACAACCAGTATGCCAGCCAGCGGCGGTGACTGAAAACACGTAGCGACGGGCTACCTTGCGGGGCTTCTGACTCGAAGAGCTATCGCCCGTCCCAATACGATCGGCTAGATGATGAGTGGTGCCAGAGAAGCTCTGCACTACCGTAGGTGTCTCGGTGCCCAACTCATAGCGCTCCTTCACTGGATCACCGGGTGACTCTGCCGCAGAGTCGTCATGACAGAGCTGTCTATGAGGGTTCGACGAGTTTCCGAGTCCTAAAGCACCTCCAGAGTAGCTTCCCCATGTTAAAATTTGACCATTCGAAAGAAGCGCGGCATAATGGTAATCTCCGAGAGTGACTCTATAGACAATGATGTTTTAGCTTGGTTGAAGCAGGATGTAACTTTTTTTTGAGGCTGAATACACTTAACTGAATAACTCCTCTGTTCTGTAGATTGGGTAAGATCTCAGGCTTGCTATTCTCTGTCGTTTCCTTCCCACCAAAGAAAACGAAAGAATTGTTCTTGATGATCGGTTCATTTTCCGATGGACTCTCGACACTATACGCTACGAAAGTCCTATACTGTGCCGAGATGTGAGTGATCGTGGGTTGAGCCGCATTTGATGAATCTTGCAATGTTAGTGCATTGGCCAGACCGTCTCTTAGTTTATCGGGTTCACAGAACATCGGAAGGTATTCCCATTCCCGCTCATTGGTTCGGAACGCTTGCGCTATGCTCTCTCGATAATCAAGCTCTTCATCATGTTGCTGAAGCTGCCTCAAAACTCGCTGGGGAGCAGTGCGCTGGGTATCTGCAATTCTTGAGAGGTCTAATTTGTAAATTTTGCCCGTAGTAGTGAGACAAATAATGAAGTCTTCGCCACAAGCCTACAAAACAGCCAACAAATTGTCCTGGTCAGGCAAATTACGAGTTCAGATGAGTCATTGGTGGATCGTAACCTGGGCGCACAATTTTGGTTATTTGATCTTTATCGTGGTCGTTGCCAGGCAAATCAGGACACCGAATGATGCGGTCCTTAGAGTCCAAGTCGTAGACAGTTTCCATAGTATCATGCTCGGGCAAGCCGTTGAACTGCGAATCCAAAGCCTGTGCTACTTCTAATATGGTAGGTTCCTTCCAAAAGTATATCACGCCATCTGATGAGAGTAGAGCTGTGAAATTCCAACTTGCACAGATCTGGGCGACCTCCTCAGTCACCCCAGCATGAGTCTCCCATGGAACTGTTGTAAGTTTGGCGACTCTGTTCCAAGAGTGCCATTCGTAAATTCCCCCCTCATCCGAAATACCGCAGGCGTGAGAACGACCACAGGAAATCGCCTTAAATTTGGGTAAATTTTTGATCTCCAACATGGTTGGCTCGACTTCAGATCTGGCCCAAGTTTTTTTTTTGTTGGATCGATTCACTCTGTGAGTTATATGAATTTCCATGAAAGAATACAAGAAAACGCACGGTTTGGGTGAGTATCTGTGAGGGGGTGGATTCCAGCCGTCGGATCCGTTAAGGGTGCCCCAACACCAGACGTTCCCGTTGACATCCAAGCCATGGTAGCTCCATCCGCCAGCTTGGAGATCAATGATTCCGATTGATTCAGCTTTTCGAAGTCTCAGTGGGGTTGGTACTTCGACGTTATGCGATAGGACGGCCTCGAGTAAGTCCTCTTCGTCCTCCCCATTCAAGCCCAGTCGATCGTTCATATTTTGTCCCCATACCCAAACTTGGGGCTTCCTTAGCTTACGATAGAGTGTCTTGAAGCCAGTGATGCGTCCCGTCGAGCCAGTCGGGAAACGATAATCGATTGCGATCTTGCGCTTCCATATTAATTCGGTTTGATGGATCGTCGAGTGAAGAAGTCGACAGGTACACGACAAGGCGATTAAGTCTCTGGTAGGTAGTAAGACGAGAATAGAATCAATCAGCAGATCGAGTGGAAGTGAGCTGATCAAACCGGTTGTACCATGAGGAGCCATGACTGAGAAAGAAAAGAATAGGGATGAAGACTACATACACATCGAGCCAGGGCTGATCGATGAGGTCATGGGTGTCTAGACTCTACCACCGCCCCCCCCCCCCCCCCCGACCTCAGCAAAGGGCCCCGGTGTCCACCCCGGGATGATGGCCAAGGTCAAGCGAAATTGAATCACCGATCCGTTTCCCATGTGACAGGCTGGTGTTAGCCCTGAAACAGGGGCCACCGAGCAGTTTCTGCCCATGGGGTAAAGGCAAAAACCAGATAAAACTGTACTAAACCCACCCGACTGCATTTTTTCCGGCCCAGCCTCCTGCGATCGTTGTCCCACCCAGCCCCGCACCTGCTCTTCCCCCTTTCCATCTCCTCCTCAACACCTCTCATCCACAAAATATAAAACAAAAGTCAGCATCGAGCCTCGAGAAAAACCCGATCAACCCAGCCATTCGTCGCATTGGGCAACAAGCAAAATCAACTGGTTCAAACCCACACTCGTCCTCAGGAAACTCCGCTTCTCAGGGTCTGCGATTTGAGTCGATTCCCGGAATATACATATTTTTTTGTCTTCGGCCGACCAGTTCGAAAAGTTCAATACACTCGCCCTTGAAGATTCCACAGCCTCCTGCTTAACCATTGGCGTTTTTTTCCTACAAATAATCTCACTCAAGATGGCGGATGGTAAGTCCTCAGTATCCTATTAAGGCTCCCTCCTTGGCTGATTGGACAATTTTCACTGATGGCTTGTCTCGTATTCTCACCACTTCAGCATTCTTGTCCTCCGTCAGCAGGGAGCTTACCGAAGACCGAGGTTAGTGAAACCTTCCCTTTGTTTTCTTTTGCTATGGCAGCCATCCAAGCGCCTCCTGCCATTTTTTCATTATTTATACCACCAGCGCTTTACCAGGCGAACATATCGCTATCCTCTCAACTTCTTTTGGTCTTCATTCCAAACCATAATCCCGGGTTCCATCTTTGTTTCCCCATACTTGAACGCCCTAATCTACCTGCTTTTCTACCTCTTTTTTTCTTTTTTTTCTATATTTTTATCCACGTTTTACAGTCCTCGCTCTCTTTCCACCAAGCATCGTTGGGGCTCGAGTATCGTAATGTTCATCAAAGCATCACCTCATCAAACAGTCATCCCTCTCCCCCTTGCTTCCCAACGGCTCATACTCGTCGTTTTGTTCCTTTGTTCTTTTTTTTCCTCCCCCTCGATCTGCACACTCGACCCAAAAGTCTTGTGTTCAGACAATTAGACCTTTTAACAGTTATCAAGGCGAAAACAGCTACATCCTTACACTCTGATAACTGGTTGTCATTCGGCATCCTCATTGGCTGATAGAACACGTCCGTTGGCGCTCCGAGTCGTTGTAGTGCGATTCCTGACCTTTTAGTTTTTTATATGACACCTTCTATTACCAATTTAGTCTTCACTACTTTAGATACATTACTAGCCTGTATAGTCAATCATTTAAAACAACTTACCCTTTTATTGTTCACTTCGACCGTCCATCGAGCTCTGGTACCGACGATACGGTGTTTGGTTCATTGCCTGATGTCCTCTAATGCTTGTTCTTCTCTTCACTTCGTCATGATCATCTGCTAGGACATCGATCATCACACCGATCGCGCGATGACGACCGGCCACGTCGCAGATCTCGCTCACCTCATCGGTTAGTCAATTTTTACCTCTTCTCTGTTGTCGTTGCCATTCCTGTTGAATATTTCCAAGCTCACATGCGTTTTACATGAATGTCTCAATAGTGAAGAAAGGCGTCGACGGGATGATGATCCAGAACGGACTGCAGAGCGCGGTAGCCGCTATGCTGAACGCAGCAGTCGATATGATGAACGCGACCGCGACCGTAGTGAAAGAGACCATGGGCGTGACCGCGATAGAGACCGCGATAGGGACAGAGATCGTGATCGCCGTAGCTCAAGATATGATGACCGGGATCGAGAACGGGATCGAGATCGAGGCCGCGACCGAGACCGAGAACGTGATCGTGACCGAGGCCGTGATCGAGACCGCGACCGTGACCGCGACCGTGACCGCTATGCTCGCCGAGACGATGTCAGTAATGGAGGCGGTCGTAGACGGGGAGGGCATGGCAGCTTCGGAGGCGGTGGCGGTGGAGGATTTGGTAATGGTGGTGGGGCAGACGGTGGTGTGTTTGGTAGTCCGAACATACGGCGCAGTCCAACTCCTGAAGGCACTATACCCATATCTAAAAGGCCAAGGAAGTATACTGCATGGGATGTCAAACCTCCTGGGTACGCAAATGTATCTGCCATGGAAGCTAAAATATCAGGTATGTATTCCGTTCAATTGGCATAAATTGGGGATTCTGTTCCGCTGACACAGATTGAAATTCTTATCAGGCTCTTTTATGCTTCCTGGTCAAACACGGCCTGCATCTCAAACCCCCGGTGGTCCTGTCAATGGAGGCAATGGAACCGCTCCCGCTAATATGTCGATGCACAATTCCAATTTCCCAGGCCATCCACACTTGAATCCAAACCATCACTGGGTCAATCCCAATCAGCAGAATGCCCACGGTCACTCACAGATGACAGCCCAGCACCCCAATCAATTTCAAATGAATTCCCTGGGCCGTGATGGCGGTTTCGGGATGCCTGGCTCACTTCCCCCTATTCATTTCAAGCCGGCTCAAGGACAATCTGGCCCTGTCGCTCAAACCCAATCCTTTGCCCGACAGGCCCGTCGATTGTATGTCGGTAATATTCTTCACACAGCCAATGAAATGAACGTCGCCGAATTCTTCAATGCCAAAATGAAAGAACTGGGACTTCTTGCTCGAAATAATGAAGACGGTATGGCGATATCAATTAGTGAAAATCCCGTAGTGGCAGTGCAAGTCAATCATGAAAAGAACTATGCGTTTGTTGAAGTGAGCCTTTACAATTCCAGTCACACAATGCGTTCATTTCTTTCTTCTGACAGATTCTGCAATTCTTGTCATTCTACAGTTTCGAAATGCAGAGGAAGCTACCCATGGAATGTCATTTGATGGCATTATATTCCAAAACCAGGCACTCAAAATTCGAAGGCCGAAAGACTATACCGGTCCTGATCACGCAGGACCCACCCATATACCTGGAGTTGTATCAACGAATGTGCCGGATTCGCCGAACAAGATCTTTATTGGCGGCCTCCCGTCGTACCTAACGGACGATCAAGTTATGGAACTGCTGAAATCGTTTGGAGAATTGAAGAGCTTCAATTTAGTGAAGGACACGAGTAGTGGAGGTCACGTTTCGAAAGGATTTGCGTTTTGCGAATATGTTGACCCGGACCTGACAGACATCGCCTGCCAAGGATTAAATGGGATGGAGCTTGGGGATCGGTATCTAGTCGTCCAACGAGCTCAGATCGGACAGAACGCCAAGAAGGAAAAAGAAAACAACCCCGATGGACAGCGGAACAACTATAATCAATTCAATAACTTTGCTGGTGGACAAGCTACTGCCGCTGCTTCCAGTGTCCTGGCAGCTGTCAAGAGTGGCGAGGGCGAAAAGACACGAGTGTTACAAATGCTAAATATGGTTAATCAGGAAGAATTGGTGGATGATCAGGAATACGGTGAAATCTTGGAAGACATTCGCGATGAATGCGGTACGATACAATATCCATATCAACTACATCACAAGCAGATGCTGATTTGCTTTCCCTTCTTCCCATTTTTGATCAGGTAAATACGGCAAAATTGAAGGTGTCAGGATCCCGCGGCCGATCAAGAACGAAAAAGGCAGGATTGATTTGAAAGCAAGTGAGTCAGTAGATGGACTTGGCAAAGTGTTCGTGATGTTTGAGAAAGTGGACGAATGTGCTGCTGCTCTCTTGGCCATTGCCGGTCGACAATTTGCGGGTAAGTGGTTACATACTTCAGATCTGATTTGATCTGTCAACGGGAGTTCAACAGATTTCGATCTTTTATCACCTTTCTATAGGCCGTGTGATTATTTGTGCATATGCTCCTGAAGATGCTATGACAGAAGGATCTAAACCAGAACAGCCTCCAGAGCAAGAAGAAAGGCCGACGGAAGACACACCTGCTGAAGAAGGAACGTGAGAGGAACCCTCGCCGCGGATTCATGTTTCTCATCTCCTTTATCATTTTTTGATTGATTAATTTTCAGAAAAAAGGCAGAAAATCTAGAAGTTTTATAGGTTTTTCTTTTTGCTAGTTTCTTGACAGTTGGCATCGATCTTAGCACAACTGCTTCCTTTGTTGTCCTTAATCACGCTGTAAATAGGAGGAGGGCCTTATCCAAGCATCATAATCATTTCGCACCATCAACCGTTTCAATCCCTCGAAGGAGACCTGTGTCATCACCGACGCCACTGTAGATTTTCTTGTGATTAGCGTGGAGCATACTACGATATGCAACAATAGTGTAGATGAAGAGTAACATTGGGTCTCTGTCGCCACCAACAAATGCAGCATTCGGACAGGTATTTCAGAGGGCCACGCATCAAAAGGCGGGCCTCTTTGCTCCGCCTATCTTGGCCTTCATCTTCGACCGTGCCAACCGCGTCATGTCAGCCCCATCAAGGCTGAAAGTTGTGCTGTCTTTAACAGTATTGAAGCTGACATGCTTTATCCATAACTACCCAAACTCACATCCGTGCAGATGGACCTCCCACCGAATCTCAAGTTTCTCTGTTTTTGATCCTCATACCTATTATGCCTTTAACCATATGTGGATTGACGTTGTCCCCACTCTCGCGTATCATGCGGGAAATCAAATAGTCTGAACCTCTTCTTGGCTTGAAGCCACCAAGCTCTTTGCGGTACCTGATCTCAACACCCTTTTGGTGCTCCGTCGCCCAATACTTTCTGTTGGCAGGCTCAAGGGCGCGGTTTGCTGAGGAGCCGAACTCAATGACCACTGGCATCGGTCGCAAGCGAAAGGAGTCTGACATTCCTGTGGTCCTACCAATGTGTTTTATCTTCCAGCTCAGTCGGCTCACAAGGGTTGCCTTGATGTGACTGGTGAAGTGTCTCATAATCCTTGGGGCTAGCCGGACGGCTGCCCCACCCTGCCACAAGCCTTTCATGAACTCCAGTTTTTACAGTTGGCTGTTTTGAGCCCGGGGGCCGAACTATATAGAATATCTTTCCTGCCGCACCAGCCAGACAACATAGCGTTCGACCTGGTGTCATTCGAGTTATTAGAAGATGTCTGAAGGCTTTGTATTACCACCTGCTCCAGAAATGGCTGGACAGTGAGAATCAAGCTTTTTTTTTTCTCTTTCTTCTGCCAGATTAGGACAACCGCCTGTGCACTCAGTATCAGATGGTTCACTCATCCAATCCCCATAGCTTTGCAGCCCAGGGGTGATCGAGAAAATGCGGGGTCATTTTCAATGCCAAAGATAAAGTGTGGGTGTTTTTTGGTGGAGATCATTGCACAAAACAAAATGATTTGATGATGCTAAGAAAAATAACCCGAAAGACATCTACTTCAAAACAAAAAAATCTTTGATTTGGGGCTAACCTTACTTTTATGTTTTTTATTTTTTATTTTTCTTGCCTTTTTTTATATTGTCCCTGGTGACTGAATATTTGATATGGACATGTACCTGGAATTTTTATATACAACTGTTTACAAACCCAGAGATTGCGTGTTTATGAAGATGGATTGGACATGAAGACATATGCAGACAGTTTGGAAAGAAATCGTGGCTGCTTGAATGGAATGGATAGGCTCAACAAGGTGACACAGATGGTTGACAATTATATGACAGATCCTGCCCTGGCCGATGAGCAAATTTGGTGCAGGTGATCTTTGTGGTATCTTACTCATCCGAATCATCTTGAGCATCAGAGGGCGCAGCGTCTTTGGCTTGGGCACTGGAAGGCGTGGCATCTTTCTCTTGGACGTCAGAGGATGTGGCGTCTTTTCCCTGGGCATCAGAAGGCGTGGTGTCTTGTGGTTGGACATCAGAAGGTGTAGTATCTTTTGGTTGCACGTCCGAGGGCGCGGCGTCTTTTTGAGCGAAGGGAGGTGACAAGTCCAATTGCTTGAAGGCATCTTCATTGTAGTCCGAGTCGCGTTTGAATTCGCCTCGAAGATCTATGCCCATGGCGGCATATACTGAACTGATCGATAAGAAGGCCTCGTTGATCTGAACCAGTTGGTCTAGAGGAGGGCGTTTTGTTTGACATCAGCTAGCTTGACAGTGTAGGTCCACTCTCTCTCATGTTCACTCACTCTGACAAACTTGTTTCCCATCTTTCGTCTTGGAGATAGTGTCGATCATCGAGAAATATGTGGCAAAGATCCCAACCACAGTTGTTTTGTGTTCCATCTGTTCAAGTGTTCAAGGCGATTTAGCATGAAATTGTGACTCTTGGAGGAACTCAGGTTGACTCTTGAGCATACAAAATAACAAAGGCAAATGAAAAGAGGAACTGACCGCGTGCTGGCCATCGAAGGTTTCGACTATGGTCTTGAGCTGGACCACGTATACTTGAACGCTGGAGACGGATTCTTGGAGCTTGACGCTGTCCTTGTCATTGCAGCTCTGCTTGATAGTTTGGGTGGCTACAGTGCATGATTCGAAAACTTGGGTGACGGTAACCTCCCCACGCATAAGCTGTTTGTTACCATTGGTGCAGCGAGGAATCAACTTTCTTTGAGAGCTTGCTGCGTGGGTTGAGAGGACTGGGACGCATGGAATGAATTAGCCCATGATAGCAGTTTGATTCACGTATTTCATGATTGCTCACCAATTCCTAAGACTAAAATGATGGTAAAGCCTCGCATGTTCTCAATTGATCAAGTGATAAATACAAGTATTGGGTGGGAGATGTGTTGGGTACTGGGGAAGTGGTGGGGATGTGGCAAACTCAGCTTGCGCAGAGAACTGCCGCTTTTATAACTTTCCTTGCCAAGATGGAATGCTTGTAGGATGCACATTGTGCCGAGACTTGAAACAGCTTATAACTGTCTGCTACAGATCTAGATACACGTTTATGTCACTTCACTTGGGTGTTTCAAACCCTTCATCCTCCGGTGGGGAGGTGGTTTTGACTTACCTGTGTATCGTATTGTGGCCTATTGTGGCCGCACCGCCTCGAAGTTATTGCTTACCGAGAGTAAAACGCGTATGACAACCTTGCATCACCTCAAACGGCCAAGATGGAACAGTCGATTAAGAACTCTAAAACAATGCTGAGGAGTCAAGTAAGGATGATTAAAGCCTTTAATTTTTCTGCCACTGGAGTATCTGGTTTTCTTACAATAGCCTTTTTCTGCCACTGGAATACATATCTGGTTTTCTTGGCAACTTCTTGTTTTCACACAATTCAAACTGTCTTGGGCGATGATGTGATATCTTTGGGAAGGACTGTTAATGGGGCAAATTGAAGGGTTTCCAGGGCTTGGACATGAACCGAGAACGTCATCTCCAGTTACTGCACCTAGCTTTAACATTGTGATACGATCAATGCAGAATAACCAGTTCTGAAACATTGAACAATTGGCTCAGTGGCAGTGCGGTATATGTACTCTGATGCGAATATCCAGGCGGGCAAAGGTCTGTTTCGAGTCATTTATGCTCTTTCTCTGTGGCAGGAGTTATGTATTCAGAATGGTGATGAAAAATTTGAAAGCTATGCAAGCCGAAATTGCACATGACAAGACCTCACTGGTAAATGTGTTGGTGAGTTTCAGGTCAGAGTTGAGTACGTTGGATCAAAAGTTTCTTTTTTTGCTTACCGATTGCTATGTCCCTTGGCTGCGCCAGCAAATGCGGTGGACCTGGAGGCTGGACCAAGATCGGTTGGGCAGCAAGTGTCAAAAACAGTACGTCCTTCAGGGTCAGGCTGAAGAGCGCACGGTCTGGTGAATCATACAAATTAATGCGACTTGATGCTTTCATCCGGAGAAATTCATCCATGACCAGTGACATCGAAAGTGGGATAAATGTCCAACAAGCTTGTCATCTTCACCAGGATGCCACAGCCTTTAGCAGAGCGGCAACGAGGATACATCATGTGCGAGCCGGTAGAGGCTGGAGCAGCTTGCGGCTGATGAGCAGGTGCAGCTGATGCCAGCTTGCCGAGCAGGAGTCCTAGGAATTGTAACGTCTTGCCCAGGAGAGAGCTTCTACATCACCGAGAGCCAGTACGAGCTCGGTGAGGAATCATTGGTGAGGAGGGCATTTACATGTGCCATACTAGCTCACTAGCTTGACGGGAAAGATCTCTCCTTGGCCTATGGGTCCATCTACTAGTAATCACACACAGTAAATCAGCATCACTTGCCAGTTCTAACTTTGCCAGTATCAAACCATTATTGCCAGTATTGAACCCGAACTTAACCAAGCCCCTATTCCCTTCTCTCAAGGAGTCGCCTACGCCGACCGAAGGGAGGGACTTGCATGTAATGTCCCCTCTCTTACATGCGAGGATTCTTCTAAAATGTCCAAATGATGGTATTTTGGCTTTCTCAGCAATTTTGTCCCACTTCCCCTTGGGCCATCGACACGCCCTTGGGGTTTTTGGATTCCTCTACATGTTGCCTTTGATTTGACCAAAAATCCACCTGGTAGCTCTGACAAGTCTCCAGTGAATGTAAATTCCAAATGAGTCTCTGTGATGAAACTCGTAAGAGGGTTTTGCTGGGGATACCACTCAAACCATAATACAGGAAGAGATAGGCACTACAGGCAAAGTGCCATGTCAGTACTTATGAGGAGGCTGTGATCAACAGTTGAGTATTGTTGCCCCCATTGAGTTCAATTATAACCGGTCATCACAGCCCACTACAACATCATAATGCACAAATCCGATGCCCTTGTCGACAAAGTTATCTACATATGTGACCTACTCCAGGAGCTAGACATGACTCCAAAGTCTTTCATAATGGGCTTCCTCCAGCTGGATAATTCAAATCTTAAACTCCGACGAGGCTATTGGGGTATCTGGAGGGGCTGGCCGTCCACATTCACCGTTGTTGGTGCAATCCGGGATGAGTTGCTCAGATCGGCTCCAGGGACTTTGGAGTGGTCTAACTACATCCGAGATCAGGTAAGATTATGTATCAAGTGATCTAACCAACCTTCGGCTGATGATGCTTGAGGCAGGCAATTTGGATTCTGAGGAGTCAAAATCCTAGAAGTGGAATCCACCCAAGAGGTTCTTACATCAGCTCGTCAGCAATCACTCCTGAAATTTTCAATGAGCATTCCAAGGAAGAACATCGACGAAGATTAACGGCACATGAGATGCCTTTCCTCTATCAAATGGTATTGGGTATGCTCAGTGGGCCATCCAACGTGAATGATACGGACAACAAGGACGACCAAAAGGTGACTTCACCGGTTGAAAAAGCTGCCCTGGCCCCTATAGATGCTCTCGAGGAAGAGCTTATGGAAAGAGAAGGTTTCCGCTACACTAGCGGGAAAACTGGTGTAGATCATTCTCTTAGTCGACATGAAAGGGTGAGCATCCATGTGTTGAGAAAGAGATCAATCACTACTTCATTTTGAATCAGGCTGACCTTTTGTCCCACTGATCAGATTTCATACACAGTTTGCTCAATGTTGTCCTTTGCAAAGAACCGACGGCACAATCCATTTCAGCTGGAGAACAGCATCCGATTTCTTGCTTGTGGGATATCTGAGAGGGTTAACGAATATTTGCATCACCTAGGCTTAACTAGCTCGAGACAGACGGCAATTGATTCTCTCAAGACACTATCTTCCTATGCCCAGGGGCAGTTAACAAGGGTCATGGCCCTTGATGTCAACCCTGCCTTTGGGCCATTTATCTGCATAGACAACTTAGATATGGAAGAGCGAGTACACATGGCATCGGTAGGACATCGCTCGATGATGTTCCATGGGACCTGGGGCTACATACACACTCCCCACAAAGCCCTACTAGACTCACTTGACTGGTCCGAAATCAATTTGAATGCATTCAATCAGGCATTACAAACCGTACGGACAATGTCAATTACACCCCGGGACTTCTTACCGGACAGGCAAACTGAGGATCACTATTGTCTGGTTTGGAAGAGCCAATTGGCCTCGGTGATGATGAAGTACATTGCAGAGCCAGCCACCAAGGCCGGGGCCTATCCTAACGAGCCTCCAGAGCTAGAAGTGCTAAGCCCACAAGCACCCAATTTTCACATGTTGAAGTTGATGGAGGAGTCTGACAACTCAGCCGAAGGAATTGGGCAAGTCATCGAGTCTGTGCAGAGGCAAACTGGTCTCACCCCTGAAGAGTTTGCAGGTCGGTTACAACCAATGGAAGGTGACCTTGGCACCTGCCAGAATTTCAATACCATGCGGACATTACGAAATCCCAACAAACGAACAAATGAGAACATGAACAACATCACCATTCAGTTGGGGGCATCTCACACCCTCTGGAATATTGGACAGACTATTTTTACAACTCACTTTGGAGATGTGAACAGCTCGGAGAACATGGGTGCCTGGCGTACCCTAAATGCTTTGGGCACCCCTCCTAGTAAAGTTCTCCAGAAAAAAGATTTTACAGGGATGATACAACACTTGGAAAGAGTACATGAAGCAACTCTATTCCACTGTCTAAGGTAAGAAGCCTAGTTTACTTATCTGAACATCCAAAACTAATGTGATGTAATTTCCAGGGTTGTCATGAAGATTGACCGGCAGCCCATAACTGACGATCGGCCCAAAATTGATACTCCCAAATGGAACCAGATCATTGATGATTGCTATCAAAGGTATTGCTCTCCACAAGCGAGGCGCACTGCCTATGAGGAGTGTAGTATCCCCAAACTGCCCAAGAAGAAAAAATTGTCTGAGGCTGAGGTCGAATTGCTCAACCAACGACACAGGAGATCAAAGCTTTCAAATCTGCTGGGCCGGCTTCATGACTTCTCAACAGTAGTTGAGGCAAACCGGGCCATGAAGCATGGGGACATAGGCCGCCTGATTAATGTATGGAGGATGTGGTCGGTGATGGCACAGTCATTACCTGGCCTGACCCATTATGCAACTTACCTACCCCGGTTAGTACTGCTGTTGACCAAGGTATTGTCCCCATCCCTCAGTAAATACTTCCGGCATAGCATGTTGGTTTCTCCCAGTGGTCGTCCTTGCCACTTTGTGGCCAAGGACTTTTTCTTGGAGAACCATAACTACTGGCTCAAATTCTTTTTCAACCGTGGCGGCATCGGAACACAAGTTGACCGCCTGAAGAATCTATTTTCTATGAACATTCCCCTGGTGAGCATGATTTCTAGGCCAGTTTGTTGCTATTATGGCACAGGCTAAGCACATCTGACCACTGTCTTCATTCAGCTCCGATCACTGTTCCTCTCCCTGCAAGTAGACAGTGGCAAGCATCGAGTGTATCAAAGTCACAAGGTGACATTGTCCAAGAGCTCGCTGAAATCATTTCAGCAGATGGCCCACAACAGTGATATTCTTAACCAACATAACCGAACTCAATATTACCGTGACCTCACAATTGACTCTACTTATGTAGAAGGTCTCGTTTCCTTCCAAGATATCATCTCACACAAAGACAATGATCTCAGTCGGCTCCGCTCACACATACCTAGCCACTATCAACACACTGATGATGAACATGTTGCTGAGGCACGTGTAATGCTCAATTCTGAAGACGATGCATTGGGATCGATCGACCCAAAGGATACCATTTCTAACCCAGAAGAGGTTGATCCCCCCTCATCTGACTGCATGTAAGGTGAGATACAAAGAAGGAAGTGAAAAAATCGTCATCCTTTTAATAGAAACTAATCCTGGCTCTTCCGACCCGACCTCCGAAGTGCAGATTTGACCGGTCCTGTTGGTTTTGCTATCCTGTTGTTAATTGCGGATGTTGCTGCCTCCGCTCTTATTGCTGCTGCTGTTTTTTTTGGAATCGGAGTCGGTTTGATCCTCAGTTGAAATTTTTTTGTCAATTCCATGAGGCAATCAAGCTGTCCTGCTACCATTTCCCCACCAATGAGAACCCCTAGCTGCTTGACATTGACAAGATGGTCAGCATTGTGTGCAATCAATTCAATCTTTGCATCTTGAAACAATTCAGACGATGTAAAGAAACTGTTTTCCCCATGATCGCGTAGATGTAGCTCTTCAACTGCCTCTCGCATCTGCCTCTTGTATTCCCTGAGATCCTCTGGGTTGGCCATCGCTCGCTTTGTAGAGGTTCGTTGTATCCGAGGCTTGGGGGTTTTGGGTTTTGAAACCAATGCACCAGCTATGTAGACATTGAGATCGGTCGTAATCATCCGATCAATATTATCGATGTTCATCCTCTTCATGTTTTGAATGAAAGTGTCTGCTTCCATTGGCATGCAATTGGAACACCGACACTTCTCGAAATCTTGTGATTCCTCACGAGCTTTTTCATTTTTATACCCTATGTCCTTTTCAGACATGGGGATGTAGCCAAGCCTGAGCATCATCAAAAAAACAGACATCAACCAAAAAGATCCCATTAACCCATTGGTTTCATGAGCCGAAAGAGCTTACTTTGTGTCCAAGGCAAAAGCAATCCGAAGGCATACTGGAGTAATTGCCAAGGCGTCCATGCGGTCATCGTCTGATTGCTCAACCCCCTCAACGATTTGATTAATTTGATTTTTACCACCTACACGTGTTTTCTCTACAAACATAATTGCAACCCCTGGGCGCCCATCCCTCCCACATCTTCCCAACATCTGACAAATTGCAGCTGGGTCACCGCGGCCCATGTGGATAACCGATCGGACTCTCGACCAGTTCTGGCCCAAGCCAAGCGCCATAGTCGATGAGATAATTGGGTATTTCCCGGCAGCAAAGTCATCGGCAACATCAACTTTACCCAAGCTACCAGTGATGGAGTGGAATCGGCGTGCAAAAGAAGAATCTGGATTATCTGCCTCATCAGGAGTCCCGCGAGCCTGATCCAGAACCTTGAGGACATTCATTGTCCTATGTCGGGTACCACTGTAGATTATTGTTGGGACTACCTTATCGTCCGGTGTGCTCGCCTTTGGAGCATAAAGGTCTAGTAGATCGTTGCACGATACCATCGATGTAAGACTCAAAAAGTGGTTGTAAGACCCTTTTTGCTGAATGGAGAAGGGGATGGTGGAGGTGCAAGCTCTGCCCTTCTATACTATCAGATAACAAGACCCACCAAGCTTAGCTTGGCAAGTTTTAATCAAGTGATAGGGTAAAGTTCAGGAATGAGTTGTGTGATGAAGAGTGTTGATTTGGTGTTTGGTTGGCGCTTTAAAGTGTTTGTGTGAAGGTGGTCAAATATTGCTTGAGTGTTACTTGACTGAGGATTAAACAACTGGGAGGAGAGCCTCCTTATATATACAACAGTGAGGGAATTTAGCTCCAGGGCAGCCAGTAATGAGTGATTTTGGCTGGCCTGGGCTATTACATGAGGTATTTTTAGCTACATACAAAATTTGAATGAGTGAATGTGATTGGTCAGACATGTACAAGAGTTGAAGTGGTGATCCAAGCAGCTGAATGAGTGATTCTGATTGGTCAGGTTCTGATGTATTTACAAGTGAGTGTGGTGGTGTAAGCTGCAGCTGTCATGCATGGAAAATACACTAATTTAGGCTGCAGGTATGATGTAATATGTAGAAGTGAAATGTAAAGAGTGTAGATGTATGTAAATGAGTGTATATGTAAATGAGTGTGTACTGTACTGAGGGTGTCTGTGTAGCTTGAGGGTTGTAATTGGGTTTGGTGATATGTAATGATGGGTGAAATCCTTGTGATATGTTGTCCAGTGTTGGGTAAGAGTTGATCCAGGTGTGTTCCAGTGACGCCTCCGTGGTGACCAAGGGTGGATTTATCCGTAGAGTCCAGTTCTTGAGCCGTATGGTGTGAATTCTGAGAGTGATTGGGTGATAATATGAAGAAATATATACATAAGAAAAGAAAAGGAAAAAAACTTTGAATTTTCACATTTTTGACTACCACATCGACCAGTCCATGGTGACCCGGATGAAACGGATCTCCGGTCGTGTTAGTTCTCCACGCAACATCCATAAGGTCTCTTCTGGGAGCTTGAGACTCTTTCTGATCGCTTTGATGGCCACTGGACGGCAGGTTGCAGACATCAACAGGATAGGCATGTTATTACGAGTCATCAGATGGCCACCTAGATTTCCGTAGCTTGGCCTGAAGATCCCACGATCCTCGTGTCGTCCCAGCGCAGATTATCTCTTCCTCCCATGTGTCTTCTCCACAATACCCCACTCGTAGACCATGTGGGCCTCGTCGACCACCACCAGACCCAAGCGCTGCTGAAATTTATCGCTGAAGTAGATTCGGTCCCAAAGCTTACTATTCAAAAAGATTTCAGGTGAGAGGTAGACAAAGTTGTAGTCCCCATCGGCTATCTTCTCACATTCTTCAGGGCAGATCGTTAGTTTTGTAAGGTTTATGGCAGTGAAACCAGACCGAGTCTTTTCCAAGACTTGGTTGTCTCCAAGCGAGTCGAGTGGATTAAGAACTAGAATGACCGCTTTCTCTTTGATCGGCAGTGTCCGAAAATACAACTCAGGTATTCGCGATTTTCCGAAACCTGTGCCAGCAAGAAGGAAGGTGTTCCGGCCACGTACAAGGTTGAACACTGCATCGATTTGTCGGGGCTTAGCTTCTTGATTGTAGTGCTTCAACGAAAGCGTGGAGATTTCGTTCCTCAGTGATTGATCGTTCTTCTCGGCAATTTTCTTGAGGACAGTGATCCCAACCGAAGCCCATGCGGCCTGAGGCGGACTGCACGGTGGCGGCTTGTGTTTTGACACTCGATTCATTGATAGTTGAGACCTTGTCTGCGATTCAGGGCGATTATGTTTAGTCGCGGAATCGGGATGCAGTTCGCGACTATCCTGGAGGACTTGTGAATCTGGGGCATGTACTTCTGCTGGATGTTTGCCTGGCATAATAACCAAATATATGACCGTTATGACACACCTCTGTATTGGAAGTCTGCAATTACTATCTTCCAATACCGAGGCATGGCTTGATGTAAGGACATTTGGGCAAACAACCTTTCCAAATGTTTTCTATCCTTTGAAAGCACCGCAAGGGGCCATCTGAAGTGGGACCTTGATTTTGGAAAGGGGAAAAGATGCACAACATGACCATCTTTGCGCTCATTACTTTTTCAAAACCTCTCCTATGTCAATTTCTCCTCAATCAGACGATGAATAGCTGAAAGCCACTTTTTTTGGCCTACTGTATTTCTCTCCTGCCCCAGCGGGGGAGCTTTCCACCCAGGCCTCTCTGTGAGACAGAGACCCTGCGGGGCTGCCCTCCAGGCTCTCACTCGCGAGGCCTGTTGTTAGGCTCGTATTGAACCTTGCCAGTATTACCATCATTGCCAGTATTAAACCTTGCCAGTATTATTCCTTGCCAGTATTATACCCTAGCTCCTCAGCCATCCTTGCTCCCCATACCTCAGTACTCCTCTTCTCTCCAGTAGTAGTAACCCACATACACAGCTCATCAGTAATAGTCACCTAAGATTATAGTAGAAATTAGCCACACCCATACTTCTTCTCTTCTTAGTTTTACACTCTTCCCATAACATTAGATAGGAGGGCAGCCTTACAGCACCCTTGGTTATCACTTACATTAGTACTATTGTAGTTATCCATATCCCCTCCAAGCTTTATCTCTTTGGTTGAGAAGTTCCACACCGGATTGAGGATTTAAACGTGTCAGGGTGTCTTAACCACCTGGTACTTTTAAATAGTTCAGGTAGGCCTGGGAATGTAGTTCTTCAGGTGATTAAGCTGGAATGTGTTGGTGATCAAATGCCACAAATGCTGAAAGCCCAAATGCTGTGATGAAAAAACTCAGGTGATGAAGTCTGGAATTCAGATGTATAAGTCTGGAAAGCCACAATAATCTCAAAAACTAGAGAACTAATGCAGCTATGGGAGGAGGAGATGATGGTTGCCAACTAGCTGGTGGATCTACACGTGGTGTAGGAAGAGACAAAGACAAGAGGATCTCATCTCTTAACTGTCTCTGAAGACCTTGAGACGTTGTGGAAAGTAAGGTGCGTCCTAGGGGATTTCTTGCACTTCTCCACTCTGCAAAGCTCCCTTACTCCAATTTGTTGTCCAGGGTAACTTGCTTGATGGTCTTGTAGGTAGGTAAATAGCTAGTTTTCTTTTGTTGGTTGGTTGTAATACTCTGACTTTTCTATATTTCTAACAATTCCTCAGGCTAATATACAACTACCCCTAATTCTCTTGTTTTTTTCTGATATGTTCTAAGTCATAAGTCCCCCCCCATCTCTCTCCTCCTCTCCAAACTCCTACTCCTCCCACTGTCCCACACACTCTCTCTTCCTCACTTCCCACGCTGTCCTCTGCTTTCACTCCCTCACACTCCACTCGTCACCCCTCCAACATCCGCCAGTTAGTGCCTCTCTCCGGCAGCTAGTCAGACAGGTATCCCACCATCGCTTCCGCCTCTGGTCCAACCTCTCCGAACCCCGCTTCCACCTCTTGGTGCCCCCACTCCCTCTTAGCCCCTCCTCAGTGTGCATTAACCCTGGTCCGCAGTCGGCCATGAACCCCAAAGCCCGCCAGTGCCCGGATTCCCCGCAGTAAGCTTTTTGGAACTTTGTGCATTTGGCCCCACTTTGTCCGCAATTTCTCACACCGCGGAAAGCTTAACTTATCTCTTGTTGCTGCTTTCCTCAGCCTGCCCAAATAGTGTCAGCTCCACATGCTTTCCTCATCCACCGTGTGCTTTCCGCACCCGCCCAAACAATTTGGCCAAAGCTTTGCCACCACAGCAAAGATCAGTGTGACTGTGCGTGTCAGACTCAATAGGTCAATGCGCATGTCAGCTAGGACTGGCTAGTCAGCTCTTGACCATGAAAGACAGTGACTTGTCTTTGCCCTAGTCACTTGCCATCAATATTGATAACATAAATAATCAGTGCTCATGGTGAGTGATGAAATGTGTGAGGTGCATTAGCAACACATTGCACACCTGCTCCAAGCTTCCCACCACATGGAAAAATACTGCCTCCCAGTGGAGGTTGGCTTTTAAAAAATTTTATTGTTGGAGAGTGTTCATCTTTTGGGGCTGTCAAGAGTGGAAAAATATTGACCATTCCATGTACATTGGCAGACTTTTTCCACTCTTGAAAGCGGAAAAAGCTCAACCTCCTCTGGGAAGTAGGTTTTTTCCAACTCAAAAGCAACGATGGGTCTTTACTTTACAGATATCTGTATTGTACCGTTACAGTATTTTTTTGACTCAATAACCCTATGGGTTTTACCGCAATCTGTATTGGATTTTTCTTTACAATCTCCCAGTTTGTGGCTTTTGTTTTATTTGCTTTTGTTACGATAACTAAGATAGGGGGATTTTTTTTCTGTTACTGAGCAAATGGACCCATGAGCAATAACAAAGACGGAAACAATTTTTTTTCTCTGTTGTCTTCAGAACAAGAATGAATCTCAACAGCCAATTTGGAATTGGATGAAGGTTCTGCCTCCAAAGGACGTTTGTGAGGAGCCGGCCGTGTTAATCTCACCTGCAAGTCTGATGATGGTGCCACCATGTTTTGTGCAATGACAAGAGATGAAGCTCTTTATGAGTGGTGTTGTTGAGTCTGAGAGTGATCAGTAGAATAGCCTTCAGTATTTTTACTGCCGGAGAGGTCATTCTGAGTGAATTTTGGATTTTGTGAGACCATGCTGCTTCTAGTATCTGGGATAAGGGTCCTGGGGATGCTAGCAGGGGTATTTCCCACATATAAGCAGGGGATAGCTCACCAAAGGCCTGCTATCATCAACTTGGGGATTTTTTATGCCTTTTGCCCCTGGTGGAGTTGGTTATTGTGTTAACCAGGGGTAAAACCTGTAACTATATCTGTATGAAGCAACCAAAAAAAGGGTGCCTCAATACTATACTAGTTTCTTGGGGCTTGGTCCTTTACTAGTACCAGTATTAGTAACGGGTGGTCAAGCATACATTTACTATAACAAAAGGGGCTGGTTATTGTAGAGTACAGTAAAGACCCATTGTTGTCAAAAGCAAAAAAGATGTTAAAATTTTGCTCATCCATCTCTCCCTCTCTTACTTTTTTTCTGTTGTCACATTTCACTCACTTGTCTCTGGTATCATTCTTTATTTCTTATTCAATATGTGTCAATTTCTGCTCCCACATCCTGAGCATTTTGTATCTAGACTATTTATAACCCTAGATATTAAGAAACAAGAAAAGGAAAACATCAGTTCTTTACAATTTTTAGATTGTTCCTGAAGGAGCACTTGAGCCCTCCTTCAGTCTTGTCAGGGAGCACATTAGCCCTTCCTGCAAAAATCATATAAGTAAAATATTTTCTCTTAGGCCATTCCGCCTAAAATTCAACAAAAGACCTCTTCTGGAGCGTAGCAGAATTCCACTGAAAGATAGTGTAGCATTGTGGAATTCTGCCACATCTGCAATAAAACTACCTGCACAGGCCCCAAAAAATGGCCCTCTACACTGTGCTAACTTTTATGGGTGTTCTGGTGAGAGTAGATGATGATCATCATGGTTCTGGTTCTTGATGGTAGATTGCAAGATGAGGAATACCCAAGTTGTGAATATCAAACAAACTCCAAGTTGGGGAGTTGTGACATATATGTAACAGGCTATGTACATATGCAGAAGTCCAGGCTTCAAGTCCAACAGCTCATAACACAAACGTGCTGGTTAGCGGTTTTTTGGCCCTTGAGTGGCTGTTAGCAGCTTGTATCGCAGTGTAGGGTAGCAAAAATGTCTTAACACTGCAGGATTTCTGTGGAAAAAGGTGCTGCTACGCTAATGCTTTTTGGGCAAAAAGCATAGTGGCCAACCCTTTCCCAAACTCCTGGTTGGTTTTGGAGGATCAACCCCCAACCCCTCTGGGTTTTCATTGGGTTATTGAGAGAAAAAATAGGGGGAGGCAATGTCCTGAGATGGTCCACAAAAGGTCCTCATGATGTCCCTGGGGTTATGGAGTTGATTGGACAAGCCTTTAATTACATTTTCCTATTCTGACCATGATGCAAACTAGATTAAATGTGAAGTTGATCTCAGCATCAGATTTTTCACCTTGACACAGGTCTCTGCAGTATCTGACCTGGAATGATTCCACAAATTCCAGAATGCAATAAAGTGTGCGGGAAGAATTAACCTTCTATCATGTGTTTGAACCTCAAACTCACGTTGGCCAAGACCAAGAATGAGCTGATACTGATCGATTTCATGTTGCAACACCCCAATGGTCCTTGGAGGCCTTCTCAGTTGTTTCTGTCAGACCCACAGCGTAAACGATCTATTCCTTGGGAGATTCATCAGCCGCCTGCATCAGCAAATGGTATTTGGAGACTACAACAAGTGAATTCTACCCAGACTCGTGTTCCGTCCATCAACCTCCCTGCATCTCATTTGGCAGAATGCGTTGTCTTCTCTTAGTAGCATTGGCCCTGGTTAGCCTTGTGCCTACTTTTGATGCCACTCCAGTCGCAGATTTGCCCAAGGCTGATCTTCATTTTGAATCATTCACCAAGAGTTATTAAAATTCTCAAAATAGAATCAGGTTATTTGACAATGACGTTGGTTCCCAGACATCTTTAATATTCAAGTTGTACTTGATTTATTTTTGTTGAATTTATTGCTAACTGGAGTGCATGCCATGTCAATCGAAGGGGTGTTTAAAATTGATGGGCAAACCAATTTCCAAGCAGGAAGCCGACAAGCAACTGCAGAAAGCCCGAGCTCTATTAACCAAGGCTACGGAGGCCCCTAACAGTGATGTTTGGGTAATCACCGCTCGTAATGAAGAGTCAATCAAGCCTTAATTGGACATCCCGGGCTTGAACTTTGGCGTAGAACAAGGGACGGTGATCATTCGAGCAAATGGTGAAACAGAGGGGCTGTCAACACAGAAATGGCAAGCGGTGATGGTCAACAAGAGGTGCAAGAGAAAAGAAGAAACATCTTGGAAAGGGACGAACCTGTTGAACAGCGGTCGCCTGACTATCAAGATTTGCCAATGAAGCTCTTGCCATGCTTAGTGATATTTTTGGTGTTTTCCTTCGACAGATGCGCTGGAAGGGCAGCGCACCCAGGGCCCCCAGAGGGCAATGTCACTTGTATCGTTGTCCTCTGTCAAAAAAAAGCGGCTACCCCTTTGCTCATTCGCTCAAGTTTGGGTTGGTGAATTGCATCAAAAAGACCAGGGACAAACTTTCCAGTCACTTGGTTCCTCTCACCAATTGATGCCTTATGTTTTTTTTTTCTTATTTCAGGTTTAATAAATTTATAACTGCATACAATCCGGGCCTCACCTTGGTCCACTAATTCAACAAACTTTTTTGAATAATGGAATCCATGGAAATATATCTGGCGCCAACCAGCAAGATAACAGAAGACCTTCCAACCTTCGTAGAGGTTAATTGAAGCTAATCGGAGGGTATCCTTAATTTGAAGGAAGTGCTTAAGATGCTTCCCGAGCCATCAAAAACATAAAGGGATCATTTTGAGTCCTTCATTGAACACTTCATGGTAGATGTAAAAATTACTTAACTGGTTGTCAAATTGAAAATCACAGATGCCCAATCACCAGGTTGCCCGCAGTCTCTTGGCGGCAAACAACTTGCATTTCCTGGCTGCCCATACAAGTTTGCGAAGTTCTGTACATGAGATTTTAATTTTTTTTTAGCTCCAAAGTTGATATGGAGATGTAAGACTTGAAAGGTGATGGTAGGCCGTAGCACTAGAGCACGTGTAAACTGAACGAGCTTCATATATTTCAAAAGCAGCTGGTCGTGACTCGCAGGCTTTACTTTGGGGGACAACCGGTGGCTAGGAGAACAACCCAAAAAAAAATGCTCTGAGTTCAGTTCTTGTTCAAAATCTCATTGCAAGCTCAGATTTCGATTTGGCCTGAGGAAAGAATTTTGTGGGGAGCCAACAACCGATCAAGTTGAAAATGCTACCCACCTCTCGAATCTCAAAGTTCCGCAGCGCATTTGGTCTAACCACTATTTGGTGAGTTTGAAGCTTAGACAAGCTTCCACCATGAGCTAGGATGATCAGCGGTAGATTCAAGAATGTGATGCACAACAGCAGGAGAGTGATCATTCCCGGAATAAAAAAGCCGAGTTTGACTAGGGAAGGGTAATCTCTGCGCAACATATGGATGGAGGCTTCTTCTACCAAACTTGCTATGGCACCTGGGGTCAGGAACCAACTAGGTCACACAAAATATCAATTCAAGGAAACTCACCAAGCGCTTGAAAAGGGGTAAGAGTGGCAAGGGTGGTGTAGTGTTTTGAAAGTGTTGCGTCCAGTTGGATTATCTTGATCCGAGGGCCTCCAGGCTTTGTTTACCTGCGGAAAGGGTTGGAAGGTTGGGTCAGTCAGTACTACGGCTGAGAAGTGTTAATGTTGAAATAATATCAAACCTTCAACCAGGTTTGGTTTGATATCATGACACCCATGATGAAATCTTGAGTCTCAGGGTTTTCAAGCTGATTAGTGAGAGGTCCTTGGCAACAACCAATTGCCTTTCGTGTTTCTTTTCTCTCGAGGAACGTTCTGATTGTATTTTGCAATACCATAAAAAAATAATGAAGGAGCTTGAAACTGGAAAAGGTGGGGATAAATTTGGCCGGACCACATGAGGATATGTTGATGATCATGTGCCCCCGTCTGCGTAGGCCTTGAGTAGTTTAGCTTTGGGGTTATTAAGAGGAGGTTCAGTAGGTTTGATTGTAAATGTGTGATGTGAGACAATGATACCCATACCATAATCCCTAACCCAGCATTGGTGTCATGAATGGAACAAGGGGGCCAACGATGCCAAATAGTTGGTCGTCTTGCCCTTTGACAATAGCAATTGGTCAACAGGATATCGAGCCACCCCATGATCCTCAATATCATAACTTCAACGATTGTACCCCCACATCTCAGTATCTCAGTCTCAACATCAACATTGTGTTGCCCCTGGAGCTCCCCGCTTGACGGTCACCTAGATTAGCCCTCCTGCTGAATTGCCAAGGCTCCCATTGCCAAAAGTCAAGACCATAAGGAGAGAGAGGGTCCAATGTGAATGTTCAAAGGGATATAATTTTGGCTGTGTGCCCCCCCCCCCCCAACAAAATACATATATCAAGTGGCCAATCAGTGGCCGATCTCAGGGGAGCTGTTGAATCTTGTCACTCTATCAGAAACCCAGGTTTTCCCACTCATCTGCCCTGACCCTTGCAGTGACGTGAAGGTTTGACCATTCAGTAAAATGATGAAACATATGATAAGCTGGTGCCTATTTAGGACCTTCCCCTCACCACCGACCAACTGATTCCCCTCATCCAACAACTCCAGGTTCAAGGAATTTGACAAATTGATAATGGCTAAAGAGAAGGTAGACTTTTATCCTCTCTCATGTCAAGATAACCTATTGATTCTTAACTCTCTCTTTGATTCCCCTTGTCCAGAAACATGCCCGCATGTGCACTGGTGGGAAACCACCCATTGCTCAATTGCAAAAGTCTGTACAAACTCTTGACTCAGTTAACCTGCACATTTGGCTAACATCTTCAAATTTCCAGGGCGGGTGAAGAATGGGCCAAGAAGAACCAACAGGAGGAAGAGGCCAAGAAGAAACCACAGGAGAGCAGCTCTGCCGCTTCCTCAGGGAGTACATCTCGCGGCCCTGCTGAACCCATGAACGATTCTGATTCAGACAGGTTAGAGGAAATATCCAAAGAAGAGTTTGAGAAAAAGATGGCCAAAAGTCTCCCCAAGTCTTAAAAATGTAGATGTTATCCCTCTTATTTGACCCCGCCGCATTTACCTTCCCTGTTATATACACGATCTCATCTGTTGCATCAATTCAAAATTCAAACTAGTCATGTGATTGAAGTTTTTGCTTGGCCTGAGACTGATTTCAAGTTGTGTTTTATGGCATCATAAATGGGTTCACTCTCACAAGACATTTCACTGGCCCATCACTTTCATGCTAGCAGTCATGTGAGGTGAGGTGTAGGAGATCAGAGTATTATTCTGTGTCAAACACAAATGATCAGTTCCTAACCTGAAAAAAGTCTGTATGGTATTGATGTACAAAGGAGAGCATTGTACTGCGTTAAACACGCATGATCATTTCCTACGTTGATGAAAGTCCCCTGTGTTTTGGCAAGTTATGATCAGTTCACACTTGACACAAGCCTCATTATCACGTGACTGCATCTTTGTGCCCTTCTGTGCTCATCAGAGAGACAATGGAAAGGTGGCATTTGCTAAGTGACCGCTCGGGCACAAAGGTCCAATCAATCTTTGGGTCAATTGTGTCCACTCGGTTTTTTTGCGGGACTTATAAAGCAGATGCATCAGGGGCAGCTATTGCTGAGAATCCAGTCTGCATCAGATCTTAACTGAGAAATTGGCTGGATCAGATCTTTTACCTTCTTCAATCAGCAACCTACTCACCTGAATCCCACGCAAAAGAATGTTCTCCAACTGTTCTGGACCTACCAACTCCCAGACCAACCAAGACCTCGCTGCATATCAAGATTATCCCATGCCAAACGTACAAGGTTGTGATCCCACCGGCTACAAAGGCTTACAAGGTTGTTATCCCACCCGCTACAAAGGCTATGCGCCACCAAATGGACAACTGTCGCACTTACAACCTCGTTGTCCTTCTGGCCATGAAGGCTATCCCCCGTCAAACTTACAACCTCGTTGTCCTGCTGGCCATGAAGGCTATCCCCCGTTGAAAGGACATAATGATTATCACCCAATGAACAGTCAACCTTGCCACCCCCAAGCTGCAGGCCATGAAGTTGATGAGCCTCAAAATCATGTAAGGGTGTCCTTTCTTCTGTTTCCATCTATGTTTTCAGCCTCATTTGCTCAATGGCATTGCCTTCTTCCATGATCATGATCACAACAGCGTTGGCATCCATACAATTTGGGATCTTCAGGACACGGATCTCACGCAGATGGACCCATGGGTATTGGAGGGGGTTGATAAGCGCACGCCAACCCCCATGGCGCACGCCAATCTGCACGCCACTTGCAGATTGGCGTGCAGGCCCACACACCAAAGCAGATTGGCGTGCAGGTCCTAAACCCACATTAGTATGGGTTTAGGACCAGGGCTATCCCATAGGACCCAGGCATGGGTCCTATGGGATAGCCTACATACATATAAGAGTAGACATGGCCCCAAGTACTCGTTTGCAAGTACTCGCTACTTGTTTTCGAGTACTTGTTGGGAGTGCACAAGTACTCGCCCGCGGGTGGCGGGTGCGAGTACGAGTGCCTTGTTTTTGAGCTGAAAAACCAGCAAGTACTTGCACAAAGTACTTGCCGACACCCGCCCTCCTCAGAGGTGCAGATGACCGGCCTAACCACCAACCCAAGGTCCCACTGGTCCCACGCACATCGGCGAACCCACCCATCAAACCGAGAAGTCCTGTTCATAGCTCCATCCAACCCCGACCAACCACACCCTCCTCGCTGATTGATCCTCGGCTCTTTACCAGTAAGTCATCTTTCTCTTGATCTCGTCGCCCTTGGCAACCGGGTCTAACCTCACACTGTTATTCATATCTCGTTCTACTTCTCTTTCCATCAACCACGCGCTATAATCGACGGATCGATCATTGGACTTCATTTTGCTGTAGTATTGTCTTTGATTGACTGATCCGCTTCGGATCCAATAATGTAAGTAATTTTTTTATGTTTGTTATGTTAGCAATCACTTTTCAGATTCATGAACAAGCCCTTCGATCGCAAACAACCCCCATCGATTGCGACTGGCTATCGATTCAAGACTATGGCAGGGAGGGGGAACAGCAAGAAGCGACGCATGTCGTCACCCACCTCCTCAACTACAAATGCCCCTGCTAGGTCCAAGCAACGATCGAAAAAGAACAGGACTCATGACGTGATTGATTTGGCTAAGTCCGATGAGGGAACGAGCCCTAGTACTAGCGACCGAGACGACGGGTCTCCTGAAAGCACTCAGGCTTCCAACACCAAGGAACTCACTGATGAACAAGAGCTGAGTAAGTTGTCTTTGAGTCTTCATCAGTGTCCTGACCAACTTGATCAATCAAAAGCAATCAAAAGACTAATATATCTCAATGTCTTATTTTTTTTAGGAAAGGCACTGAGAATTCATAAGAACCAACTCAGCCCCTCCTATGCTTCTTTCCACCCCCCAGAACTGTCTGACCAGAAGGACAAAAAGAAAAATCTGGGAGAAAATGAAGGTCTTATTATTACTATTTACAATCACTTAGGTCACTTAGTTTAGAAATACAAATCTCTGAAATGAAAATACAAGAAATTTATCTCCTGTATCTCTCCAAATAAGCTTGCATACTTGCAAGTACTTGCCACAAGTATGCAAGTACTTGCTTTGTAATGCCCCCACAAGTACAAGTACAAGTATGGGTGTCTGAAATCTGAGATTTTTCATGCAAGTACTTGTACTTGTCGAAAGTATGCAAGTATGAGGGGCCATCTCTATATAAGAGTTTGAAAAAAAAAACTGTCAATCCTTGTAGGACACCCACTGGTGTCCTACAAGGTCGACAACTGGACGGCGAGGTTGTACAACCTCCTCGCCGGCCAGGAGGGAATCTTACTGGTTGACGAGGTGGTACATCCTGGCCGGCAAGGCTGTACCACCTTGTCGACCAGGAGGGAATCCTCCTGGCTGGCGAGGTGGGGGTTGATAAGCGCACGCCAGGCGCAGATTGGCTTGCAGGCCCACACGCCAAAGAATTTTGGCGTGCGGCCTTGCACGCCAATCTGCTGCAGGGTAGATTGGCGTGCAGGCCTGCACGCCCCACTTTAGGTCCTAAACGCATATAGCCATTCATATCATAAAAGACATGATCCCACATGACTGTACATTTATCACCCCCGCCATTTTGGAAATAAAGCTCTCGACTTGAATTTCCGGGTGATGTCTGGCTGAACCAACTTGTTATCCACAAGTACAAGTCACCAATCCTTCTGGCGCTTGGGTCATCTCATCAGTCAGAACACCTCACAATCCAAGCATTATGCCTTGAAAAAAATCTTCTCAGCCTCCCCGTTCAACTCCCAAACGCACCGGACAAGCCTGCAATCAGTCTAACACTCAAAGCTTGGTGACACGGCAAACTCATCCCACTGACTCTCAGAATTCAGCACTACCCGACTCACAACAGGGGGTTTACACTGCTTCAAATGAAACTCAAACCCAAGAATCAGGTACCATTGCCTCGCAAAGTCAGCAGAACACAACCCAAACTCAGCCTGAGGGAAGCCCGGAAAAGGACAAGAACAAGAACCTCTTCTGGACAGCTGGAATGGAACGAAGTGCGCTCGAGATGTACGTTAAAGCGGTCAAGGAGGGAAAGCGTGGCGAAGCTGGATTTAAGCCTGAGGTACACCAGACAGTCACTACCGAGCTCGCAAAGGAGTTTCCTGGCATCGATTTCACTGTTGCAAAAGTCAAATCAAAGTTCAACCAGACCTTCAAGAAGGTCTGGGATGCTTTTATTGCTTGCAAAGGGGCGAGTGGGTTTGGGTGGAATGAGGCCGAATGCATGGTCACAGCTTCAGAGGAAGTCTGGAATGCATTCTTAGTCGTAAGTTAATCTGCAAGTACTCAGCCGAAAGAGGAGCTGACATGTTTTTTTTTTTTTAATTTAGTCACACCCTAACGCCAAGCAATTCAAGAACACTCCCTTCCCCAAGTATAGCGAATACCAGGTGATCTTTGAGGGGAACTCAGCTACAGGTGCTTTGCGCCGATCGTCGAATAACACTCGCGTTGAACCAGAAGAGGTGCAAGAAGCCGACGGCAATGGCCACTTAGATTCAAGTCAAACACCTGCTCAGCGTCCTGGGGTTCGAGCTCCTCGCCAACATCGAGTCACATCTGGCAATCGATTTGAAAACTCGATTGATCGAATTGTCGATGCCTTTGTTTCATCCAACCAAGATCTAGAGACCAACCCCCCGGAGGCCTCTGCAATACACAAAGCGATCGAAAAGTTTCAAGATCACTTTGCCACTGATCTTGGCATGGACAAGCTGGTTGCCGGATTTGGAGTGTTAGAAAACGAAGCAAAGGCAAAAATCTTTTTAGCTATTTGAAACAACGATCATGCCTGGGCCTGGATGAGCAGAGAGATTGACACAAAGTTGGCTGCAAATAGCAACTGAATGGATCTCATTTGATTACTTTTTCTGTTCCTACTCCTAGCTACAAACAGATGTATTGACCAATTGAAATTACGCATCGTCTTATTAAGATTTTTTCTTCTCTTGTCATAATTCAATTAATGATGAGAAGAGCAATCACAATAGATAGAAAAGAGAATAGCAGTAGCAATAGAAAAGATAAGATTGATAGCAATAGAAAAGAGAGGAGAAATACAGATAGAAAAGAGAATAGCGATAGACAGGAAATTGTCAAGATGAAAGAAAAGGTCAGCCAGAAGAGGATATACACAACATTTAACTGCCCCTTTGTCAAAGATAGTTAGAATATTGTTCCCACATTTCCTTGGCCAATGAGTCCCTCCATAACTTGTGTGCAGCTCGTTGTTGAGCTTCACTCAATGATAATTGATTGTCTTCTTCTTCATCAGGGATCTCATCCTCTTGTGGTGCATCCCCAAGGTAGTTTGGGTCGGCAAAGTAATCCGATTGTCCATGGTTTTCAATGATTATGTTATGAAGGACAGCAAGTACAAGAACGAGTTTGCCTTGAGTTTCCAAGCTGTACTCTAGGGGATGTACAAGAATGGGGAATCACTTCTTCCAGGTTCCAAAGGTCTGCTCAACGATGTTCCGAAGCATTGCATGCCTTAGGTTGAACAGGTCTTCCTTGTTTGCTGGTCTGGAGTACTCATAATCATCAGTCAAGAGCTGAAATTTAATAACAATCTACTTGATAAGCTTAACTCGCCTGTGCATTTTCTCGAAGGTGGTAACGCACCCCACGGTAAGGAACAAGAACACCTTTGGAGAGCGAGTATCCAGCATCGGCCAGGTAGAAAGACCCCCTCGGTATGCTGAAGTCTTCAGCGATTGCACTTCCAAGAACTCGAGAGTCGTGTGCAGACCCCTCCCAGCCGACCATGATGTAGGTGAATTTCATGTTGGAGTCCACGACACCGAGTACATTCTGAGAGAGCATTCCTTTTCGGTTCCGATAAGGGCCTGCCATTGTTTCAGGGACACTTGCAGGGACGTGACACCCATCCATCCCACCAATGCATCAATCGAAGAAGGGAGAAAACTTTGGGTTATCCAAGATGGTTTCGTGTGTAAGGCTAACTGAAGGTGAGACGATGTACTTCTTTTGAAGCTGAAGGAAAAGATTGATTATGTGGTGGAAGATACGTGATATTGTCCCGCCACTGTGTTGAAATCGGTCCTGAGCTTGCCGGTTGGTAGCATTCTGGCCAACTATATACAAGAAGATCGCCAACTGTTCATCCATACCGACCATTTTTGAAGCAGGCTCTAGGTCAATTGATAGAAGTTCTTGAGAGCAGATCTTGAAGATGTCGATTGAAACTCGGAACATTGCTTGGGCTCGCAGTCGGTTTCCAGTCAAGATGTGTTGAACGTAAGCTTCACCGGTGAAGATTGCATTGTTGTCTCTTTGATTGTTTTTGACCACTGACAACGGCCAATGATAATAATGAGAATCTTAAGAAACTTCTTGCGTCTGATTTGCTGTCGATATTGGTTTTGTTGCCTTGCGATTTGTAGGTTTGATTGAGCCATTTTTGGTTGTGGTGGTTGGTTGTGGATGATGTTTGCCAAACACTGGTGTAATGAATGGACTCTGTAAAATATTTGGTGAAAGTGCACCAAACACACCTGTCATAAATGAGGTGGGTGTTACGTAGATTTTATGATGACTTTCTTTCAACTTGTGTGTTATTCAAATTAGAACAGCATTTATAATATAACAATTTGCGGCCAAACGGGGCCTTAGTGTACCAATCCATGTCTCTCAACAAGTTGTTGTTCAAGGAGTTGTCTCGACGAGTGGGGTGTGTTGTAGCTTGGTTACGTAAAGATTACGTCTCACTACAGTTTATGTCATGAGTGACATAAACAATGGTCTCAATGAGACATCAGATTTTTCCATGCTTTTCACTATGTCATGTCTTTCTCTGTTTACATAATGTTGACTATAAATAAGCTTGTATTTCTAGTCACATTATGTTTTTCCTCTCTATGCAATCTAGCAATTAGCTTTCCTTTCCTCGACTTTACGTCTTGTGCCTCTTTACTTCTCATCCACCGATAGAGCCTTGATACACAAGCAAGGCTCTCTACAATGTGAAAAATATACAACTACATTGTCACTTTGCCCTCAAGAGTGTTACTGAGTAGTATTACCAAAACCCCCGGGTGCTTGGGTGGTGCCCCGGCCCCATCCCAACCACCCAACCACGGGTGGAACCCCCTGGGCTGAACACCCGGGTGGCACCATTTGGGTTCCAGCCTTATTTTGGAGTTGATTAAACAAGCCCCTAACTACATTTTCCTATGCTGACCACGATGCAAACTAGATTAACAGTGAAGTTGATCTCAGCATCAGATTTTTCACCTTGACACAGGTCTCTGCAGTATCTGACCTGGAATGATTCCACAAATTCCAGCCTGCAATAAAGTATGCGGGAAGAATTAACCTTCTATCATGTGTTTGAACCTCAAACTCACGTTGGCCAAGACCAAGAATGAGCTGATACTGATCGATTTCATGTTTCAACACCCTGATGGTCCTTGGCGGTCTTCTCAGTTGCTTCTGTCACACCCACCGCGTAAACGATCTATTCCTTGTGAGATTCCTCAGCCGCCTGCATCAGCAAATGGTATTTGGAGACTACAACAAGTGAATTCTACCCAGGCTCGCGTTCCGTCCATCAACCTCCCTGCATCTCATTCGGCAGAATGCGTTGTCTTCTCTTAGTAGCATTGGCCCTGGTTAGCCTTGTGCCTACTTTCGATGCCACGCCAGTCGCAGATTTGCCTGAGGCTGATCTGCATTTCGAATCATTCGCCAAGAGTTATCAAAATTCTCAACACAGAATTGGGTTATTTGACAATGACGTTGGTTCTCAGACATCTTTATTCAAGTTATACTTGATTTCTTTTTTTCTTTTTTTTGGTTGAATTTATTGCTAACAGGAGTGCATGCCATGTCAATCGAAGGGGTGTTTAAAATCGACGGGCAAACCGATTTCCAAGCAGGAAGCCGACGCACAACTGCAGAAAGCCCGAGCTCTATTGACCAAGGCTACGCAGGTCCCTAACAGTGATGTTTGGGTAATCACCGCTCGTAATGAAGAGTCAATCAAGCCTTACTTGGACATCCCGGGCTTGAACTTTGGCGTAGAACAAGGGACGGTGATCATTCGGGCGAATGGTGAAAAAGAAGTCTTAATCAAAGTGCCCCAGGTCGATGAGATTAAGATGAAGATCGCCGCGATGATTAGGCAGTCAGGTGGGGGCAACTGATTCTGTGTGATTTTTGGCAATAGTTAAGCACTCATTTTTAAACATGATCAAATATATTTTGAGCTTCCACGCAGCCATCAAAAAGGATAGCAACGATCCGGATGCCGAAGAGCCGATTAGATTTCTTCCTATGGAGAATAGCATTCCACTAAAGTTTCATGACTGGGATAGTACTAGCAGCCGTGAGTCCAGGTACTCCGAAGTTCGGGCAAATCAAACCATCTAATGAGTCTGGTGGTTTTGCCCCCAAAAAAATAGAGGACATGCGCCACGGGATCGAGCAGTTTATTGGAAAGCATTACACGGATTTTACCATCACGTCGTTTGCGAAAGATAAGGTGATGATTATACACAACCCAACTATCAACAAGAGGACATTAGTGGAGAAGGTATTGAAGGAGAAGCCATACGATTTCGGCTTCTCAGTAGGCGACGACATCATCGATGAAGGCATGCATGATGCTCTCAACGCCATCAACATCAACCAAAACTTTTTTTCCGTCGTGGTGAGCCGAAAATCTGATCAACAAACCGTCGCAAGACACAAGCTATCCACACACGAGGACGTCTATAGATTTTTCACAGCGCTCTATTCCTTGCCTACCAAGGTTTCACCCCAGCGATTATTGAACCAAGGATGAGTCATGCGGGCTGCGACTTACTGATTTTCTGTGTAATATATTTTGGTAATTTGCTTTCAATGTGATGAAATTTTGGTTCCATTTGAGCCTCAGATTGGGGTTTTCTTGCTCTGCATAGTTACGTCTACAAATTCATGCCGGCGTTTCAGTCCGGTTGAATTCCTCACTGAGTGCTTTTCGAGATTATCTTCGGGAGTGCGATGATGTTTGTGCTTGTCTTTTGCAGTTGGGGATGGAGTTCTTCGATGTGAACTGGGGTTTTTATGGTCGGCGGCTGCCGGGGTGCTATATTGCTCTACATATTTGCTGTGAGCGGAGATGAGGTTGAAAGGTTCAAGCTGTTCCTCCAATCTGCTGATGGTTGCTCGTCCCACTACCAATCTCTTAATCGATGGTCAACAGGCCCAAATTAAAACTGCAGCTGGTGAGAGACAGAAAATGCACTAGGATGACTCTCCAAACCTGGATAGGACATGCAGACTGACCAGTTTTGGAAAACTCACTTGAAAAAAGGCGGTAGCGATCGCAAAAACTTATGGTTCGAAGGTGGAAATCGATGGTACGGGATAGAATTCTCTTTGAAGCCATTGGAGGACTTCCCGTCGGTCTTACAGGCTCTGTAAAACTATTTTTACAGGGGGGTGTAAAATCGAAGCGAAGTCCTCCATTGATAGACTAGCCCAGGAAAGCCTACTGAAGAGTTCGAACTCTGTGTATGTCTGGGGATTTCTCTAGGATGTCTGGATCGACTGAGAAATTGGCCACTCTCCGAGTCAGAGAAACAGTTGAAGTCTCTTATAATCCCGAAGGAGAATGGTATTCAGTCGCCGGTATCTAAGCCTACCGGCACCAGATCAAGGTCTCATTCGGAATGTGCGGAAAACGAACCAACTGAGGAAAACGCCGTCACCGGTTCTCAATTGCATACAGAAACTTCCAGTACCAACGAGCAATCCGAAAACATTAGTAGCCAACCTAAGCACAAGGTGCTAAATTCGGGAGAAATCGGTCCGGCTGATGAAGCTACTTCAACCTGGGTAGCTGAAAATAAGCATCTTAAGCAGATGAACGAACTCCAACGGCAAGGCAAGTGGTTTATTCTCTGTCTTCTGCTTGTTCGCTTCCTAGCTCTGACCATGCCCTTTGATTGCGCGAACCAGAAATCATTAACTTGAGACACGAGCTGGCCGAGAGATGGCATGGTTTGAACCGTAACATTGAACCTGAAGTCAAAGCGGGCCTTCATGTTCAGAAGAAACGTCCCCTATCAATGCTAGAGATGATTGTTGAACATGAGGAGAAGAAGAAACAGAAGAAAGAATCTGCGAAGGCGAAGAAAACAGTACGGTTTGGTGATCAGCGGGAGGAAGCCTTGTCGGCTACCGGGATGCCTTCGGAAATTCCTAGCGACAAGATCTCTTCTTCAGCCGGAGATTCGACCTTCGATACCTTGAGCAGGATTATCCGCCTCAATGAGCTCCTACGTTCCTCAAGTTCGGAGCCACCACCTAGCATCCAGACTGACTTACTGACTCTAGAAGCGATCAGAGAAGCCGCCGTGGGCCTGTTGACGACCTTGCGACATTCGCTACAAGAAACAAGTCGGATGGTGTTTGGGAAACAGAGAGTAACTGACTCCTCAATCCCTCGGGCTACTCATTTGATCGCCCGGTCAATCAGCTCGGCACTCGCCCCTCTCTTTCTTCCAGAACATCCCACAATCCCAAACTCGAGTAAGGCTGAGGTAATAAAGAGAAATTGGAGCAAAATTATCTTGCCGTTCATTTACCAAAACGTGTGTAACCACTTCACAAGAAAAAAAATTGATACTGGGGTAGTGACATACACGCACCCAGCAAAACCTGAACAAGATGCGTTTATGTGTGCTGAGTGAGTACTTTGAGCTGATCTAGCTCTTTTTCTCATCTTGCCCAGCTCGAGTCACTTTTTGAAGAAATAATGTCAACTGTGACACGTTGCTGTCAGCGTTTAGAGGAGTACTTTTGGGACGATCGTCGGTCGAAAACAACGGTCACAAGCTTCGAGGTGGATAACATGATGGTCCTACGGGAAGAGCTGAGCAAATTGGCGCAAAACATCATCAGACAATCTTCTGGTTGGACGGGCGATTTCCAATTCCACATGATCAAGACTTTGCTCGGCAAGATGGAGAGCATCTACTTCACCGACACCACCAGCTCCGGCCACAAAGTTTGTGATTTGGAAGCGCTCGCCATCCTGGCCGAACTCCTGGAGACTGTCTCCAAAAATCTGGCTCAGTCGACCATGGCTGAAATCAACTTGGTCGAGATCCGCGCAATCATCGCGAAGATTGTCTGCAACCACCAGTTCGGAATCGGGCTCTCTCATTCTCCAATGATGGATAGAAAATTTGATCGTGTTTTGATGCGGTTCTGGGTGTTGTAATTCTTTCTCCAGATTTTTATTCTCATTCCAAGATTACCTGTGCCATGATTCAAATTATACATGTATCTCTTCATATGTCTATATTGCTGATTGGATGGAGTCCCTCTATAGTTTACATCGTTTCCTGCTCTTACCTTTATTCATCGGCTGCTAGGATCTAGTGAAGTTCCAGCCTCGGATGGGTTTTGTCATGACTGCCACTTCTGTTTCACATATGCTCAATAGCCTGCAAGTTACCCAAAACGAAAATGTGTGGCAAGCTCAGTTACTGCTGGCAACATCGTCGCGCTGTCACGAGCACATTGCGAGGGGGGGCATTTCTTGATGACTTCGGTCCCAAAAAGTTGTGACTGATATCATGAGCAAATGGAAAAAGCAACGTTTACCCGCTACTGCTACTGCCCCCTCTGCCTGGTGAGAATTGAACTTGTTGAGACTCTTCCTGACAATATGGCATCCAGCGGGGCGTCAAGTTATTATTTCGCGTGCCAAGGAAATGATGCCCTTCAACAGAAGGGGAGCCGAGGACCCTCACCCTCTGCAGAGTGTTGAGGCTCCAGACGAGTAGTGAGCTAAACAGACGCCTTGTCCCAATTCCTCCGAGTCCACTTGGGCCAATTAGTCTACTGCTGAGAGAACAAAGAGGAGGAGAAAGAGTCCCTCGAAAACAAAGGCTTTTCTGGAGCATCCTCAAAAGCTGAAAACCCGACGAGGCATTCTCGACGCGTCGTCTTTTGTTTCCACCCTCAATGCTAGCACTGCCTTTACGCTAAGAATTGGAAAGCAAAAGCCAACAATCAGGCAGAAGAGGAGATGCCCACAAGCAAATGCAAACCAAAAATCACCATATTCGAACAGTTGAGAAGAGGCCACACCACCGTCAGTGCCCACCAATATTCCTTCTCTTACCATCTTAATACATCTTTCCCCTTATTCTATCTAATAATAATACCAGCATAAATATCTAAACATGTTTTCACCAATCCTACCCCTTATCCAATCAACCTATGTTCTGACATTACTCCAGATTCTTCTAGGACCGGACAACCATCTGGGGTGCTTGGCTGAACCTCTCACTGACTCAAACCATCATCATCATCATCATCACCACCACCACGGTCACAAACATCACAGTCATCATAATCACCATAATCATCTCTACTCTCGGGATGATACAGAGCATCATAACCCCCATCTCTTGCAAAGCTCGCTCAAGTTTTACGACCCATCCGCAGATCATCAAAACCATCTCGGCAAAGGAGATAACTATCAATTGGTCTTTCAATCCATCGGCAAGACTTTCTTTGACGAATGGGATTTCTTTTCAGAGCGTTGAGTGCCAACCCATTTCTTTTTTTGTGTTGGTAATGTTTTAGAATGACTAACTGAAAGACTGTATGTTATTGGGTTGATTTAAAAAAACGAAACAGATGATCCGACACACGGGATGGTAGAATACCAAGCATCCGAGCCCGCATGGACCAAAGGATTAGTGATCCTCCAGCCGAGTTCGATGGACAGTAACTTCACCTCAGCCATCATGAAGGTCGACAATTATACCTACTTAGCCGACGGTCAGAATCGCAATTCCATCCGCTTGACCTCCAAGAAATCCTTCAAATACGGCCTGGTCATCCTCGACGTGATGAAGATGCCCTTCGGGTGCTCGGCTTGGCCTGCTTGTAAGCAAACATCTTCATCACATTATCCTTGTCATCTTGTTATGCCCTTCCTTTCCAGACTCACTTAGATTGATTCTGATTTTTTTTTTTTTGCACATCTACTGTGGACCTTCTTGTTCATGTTTATTAGTTTGGACTGTCGGAGAGAACTGGCCACACGGCGGTGAAATCGACATTGTCGAAGGAGTCAACATGGGCACCGTCAACCAAATGACCCGTAAGCAGTCACCCCTATCATTACATTATTTGAAATCCTAAAACAATCCCTAAATCCGTTTAAAAAAAATCGATTTTGCAGTTCACTCTTCACCCGGTTGTAAAGTTAAAGACAAGATGTCCAAAAGCGCGTCTGGGAAAGTTTTGCATACTGACTGTGACGCGACAGGCTCAGGTGTGTGATTTGAGTGGCGAAAGTTTGGATGAAAAGGGGTGGATGAAGGAGTCCAGATACTGATTGTTCGATGTTTTTCACCAGGTAATGTTGGATGTGGAGTAGCGGACCCTTCGAGCGCCTCCCTAGGCAAAGCCTTCAACGACAACGGCGGCGGCGTGTTTGTGATGGAGTGGACGGAATCCGGGATTACTGTGTGGCGGTTCAATCGGACCGAGATCCCGTCAGATCTTGCCAAGGGAGAGAACCCTCAGCCTTCCAAATGGACCATCCCTCCGGTCTCTCATTGGGACCAGGAGGATTGTAACAGTCTCAGTCAAGGCTTCTCTGAGCACAAAATCGTCTTCGATATCGTACGCACCTTGTAATCTTATTAATATTTACTTTCTTGTGCTCTTCGGCAATTTTTCTGACTATCTTCTTGCCCTTTTGATGTAGACTGTCTGTGGCGATTGGGCCGGTGCAGCTGACGTTTTCAATGTAAACGGCTTGTGCTCAGGAAGTTGCTCCTCCGTCGTCAAAGATCCGTCAGTCTTCAAAGACGCTTATTGGGTAAGTCACCCATGCTATTCATAACCGTGCCTATCATTCCATGAGTGTCAATTTAACTGAGAATTTTCGACATTTCAATTTCGTCATATCCAGGAAGTAGCCTCCGTGAAGCTGTATCAATAAATCCTTAATCGTCGTTGTCAATATATTCAGGGACTTTGTGTTCTTTTTCCATGGAATGTGAACGGTCCTTCAAGTGCTTAATTACTGAAAGCTATCCACCCACAACTATTCACACTACAACCACACAAATTGTTTGTTCATACAATTAATTAATAATAAATAAATGGATCAACCAATAAGGGGAGGTATATGGCCCTCGTGATATTGAATTAACCAATGGGTCGTTGAATTATTTTCAAGAAGACCATCCCAACCAGGAGCTTGAAGCTACAAAGATTAGTAAATTCTTCCCGTATCCAATATACAAGAACATGAGCGTAACGAATTAAGAAGCGAAAAGGAAACTCTAATGAGGAGGAGAAAGAGATCGGCGTCAAAGCGGCCATTATATGGAGGTATGGATCCGATGACTGTACCGATTCATCCCAGCCCGATCTAAGTCTTTATCTCTGGGTCCAGTGACACCTGTATCAAACAAGTCAGATAGACATGAACATCATATAATTTTCCTCCGCAGTATATGTGGAAGCAAGCTAAATTGAGACTTGAAAGCATTCTACTTACCATCACCCCATCGCAAGTTGTGTAATGACATGGTCCTCTTCATGGGTTGAAACATGTTCATGTTGGCCATCCACCCCCCTGCTTTCTGCGGATTGATCGGGGGACTTGAGAATTGATCTCCCCATCTGCAATTCCGAATTTTCAAGTTCACGAAAAGCCAAAAACGCAGGAAGAACAAGTGACAGGGAGGGTCAGCAGGCTTGCATATAAATTAGCACCCTAATTTCGTGATCAAGTAAAAGGGGGAGGGGGGGATAATAATAATCAGAATGACTCAAACTGTCCACGGAACTTCAAACAAGGCACCAGTTTCCCATCCTTATCTTCATCGATCGCACGAAACTTATCTCGCGCAGGAGACGGATAATGCTGGAATGCGGCAAAGTTCAAGGTGGGGTCCCAGAGCGGCCCTCGATCAGTATGGTCCGTCGGACCGACAAACTTGACCGGAGAATAATCGTGGGTCCTGCTCAAGAAAACCATCCTAATCCTCGCATTAGTGTCCTATATCCAACCAAACAGCTCACAAATCCCAGGAATCATGGCCTACCCTGGTTTGGTATACATTGCATCTGTTTAGGGGGACAAAAAAACAAATGATGGTGAGCTGTTGACATATATACATGCCCATTATAATTATAAAAAAAACAGAAGATCAGGCAAAACTGACGTGATCCAAGCGCGGAGAAAATGACGGGCCGTTTGCCGCCTTGGAACTTCTCGAGACAATCGTAGGTGTAAGCGCTTCCGTCGGCATGGGCCGAGAGATGTGCAGCTTTCGGCGTCCCATTCTCGAACCTGATCATGCAATGTTCCCTGGATAATTCGCGTTTTTAAAATTTGGAGTGTGTTAGGACAAAGGTATGAAAGGAAACGCGTGTCGAGATACACCATCGGTTGCTCACCAGTCGGCCTATAGATTCATCCAATCCGTCGGTCCATCGTTTTTTTGGACAAGTTGAGTTAGCTTGAATATAGACGGTCGACTGGTTTTGTATCGCATTTAGAGCTCGGGTAGACGTACGATATGGTTTCCGAAGTGGATGTTAGCCACAGTTGGGCCGAGGTTGAAAGAATAGAAGACTATTACAAGGGATCATTCATGAACGTTCAGCTGGAAAACCCCATTCCATTGATAGAGGAAGAAAGATCAAGGAAAGAAGAAGGGTCACATACAGAACCAAAAGGCGTCCAGGGTACCAGGGACGCCAGTGATGATAGATTTATCGACGAGGATGAGGATGACGGGGGAGACTTGAGATTTGGCATCGGGGCCAGGTTTGCCCTCGAGCGAGACGAGCCAAGGGTGATCGGTTGGGGCGGGCTTGACATCAGTGTTGGCGGTGAGATAGCAGCGTTCGTGGTTGAACTGAGGGAGTGCGAGGATGGAGCAAGGATGATGATGGTCGGCCGGGCGAGTGGCGGGGCCGTCGGGCGCATGGTCATGGAGGATGGTGTGGCGCAGATGCTCCTCCAAGCTTGCCGGCCAGAAGGGCTCGTTCGAGTTCAGATGGACCATCGGCGCATACTCCAGAACATAGGCCGGCACCGAACCCAACGAGTTCCGCACAAACGGATCCGTCCCTCCTTCTCCCGATAGTGTCCTCGATCCTGGCCCCCCTACTCCTCCTCCATTCTCGCCTCGAAACGTGTTGGTGGTCGTGAGGATGGCCGGCTGGCTCGTGACCGGGTTGACGACTCTGGACTCCGGAAGACTGTGTGGGGCGGTCATCGTGCTCTTTCGTCCACTCCGCCTGCTGAGACTTAGCTGTTTGATTTTGTTCATCTCATCTTCTATGTATTGTGATGGTGCTTGGTGTGCTCACACCCTCCTCCGTCCTCATCGACTACACATCTACCCCGCATACATAGACATGCACTGACCCTATGAATATGTAACCCGCTCACCCCGGGTCATGAACATGGCTGGGTCATCTCTTGCGGCCAAAATCATTTGACACATCAAGATCTAAATTTATGTCAATCATCTGCTCTCCAATCTGCGGGCTTTAACTTATCATGAGTCTCTCAAACTTCGCAGTGAATGTGTAACTAACTGTGGTCATGCTTTTTATGATTTATCATAACTGATCTCATAAAAATGCTTTACAAGTTGTTCATGTTATAAATTCCTCAAAAAAGAAAGACAAAAAAAGTGCTCAAAGCGATAGATCAAGGATAGAAAAAAAAATACCCAAGGAGCTCTTGGTCACGATGTATGGATGGAGCATGTATAATCATCCCAAGTTGAACTCGTCGATCGAGTTGAAGATAGGCCCTCTCAAAGTGTTACCATTCTTGACATGTTTGAACTGACTGAGTGCCTTGAAAGAAGTGAGAGGAGGGTGCTGATCATCATCCTCGTCATCTTCCTCCTCAGACCCACTACTATCACGCGCATCCTTCCCATTCCGTTTCTTATTGGCCGAGCTAATTTTCGGATTTGTAGCGGGGGGTTGTCGAGGATTGATGGCTTTGGCGGACTTGGAGGAAGTCTTCTGTTGCGGATATAAACTCGTGATCTTCTTCGGCGGCTCTCGTAAGCCAAACGCTTTGGCCATATGTCCTAGATGCAAGTTCTTCACGTGGAAGAATCGCTTCTCTTGCGACGGATGGGTCGCATAGGCTCGGATATGCGAGCTGAAAGCCATCGATGCTAAATTCAAATTCTATGTTTTGGGGGTGAAAAAAAAAATGCAGATTAGTGACTTTCTTGAATTACTGGTAGACTGCTTATAAGATAGAATTTTGGTTGTTTATTTGGCAAGGGGGGGATGCAGAATAACAGAGGTGATGGCTGTACCTCTTCTTTTCCAACGACCCATCGTTCGATCATCATCTGAGTATCCGTAGCACGAACTTCCCACGCCTTTGGAGATTTATTATGGCCACCAAAGCCGTCATCCAAGAGCGTCTCGACGCCGATTTCCTTCAACTTAGGGCCACCAACGGACTCGTTCTGATTCGACTCGCACCAATCCACCCAACCGGACTCACTGGGAAGCAGGAAGCTCCACGCCTCTCCAGCTTGGCCGGCTCGGGCAGTCCGTCCGACCCGATGGAGATACTCGGTCACCCCTCCTTCAGTCGGTAAATCGTATTGGATCACATGCGAAACAAAGGGGACATCCAGCCCTCTTCCGGCTAATGATGTACAGAGTAAGATCGACGATCCTTGCGATTTGGTATCCGAAGTCGAGAATGCATTGAGGGATGCCAGTCGGGTCTGAAGATCCAAGTTGCCATGAAGTTTGAATATCTTAACGCCGGGTAGGAATTTGGACTGCTTGACCAGCTTGTTGGGTTCGGCTTCTTCATTCTCAGGATCGGTTGACGTCGTTTTTGTCGACTCTGCTGTCGATGCACATCCGAGGGCCTCGAAGTGAAAGTCAACAGAGGTCGTACAGCTCATGAAGACCAGCACTTTTTCTGCTGGTTTCTTCTGCTTGGAATCGGTAATACGACGCAGCAGAGCGATGAGTGATACTAATCTCAACTTCGGTGGGGTGAGGACATAATACTGAGAGAGTTGAGTGGGAGCGGAGAATGTGGTATTTTCTGATTTGGCAACTGCATCTTTCGAGCCATCTTCAGCCTGATCTTCTTCGGGGTTGGGTCCTGTTGCCCTCAGAAGGATCGGATCATTCAAGCTCAACCCGACCAATTTCTTCACACCGTCGGGCATGGTCGCACTACATAGAATCGTCCGTCTGGCATTTGATGATGATGATGATGATGATAATGGTACTTTGTTGGGGTTGTTGGTTTTCGCTTCTCTGTCAGTCAGATGTTTGAGGATCCCTCGCATCTGTTCTTCGAAGCCCATGTCCATCAGTCGATCGGCCTCATCGACTACAAGCCAGCGAAGATTGAGGTGACCGATACTTCGTGGATCGACCTTCGCCTTGGCGTTTGGATCGTTGCTTGGTGGGATGGGTTCTCCTGCCATCCGAAGGGAAACAGTTTTTTCAAGGTGATCGAGCAGTCTACCAGGCGTACACACTAGCAGAGGTAATCCACGTCTCAGTCTGGCTTTTTCATGAGTTCTGTTGGTTCCCTAAGGCACGGGATTCAAATTTCATGGTAGAAGAGCAAAGTAAATAAATGATAAACGTGTAATTTAGAGTTGAAGAGATCGTTAAAGGGAAACTGACACCATGTAGAGTTCCAGGGACCAACCAACGAGGATTCAGGCCGTCAGCAGCAGTTTCACGTTCGACCGATTTCTCATCTTGAGGCGGTGTCTCTTCACCCTCGACCTCTTTCGAACTTGTCCCAGACCTCTGTGCAAATGATAGTAGATCGATTGCGACGTGGTAGACTTGCTCGGCTAGTTCTCTCGTAGGTACCAAGATTATGGCCAGTGTTCCGATTTCTCGGCTCCAACTGATTTCCGGGTGATTCTTCGTCAACGTCAACAGATCTTGGATGATCGGTACTAGATAGGCAAGCGTCTTTCCACTACCAGTCTCACTCTGGACGATCACATCTCTTGTGCTTGTATTCGACTGGGCACAGAGCAGGGGCCAAGCAATCGACTGGATAGCTGTGGGTGATTTGACTGGGCCGACCTTGGAGTTCGTCGACAGATGCTTGCTGATTTGAGGGTGCAGTTTCAGGGAGGTAGAGGTGACTTGGATTTCTGAGAGGGAGGCATTCGAGGGTGCATAGACCACCATGGAAGATTGTTCGTCATTTGAGATGGGTTTGATGGTAGGTATGATTGTAGATGAAAAAAGAGACGAGATGATCTGTAGCCTCCCAGCAGGTTTCGATACGTTGTCTAGCCTTTTATTTTTTTTTATCAATCAAATCATGGGCAGTATTATTATTAGTAATCAGTTATATGATGGATGTAATTTTTTTCGGCCTACTTTGGTTTCTTGCGTGATTCAGGTAGGGTTTCAGTGCCCTGATCTTCATCTTGGTTTCGCTTCGAGTTTTGGGGTTGTGATTGAGTTGATGAAGTGGTAGTGGTAGCAGTCGTCTTAGGTTGGGCATTCAATCTGTCGAGGTGTTTTGCTCTGCGCTTCTGTTTGTGTTTGTGTGTCCAGCTGCCTGGGGTGGTGTGGATGTGTCTAGCTTTTGGTTGTGCTGGTGCTGGTTCTGTTTCGAAGTTGAGGATGAGGTCTGCCATGGTTAATTGCTGATGATGATGTTTGATGATGTTGTTGGGTGTGATACAAAGTTTGCGAAGGAGATGTATGCGTAAGGAAGATGCATATTGCATATTTTGGGATGATATTGCATATATTCAATATGCCTGCCCCCTTCATGTATTCCTTGTTTTTTTTGGATTTGTCAATAGTAGGGAGTCGACTCCACCCTCAACAAGCCTACCGATCAACAAAAGCATCAAGAACTCACAAACATGAGCAGGAAGAAGAACCGAGGAAACAAATCAGCACAGCCAGCAAGCTCAACTTCAAACATACAAAATCCGCCGAAAATCAAAACCAAGTTAAACACCAATCAGCCAAAGAAAACACGACCGTCCAAACAGAAGCCAGAACCCGTTCAACAATTCAGCCCAGAAGATGACAAATGGCTAGCTAACTACTGGATCTCAGAACCCGGAAACCGAAAATTGAATCCCAAGCAAAAGCCCTCTTTGTCCAACTATGCTCGTCTCATTGCCGATTTCAAGAATGCTGGGATGAGTGTGGAGAAGAATAAGTTAAAAAATCGATTCGGCCGTATCTGTCAGGAAACTTCCGAATTCTCGGCAGTCTTCAACAAGATGAAGAAGATCTCGATCAGCTTAGGAAAAGACACGCCGGACGCCGATTTGGTTGAAGTGGCCAAGGAGGACTTCTACTATCAAACCGGGAAAACCTTCGAATTCGAGTCGGCCTGGAACGTGCTCCGGAATCATCCCAGATGGATGATGCAAGGCATAGAAAAATCCGAAAATCATTCAAAACCTTCTTCATCCTCGGCGGCGGCTAAAAACCAGAAATCGGCGAGTGCATCCACTCTAGCGCGCCAACGAGATGTCACTTTTTTGCCCGCTTTACAGGCTCCCACCTCATCTAAACCACCTCCAAACGCGACCCAGTCAAACGCTCCTTCAGCACAACCCACCCATCTCAAGCTTACTAGTCCAGAGCGCACCGAACGATCGTCTACGACAAACCAGTCAAAGGGTACCTCAAATGCCCCAGAAACAAACAAGCAACTGATCGAACCCAGGTTCAAACCAATGACCGATCCCAGGCCCAAGCAACCGACTGACCCCACGCTCAGACAGCCGACTGACCCCAGGCTCAAACAACCAAAAATCGAACCCAGGTTCAAACAACCAACAATCGAACCCAGGTTCCAACAACCATCCAATCGGAAGCGTGTATTCGATCAAATAGACGGAGACACAAACCATTCGAATGAGACTGAATCAAAAACACGTGAGAAAATCGACCATCCCAGCGAGACTAAACCAAAAACCAGTGAGAAATCCCAGGCAAGTGAGAGAACGACGACGACAATAACAACAACAGAACTGGATCGGAAAGATCGACCGGGATCGACGGTGTTGGTGAACGAGACTGAAATGGAAAGCCAGAAGATCTCTCGCTTGCAACTCGAGGTCCGACGAATGGAAGCCGAGACAGAGTACGAACGGATGCAGGTGGATATCATGGAGAAGGATGTGTCGACATGTACGGACGAATACGAGAAAGAATTCTTCCTGTTCAAGAAACGCAAGATTATCTCGAGCCTCAAAGCGCGTGAATCCGAGGCCTCCTCTCTTTCGTCTACCCTCGAATCCTCTCTCGATCCTTCCAGTACACCTAAATCTTTTATTCAGATCCTCAAAAGCTCGTTCTCCACTGGTATTCTATGATCTCATTCAGTTTTTTTAGCAGTACCTTAATCAACATTTTTTCTAACAATTTCAAGTCTTTGTTTTATCTTTCCAAACCAATCCTTCGGTTTGTTTTTTGTAGTTTTCATCTCCGTTGATCTCTGTTTTTAATCATGTGCTCAAAACCGCCTCACTTTTTCTAACTGTGGTTTTCCTTCAATCGATTACAACCAAGCATTATTGTTCCATTGTATTTAAATAAATAATTACCCATCCATGACAGAGCCATGGATTGGATCCCTGGCTCTATGTTGTTCGAAGTTGTGGACAATGTCAATGTCAATCAAAATGTTTCCAACACATGAGTTTTCAAGTGAGAACAAGAACTTGCATACTGCATATCCCGAGCTCTATGCATTTCTCTTGAATACAAAAATACTGCCAATCGAACCAGCACTTCCAAAACCTGATCACATCCATCCGTCCAAATTATCAAAGAAAGAAGCGAAATGAATACAGACACGCAGAAAGAAGAGAACCCGGCGATAACGAAGGAAACTAGCCTAGAAGAGACGCTATCTCAAAACACGCCAGCGGAACAACCGGAAGAAGAAAATGAATTTGAAGAAAGCAATACCAAGAAGAAAGGATTTCATTTATTTACGCCTGATGAGGACAAACTGCTGGCCGAGTACTGGCGGCGTTGCCCCGACAACCTGACCACCGAGGGAAAGCCGCATTTCTTCAGGTGTCAAGATCTCAGCCTGCCAGAGATCTACGAACGAGTCGTGCAAGTTCGAACAAGGACGATGAAGAAGAGGTTTGACTTCTTCCAACGTCATACCTTACACTTCTCGGCGATCTATAACAAGCTCAAACAATCCTCACCCAATCTAGCTGGCGGGGAAAATCCTTCAGATGGCGCGTTGGTGGAGATTGCTAAAGAGAAGTATTGTCGACAAACTGGCAGACAGTTTGGGTTCGAGCCGGCTTGGTATGTGTTACGTGACCATCCCAAGTGGATGATGCAGGGGATGGACTCGACACTACCAGTCTCATCAGCAGAAGAACCATCGCCAGCAGATCATCTTTCAAGTACCCTGGCGCAAACCCCTCGTCCCGCCGAAAGCATCTTGGCTGCCACTTCGGAGGATTCGTTCCAAGCCGAAAAACCGGCCCCTTCAGTATCACCAACCATCACTAGTTCTTGTACTCCGGGGCCCACTGCACAATCACACCTATCTGGCCTTAAATGCTTCTTGAATCGACGTGTTCCTAATCCATCCGTTCCAGATTCTTTGCAAGCCAAAAACCTGGCCCCTTTGCCAACCATCACTTCTTGTACCCCGGGACCCACTTCAAATCAATCCGCCGGCTCAGTTATTCCTAATCCATCCGGACCACCTTATTACACAGAAAGTCTAGGGACCACCTCAAGTCTTTCCAATCCAATTAACCAACAAACAGACATCAACCCTTCGCACACACGAGAGAGTTCTGTAGAAATTAACTCTACCCCTCTTTCCAAAAAGCCTCGAATTCGTCGCTCCAGCCCCCCTCAAACAACATCGGTTGTTTCCGAACCCCTGCCAAGATCAGACCCTCAATCTCGTCCCTCCCGTCCACTTATAGAGTGGCAATGCGTTCCGGGTTGTCCTCCTGCAATTCCAACGGATGGCTTCGGGGAGAATTAGTCAGTCATTCCTTCAACCTGTTCCAAACCTGAAAATCAACTGATGGATCTCAGCTCTTCTAGCTCAAAAGACGCTTCCAGTCAAACCCTACCAGTATTTCCAACACCATCTCCCGCGCCATTATCTGAACCATCTTGCACCGCGGACCAGTCGCACACGATCTCCACTGTCTCCAAAGAAGCAGATCAATCTACCAATATCAAAACTTCTGGCCAGAAGCGCACGTTTGACGGCCTAGAGAAAGATGCAAGCTCGTCGAATGCAGTACAATTAGAACTAAACACTAATGTTACCACATGTCCGGACAAAGATAATAACACACTTGGATCGATAGTCTTGAACAATGCCTCATTGGATGGCCACTATGATCTCTTGCGTTTGCAACTAGAGGTTCGACGCTTGGAAGCAGAAAATGAATCGGATCGGATGCAGGTTACGATCATGGAGAAGGACGTCTCGGCTTGTACTGACGAATTCGAGAAAGAATTCTTCCTGGTCAAGAAACAGAAAATCCTTGCTAATTTGAAAGCAGAGTAATCCATGTTGGATCCCTGTCTATGAGTCACTTTCTTGTAAAAGATTGAAACTAATCTCTCGCTTGTATCCATCCACGTCCATCTTACAAGCAAAATTGATTACCTTGCTCAAATTTCCAACTGAGCATGCACAAACGTTTATCATTGCTCAGTAACTTGATCATTTCTTTTTTTTCGCAAGTTTTCTTATATTTTTTTTTTTTTGGATTCTTGCTCTACAGCCCATGTTTGCCTCCTGCTAAATAAGCTTGGTGTGAGTATGCTGGATCGGCATAAATAAATATCCAGCTTGACTGATATTTGTGGAGGTTTCTTTGGAGAAGGGGTTTTACCTTCAACTGGTCTAATATGCAATATGCCATATGCAATATGCCTCCCACCCGGATCGGCAGCCGCCCATCCATAGCGGCGGTCCGGAATTTCTGTTGGGGTTAAGGTTGAGGGAGGACTACTCCGCTTGGCGAATGTAAACTTTTGGTTTAGAACGATTCGAGGATGGCGAACGCAAAAGTGAAGGAAGAAGACAACCAGAACAAAGAAGAGCAGAAACCCGATATATCACCGTCAAGAAAAACACCACCAAAAAGGAAAACCCAGCGAGCAAAACGAGCACCACCAGCAGCAGCAGCGAAGAGACTGCCAGGAAGAAGAAGGCCAGAAACTCCGGAGCCTGAAGGTTTTACTCCGGATGAAGATGAACAAATTGCAGCACCACCGGTGGAGAAATCGTCCGCAAGAACAAGGCCCGATACACCGGGCCCGGATGAAAATAAAAAACTAGCACCACCACCAGCAGCGAAGAAACCGCCAGGAAGAAGGCCAGAAACGCCGGAGCCTGAAGGTTTCACACCAGATGACGACAAGCAACTTGCACTCTGTTGGCTCTGGGTACATGAACCTGAGACGATGGGAAACCTTGCAAGCAAAAATGGACGAAGTTGGTCTCAAGTTGTACACCAATTCAATAAGGTCAAAAATCGTCCGGCCGTCGAAGCGAAACATATCAGGAGAAGATGTTGCCGTTTGCGGATGGAAACCCTCGACTTTTCGGCGATCTACAATGACTGGAAACGAGAATCGATCAGTACTGGACAAAACACTCCTGACGTCGAGCTGGTGGAAATCGCTAAAAAGGATTACTATCGACAAGTCGGTAAACCATTCGAGTTCGAGTCGGCGTGGTATGTCCTTCGCGATAATCCAAGGTGGCTCACCTGGGGGACCACTCAAAAGATTCAATTGCTGGAAGCCCGCGCGAACATCTCATCAAATCATCCCACTGCGAATCAATTCAAACTCGAAAATCAACCAATCGTAATATCCACTCCATCTCGATTTTCTGCTTTCCCAGCTGCCCGAATCGAACCTTCCGCCGCCTCTTCGACCGTCTCAAAAGCGGAGTTCCTGGCCACCAATTCTCGACCGCTTAGTCCTCCAACACACAGGTCTCCTCAATCAATCTCCTCATCTCCTATGCGAAACCAGTCCAATACCACTGCAACTGTCTCGAAACCCAAACCTCAGTCGCCCAACGCCCGCAAGCGGACTATCGATAACCTAGACACAACAAAAACAACGACAATCAGCTCGAAAGAAACAGAAATCGATGCAAATGAAAGGAAACAGAGCGAAGTGAACAAAGAGAATGGGGCGATATCAATCGCTTGTAATCCGGCTCCAGTCGAAGAGAATCTCACGCGATTGCAACTCGAGGTCCGACGATTGGAAGCTGAGACCGAGTACGAACGGATGCTACTGGACATCATGGAGAAGGATCTGACTAGTTGTACCGACGAATATGAGAAAAAATTCTTCATCTTCAAGAAACGGAGGATCCTCGCTAATTTGGAATCTGCTTGATGATCGGTCTTATTTAATCTTCGTTCATCAATCTTCCATATCTATCCTGTGATTCTTGGGGAAAAAATGGTTCCCTTTCATTCACAAGCACTGGCATATGGACTCATCTAATTATGTTTGTCAGGTACATTCCTCCCTAAAAGAAACTTCTTGTCTTTGATTTCCCTTTTCACCCTACATTGTATTTTTTGCATAGTTTGTCAGGCGTGTGTTTTTCTGTGAATGTAATCAAAGAAAAAGAAGAAAACAAAACAAAACAAGAAAGTCAGCAATGTGATAAATATTCTCAGACTCCTATAGAATTGAGCAGCAAGAAATCTCACCATTATCAAGGAAATGTGCTCAAAATATCTTGACACATAATTTGGTCTTCTATTTCATCCCCTGTCATTCTTTTTTTCATCAAGGAGGGTTTTTTTCTTTGGAAGCTTGGAGTATATGTAGGATGTAAGCATTCATGGCTGGTTTCACTGAAGGAAAAAACTCAAGCAAATGGCAGCAACATGGCAAGAGCTCATCCCATACTCTGGATCTCCAAACATGATCAGTCAAAACAATTTTCTCATGATTGAACTTGAAATAAAACAAGCACAGAAATTTCTGCAACAATAGGTTAATGGATTATGACTTATAAGTGTTTTTTTAGATATGCAGGGTACTGGTCTTCAGTGTTCACAACTGTTGAAATGTTATGAGATTTTCAAAAGATTTGTGATTAGGATTTTTTGTTTTTTTTATATGTTTGAGTTGTTTGTGGTTTCCCTGACTTTCTGGACAACCCAAGATATCAATCAATTTCTTTGATCAGAAATCCCTGGAAACATGGTTCTCAAGTTCCATGGCGCACCCCCCATGACTGTGCAGATCAGCTCGGACATCTTGTTGAATTTGTACTCACACTTGCATACAAGACTATATTATCAGATGTTTTCCTCAATTTCAATCTTGATCAATCACTTCTCATACATTACCCAGTTCCACTCCAAAGCTTTTTGAGGTAAACACACACCGTTAATAGTTATGTATATCTGCTTGGATCTGCTTCTCCCTTTCTTCACGTTTTCAGATAATTATTGTTTTTAAATTCTCGATTTTCTGGATACAATCACATGTGGAGGACAAGTTGACTCTAGACTACATTAGAAGTGTGAGTTGATGTACTTCTATACTAACTGAAGCGCGACGTAAGGATATCCATTCTTCTTTTGTTGTATACAAAATCAAATTCAAGGAAAACTTGTCGGCAGGAATTTTGGAAAATATTGACCATAAGAAGGACTAAGACCGAGTGGGTGTTGGGGAATATGTGTGTGAAGGGCCAAGAATCTTGGCAGAGTCGTAGTGGGAGTCGAAGAGTTGAAGTGTCCAAGGGGGATAGGGGGATGGGTTTTTCGGCAGTCGGGTGGGAGCCGCAGTAATGAAGATGACTTTCACTTCTTGTGGGACACATTCGGAAACCAACCGACTTACACACAACAGACAAGCAAGTGCCGAGTCATCCTTAAACTTCCTGGAGATATGAACCTGCGATTCGCTCTGCTCGCCTTGGGCTTGTTCCGATGTGGGGCAGCCCTCTCTGAGCGTCGAGACGCACAAAGTCAGTCGGTCGTCAGTTGGGATCGTCATTCGATCTTGCTCAGAGGGGAACGAATATTTATCCAATCTGGTGAGTTCATACTGAGAATAATCACCTTGCCAGTCTGTCATCCCTTGATTCTGAAAGCAATCGGAAAACGCTTCTTCATGCTGAAGCTCTGTGATGCTTGTCTTTCCCAGGTGAATTTCATACTTGGAGGCTGCCAGTCGTGTCTCAGTGGACCGATATTCTTCAGAAGTTTACTGCTGCGGGACTCAATACAGTATCAATCTATGGCAAGTCGATCTTCAAGTTCATCATCTTTGATTGTAATTAGGGTGATTGGACTTGTGCTTGTTGCTAATTTGAATGTTCGTTCTATTTTCTTAGTACATTGGTGAGTACAATTGCTCGACCTTGCAAAGTTGCAAACGGTAAAATGGGGAAAGTGCTCAGGTGCTGATGGTAGGAATCTATCAGGGGACTGGTCAATCCAATCAATGGGACCACCGATTGGAGTGGATTCAAGTCTCTTCAACCTCTTTTTGACGCTGCTCGAAGTGCTGGCCTCTTCGTCATCGTCCGTCCAGGGCCGTACATTAATGGTAAGTATGGCACACTCCAAGTCCGGCCGAGTGCTTTTACCGACACTAATATATTGTTGATGTTTTTATCCCAGCCGAAACAACTGGTCTGTTTGAATCCATATATTGATTTACGAAGATGCTCGAAATTGATCATTGATGGTGAGATGGCCGTGTAGCTGGTGGGATACCTGGATGGGTCACCACGCTTTCGTGTCCCCTTCGCACGAACGCGACCGAGTTCGATAGATCCTGGAGGCAATATTGGGACGAAATGATCGACCATATCGTGTTGAATCAGATCGGCTTGCCAAATGGTACCATCATCGGTGTCCAGGTTGAAAACGAGTTCGTCAATCCCCTTTACGTGTCGACCCGACAACGATCACATTCAAACTGATCAGGAAATACTACATAGATATTTGACCGACGCGCACTCATCCCAGGGCCAGCCTGCCGGAAAGGACCAGTATATGCAGGATTTGGCTGATGCTTTAGCAGACAAGGGAATCGTGCGTCCCCCGGGTTTTAGATCAAAATGGGTTTGGTATCACTGACTCAAAAACTTTATTTATTGAATAGGTAGTTCCCCTAACTGTGAATGATGCGGGCATGGACAGGAACTACGCCACTGGCAGGGGATCTGTGGACATATGTCAGACGATTCAGCAAGCTAAAACCCGTGGGGTTTCGTGTTTTCTGATGCGATTTATATTGATTGATAGATGGCTTCGATTCTTATCCTCAATCATTCGATTGCTCCGAGCCTACCCGTTGGAAACCTGTCGTCGAGGCCTATAGGGAATACCAAGATTCGTTGCACCTGGAATCACCCCTCTTTATACCTGAGTGTGCTTTCTCTTTCTGGCTTATTGCAGTCTTTTCTTATCTGAATCTCACACCGGTCTTTCCAGGTTTCAAGCCGGGGCGTTTGATTCGTGGGGTGCAACAGGTTATGAAAATTGTTGAAAGTTGACGGGCCCGGAGTTTGAGTCGGTATTCTACTTAAATAACTTGGCAGCCAATATTAAAATGATAAATTACTACGTAAGAAATTGAATTTTAGATTTCTGACCATTTGTTTACCTGTTAAGATCCTTACCATCATCGTCATCCATGGACACAGATGCTTTATGGTGGAACTAACTGGGGACAGTTGGCTTTCCCAGGCACCTATACGAGCTGTTTGTCATTTAAATTTATAACATTCATTGTACTTCTTGATACTAACTCTCATGAGTCACATGGATTCAGATGATTACGGCTCAGCGATATCCGAAGACAGGACGCTGAACGAGAAATATACGGAGTTAAAACGCCAAAGTCTCTTCCTCAGATCTTCCAAGGAATTTTATGAGACCGAAGTCGTCGGCGATAGCAAGCGGGACCCAAATTACTTTGATGGCGAAAGTGGCAATCACGCATTTGTGACTGAGCTCAGGAATCCGACCTCTGGAGCAGGATTTTACATAGTCAGGGCGCTAAACTCCACTTCAATGTGAGTTGTCCCCGTCATTTTAGTACATATTCCAAGAGTTAATGTGTGGGTATTGTGGGCTGAAAACGATTCCTGTTCATCCAGCAAAGCGACGAAGTTCAGGTTGAATGTTCTCACTTCCGTTGGACTGAAGCAACTTCCTGAGATTACTCTATCGCCTCGGCAGTCGAGGATACTAGTCACCGACTATCAGATCTCTTCTGGAAGCGAGAACCTCGATGGCCCACGCCCAATCAAACTCCTTTACACTACATCGAGTGTTTTGCTATCGGCGCGCATAGGAGGACATGACGTCCTTTACTTGTTTTCGAACGGTGATGAACAAGCATCACAGGACATAGAACATGCAGAGACCAGTTTGCTCAAGATTGCCAACCTAGAGTCAGGCTACTGGACACGAAGCTTCCCTGAAGCTGGCCAGGCATCGAGCTTCCAAATTTCTTCACAGGACAACACGGATGGTTACAGGAAGATCAACTGGCGCATTCGCGATGGAGACGCCATATTTGCGTTGGGTGCTCAAGATTCACTCGTCCTGATGACAAGCAAACGGATGGCTGGCGAAGTTTGGAATCCAATTCTGGTTCAAGCCGACTCCTTCAGTCCACCCACGAGTGTTCTGATCTGGGGACCTTGGCTGGTTCGAAATGCGTCAATTAGCATGACCGAAAACTCCAAGAAAAGCGTCTTGCGGATCTGGGGAGACCTTGAAGAAGGTTTGAGGAAAGAGGTCATCATATATATTGGCGGGTTGGCCATTGGAGCAGTGGAATGGAATGGGAAGAAAATTCACAATATTTCCAGAGCTCCCCAATCTGATTTCTTGAGCTTTGTGTACTACCCCAACTCGTTTAAAAGCTCTATGGACAATAAACTTAATAATCAACTTACTCAAGTGGGCAGTCGAATTGATCTCCAAACCCTCCACTGGAGCTATCGGGATAGTCTTCCTGAGATTGAGAGTACCTTTTCGGATGAAAAATGGACCGAAGCTACGATCGAGGACAGCAACAATCACTATAAAAAGCTCTATGGAAAAGTTAGTCCAGTCCGCAGTGTATTCTCCGAGTCATTTTCATCATTCCCAGCAGACGTGTTGATGCTAAGAGCCATGAATCTGAATATAACAGTATTACCTTTATGCCTGTGATTATGGATTGTAAGTTTGTTGATTTGCTTATAGCCACTAGTCACGTCATCATAAAGTTTTAATCTGCTCCTATACGAAAACCCCATCGGTCCGGTGCTTCTTGCGCACAAAAAAGCTGCAATGGCGCCACAATTTGGCGGGGTCATTTTCTTCACAAGTGCCAATCATTCTTTCAAGACCAGCATCAAGTCCGGTTGGATGTCCAGAAGGAGTCTCCGATGTTGGGAATCAATTTGACCGTCGCCGGGGGTGATTTTTTTGCTGCCTCCGTTTGGTTGAACGATGTCTTTCTCGGAAGTCTTCCAAATTCCACTTCCAAATCTGATCCAAAGGTATGACATTCCTCAGACGTTGAACGGGATTATTAGCAAGCTAATCTTTGTTTCACTCTCTGTGTAGTCTTACTCTAAAACCCTCATGAACACCTTTCATTTTCCTCCAGGCTCGTTGAAAAAATGTAGAGCTAACATCATCACAGTCGTTCAAGATTCTATGGGGATGGATCAAACCGAGGATGGTGAGTAAATCTTACTTTTCTCTTCTTTCTTGGAAGTTGGAAGATGTTGTTCGCTTGTGTGACTTTGAATTGTCCCCAGGTTTTTCGGATACAGTCAAGCATCCCAGAGGGATTTTGGGCTATAAATTTGAAGGACGAGGGGTCGAGGACAGCCTAGGGGAGATTTCTTGGAAAGTACAGGGACAGCTGGGTGGATTTTACAAGTAAGTTGTTCACCTTTCAAAGGCACTTCGCTTGGTCTTCTTGTTGATGAAAATGGTTTGGACATCTTTAGGCTCCCGGATGCGGATAGGGGGATTTACAATGAAAATGGTTTCTACAGTATTGTAAGTGCTCCACGCCAACATGCCAACAAGTGGGCTGAAGTGTGATGATCTGAAAAGGCTTGTGTGGTGATTTCCTATCATGATAGCGATCAGGATGGCATTTACCAGGCTACGATGGGCAAGACAGTTCCAAATGGAGAGCTCTCTCGCCTATAAGTCATGGTCTGAAGACCGCTGGGATTGGGTTTTATCGTACCATTGTCAAGCTAGACCTGGAGCCAGGATACGATGTGATCCTCAGTTTTCACTTTCGGCAACCACAAGCCAACCAAGGCCGCTATCGAGTCGAGTTTTGGGTCAACGGGTGGCACATGGGCAAATTTGTCTCTCATCTGGGTCCACAGACGAGGTTCCCTGTTCATCAAGGTATCTTGAACTATCAAGCTGACAAGTTAAGCCACAACATTCACTGTTCATATTCCCCTTCTTCCTGATCCATTCATTTCCACTCTTCCCTTGTCATTCTTTTTATATCATCTTTGATTGTTAAGGAAGGTCCATGACGAGCTGACCACAATAACGATCATACTTCTCCAGTTATTTCACACTTACCTTATGGGCACTCGATGAGGATGGAGCGAAGATCTCTGGCTTGGAATTGGTAGTTGACAAGATCCTTGAAGGTGGAATTGGGCCCATTGAGAACCATCACCCACCGTACAACCACTCTATGCGTAATCCTCTTGATTATTAGGATTTTACACCAAGATTCAAGAATTTTTCATGGTTGATTTGTTCAGCATCAGTGGCAAAGGATACCGAGATCGCTCGCAAGAAATCGTTTTGTTTGTACAAATTAATCAGTTGCAAATTGTTAAACATAGCGTAAATGATTATATTTGTTAACTGTAATTGTAGAAATGATGTACACAAAAAATAAAGAGAAAAAAAAAACTTTCCAACCAAATGATCTGATGAAGCTTGTGGTTGTTCTCTCAGGTGCAAGTGGCCAACAAGCAATCATTGCGCTAGGAACAAGTGAGGCATACAGGGAACAAATTCAAGAAAGCCTGAAAGTAACAACATGCATGTCTTCGTTGATCAATTTGTTTCCTTTGGTATTCGAGCCAAGCTCAAGGGTTGGTCGGCATAAACCGTCAAGACGTAGCCCTCTCCCTTTGTGACACAAGTGTCGCCCAAGGCCTCGACTAAGATTGTATAATCATCTGTAAAAGGATAGTGAATTTTGATTCAGTTCATCTAGTCCCAGTGAGTTGGAAGAAAGATCAGGTCTGGGGACTGACAATTGTTGGAGAATGATAGCTGGAGGGGTCCGATCGCCGCTCCGCTAAGCGCGTTGGTAAAGATCCCAGGACTGATTACTTTCCCTTCGTCTTGGCTGGATTGATGCTGGATCAAAGTCAGCTTGATGGAATATCCGCCCGGCTGATGTGCAGCTTGAAGCTTAATCCTAATCATCCCCATGGTGAATAAATCAACTTCCGTCTACAAACTAATGGCAAGAAAAGAAAGCAGATTTACTTGGATTTCACCAAGCCCTTGCCGCCAGTAAGTCGCCAGAAGCCGGCCCCTCCTCTCTCCTCCTCCCAACTCAAACACCCTACACGCTTGTACATTCCAGCTCCTTCTGGAGGAATAGACTCCACTCTAGTTAAAGGTAAGTCGCATTCTAATTGAAGTTTGAATAAACCAATCACTCCAGCTTGGTAAGTTGATGGCACAATAGTGTACTTTCCCGCTATCAGCATAGAACGATACACGAATCATCAACAAATTTTATCTCTTTCATTGGATTTATTGGGCATTTGAAACAACCTTTGTGACTTACGTAAGAGTTGATTGACTCGTAGCTGTGCTCGACCTAGAGTATAGCTTCCAGAGTCTGCAACCACATCGCGTCGCTCGACACTGTTTGAATAAAAAGGAGAATCGGATAATTATTATCCGTGTTATCCCATCCTTCAGACTGTTTAAAAGAGCACCAAGGCCCCCTAAGTTTGAACCGTTGGGCTTACTCATAAACCCGACCATCGCCACCAGATCGAATAAGTTTGACGTTCAGAGGTTTCCTGGTGTCTAGACCCCCATTGGCATCAATTGTGGTCAAGCTTGCCCTGAACTTGACGTTTCCCGACTCGTTACGCACCGAGCCGCGTCTCTCATCTTCGATGTTAATCCTCCACATTGGGTTGCTCGCATACGTCGCGAGTGCGTGATTGCCGCCCGAGCTCTTGGACGTCCACTGTCCCTCTAGTTCCTTGGAAAAGGGCAATGGGACCGGAGTCGAGTCGAATAGAGTCATTGACACTTGGGAAAAGATCTGCAACGTCAGAGCTATAGGTTTGGATGTCACATTTGAATCTTCGGATTGAGTTTGTGTTTCCCAATCGTCATGAAATGAAAAGTTGATTAGATAGGTCGCTTGTCTGTCTTTCAACGGAAACCTAGCTAGAAGATGCGTAGAATTCGAAAGGGGGGTCTGGGATAAATTGATGTTAGCTCGTCACGAAGCTTGATTATGCTGTTTTGCCAGTAGAAAGATTTGTATTTACCGCCGTCAATGGGGGGAGACCATGATCCAATGAATCATAGGTTTGCTGAGCCAGAGATGAATTTTCCTGCTCATCTAAAAAGACTTGTAAGGACATAAATCTCTTGTTATCTGTTACTTGGCTGTCGAAATGGCGCGTGAGCAGGATCCAAACTTCAGGATCTGGGTCGAGGGCTGGTCCATGATCAAACTTTAATTGGAAAGCTGGAAGTGGGTGGTGGAAGCTGGAATTGATTGAGTAGAGCAAATTATCAACATAAGCCGCCTCATAAGGCTGATAAACCGTTTCTCAGAAATATCAACTCAGACAAATGGACCAAACGTTGAAATTTGAATGGGGTAGGGTTCCAGTTAAGATACACTGTCTCGAAGTACATCTGCAGTGATTCCCAAGATATAGTAAACGTTCCCACTAGTTCAGGTCGCCGAGTGGGTGGTATTTTAGGCAAGGCGTTTTCTAACTGAGTCGTCCACTGGGTCGGAGGTGCTGCTTGTGGTTCAGCAACGTTCCAGGCATTGTACAAAGTGACCAATCGTTTTCCCTTGCTATCCTCTTGGATGTCTACATGAAGATCGCGCTCATTAGGTATGATGAACCGGAAGCCAACTCGATGAGATAGGTGAAAACCTTACCAATGACTGCATAATCGTGAAACGGTACTAATCCCACAGCCTCCAACGCATCCAGGTTATTCGCGTTGGTGCCTACACTGACCAAGCACTGACCTTGTTATAAGCAGAAAAAAAGTACAGCTTACTTAGCTCCAGCCAAAATGAAAAAAAAAGTAATCTGGGGAAGTTCACCCTGGGAAAATCCAGAGTATACACGATTCCAAGAACGTTCACTTCGGTAGTCTTGACTAAAAACGCAACATAATTAGTACCAAAAATGAAGCATCTGACACAAGATGAGATGGGAAATTGCAAGAAAATCCCTTTCTACCAACCTTGTCAGTAGGATCGTCTCTGGTATCCAACCCGTCAATGCGCTGGATGACAGGATATGTTCATGTTTGAATTAGTACGACGACCTCAGCCATCGACCTTCGACTTAGTGGTAGGGGCTTACTGTAAGTCAACACTCGAGTTTCTGGAGCATACCATAGGATTAGGTGAACTAGGATATAAGAGAGCCATAACGGATACAGTCGAATTGGGCTCACGATCCAACAAAATCATATCCACCCATTACTTTCATGTACTACCCAAGAAAGAAGCAGATCCCAATGTGAACTTTCCACCCGGCTTGATTAGTTTTTGGCAAGAGTAATGGCGTACTGCTTTTTCCACCAGAGCTGGCCAAAAGAAAAGACCTCGGCGCGATTTAGCACACATACTCGTGCCCGAAGTGCCGATTGGAATTTTATCATCGACCACTAGAATTTACCGGATTGCGCGTTGGATCACCGGAGAGAAAAAATCATACCATGTTTTCTTAAGCTGATGCATTCCAGATCATTGAAGGACTTCAAGCTCACAAATCTTGAAATACGAAGAGTCTGTAAGTATTCTATCAATTCAGGAATATGAAACTGCTGTTTTCAATCAAGAAGGAATCAGCTCACCTGTCTTTCGGTTCCGTTGAGGAACAATTTGACTCGATAAATTCCATCCGTAGACCCTTCCGGAAAACCGTCTGGTCCCTTGGGATACAAACATTCAGTATGGAGCTAGAGTTCCACAATGAATGTTAGTGATCTGGTGTGAGGAAGCGCGAGATTAACACGGGCACCGACATACTTGAGATTGAAAGTGTTTGGCGTGATTGATGAGAACGGAAAAGGCGGCGATCAAGGAGCAATCAGTGACGATATCTTGCACGATATCCGTTGGATCCAGCGCGTCAGACTTGTAAACTTCTAGACTGGGATTCGCTTCTTTCATCGACTTCCACTCGAGAAAGGCTTGCTTCTGGGCCGGGCTTAAGGCTGGTTGAATTGATGCCAACCTATCCCGTATCGGAAAGAGAACATGTCAGCACTCTCAAAAATCCCTTGAGGTCACGTGATGGACTGACTGTGACGGGTGCGATGGGTCATTTACTGGGTTTAAATGGGACGGCGACCATGGGTGAAAGCTTAGACCGTTGATCTTTTGAGATCTTTGAAGAACTACATCTTGCTCCTCTGAGCATATTTTTTGGTCCGTAGAATCAAAACATTCAGCGTCACAGTTTTTTTTTTCCCTAACGCGTTATCATCAATGATTCTAGCAGAAGAAACAAAATGAAAACATGAATGGCTAACCTGAAGATGTGCGGTCCCGAACGGGTGCTCTCAAACTTAATTCGGGTCGGGACGACTTGATTCGCTCGGCACGGTTCAATAACTTGGAGGAGATGGCTTTGAGCTGTTCTTTCAAAGGGCCATCCTGGAGGGTTCGTATCAAGTAAAGATATTTCTGCACCGAGTCCACGTAAAGCGAGAAGGCCTGCTCATAGTCTCCATGAGTCTCTTGCCGGGTGGCCCGACTTGCGATGGTCTGCTCACAGAGAAACATGGTACTTCGTGGTCGGCACCCCGTTCTTTGTGTTGTAACTACGCACGAGAGCTCTGATGACTGATTTCATATTCCGACCATATCTGCTCACCTGGACTTCCTTTAACTTGGATCGAAACTCGGGACTCAGTGATCTCAGATCCATCGTAGGTGCATCTAATATCCCAGTCCGTTGACCACTACTATTTCACTTCAAACAAATCAATCAACTGTGATGGATGCCCAGGGATTGGTTGGCGGACAAGCTTCACCCGAATGCGGAGGATTACGAATCACTTGGAGGTGTAGCAGCAGAGATATGTTATGCAGCTCGACTGGTTCTTACTAGGTGATGATGGTTAATGGTCATTGACGAAGAGATGTGACGGAAGAGGCGGCGGGGCTCAGATTATGTAGGTTAAGTCCTGCCACCTGAACGGGCTCTGTCGGCCCGACCCGGGATATACCTCTGTTCTCAACACCGGGCCCCGTCGAAACAAATTCAAGTGCTAGCTACTAGTACGTATCAGCCCATCACCCTACCAAAGTCAGTATTAAATGGCCACTCCCCTCCGTCTATCAACTTGGATCGTCGACATATCTGGCTGGGAGCCTGATCCAATCGTAAGCGACTCTTTTTTTTTCTTTGGCTTTGATAAGGAAAGCGCTCAATGACAGACTTTGACTTCCTGTAGGAATGGGACACTATCTTGGACTTATTTTCTGCGGAAATCCAAGCCAAAATCCGTTCTTATCATCATCTAATTGATGCTAAACGTTAGTGAGTGTTAGTCTTTTCTCAGTTCACCAATCTCAATTAATTTTTTTTTTCTTCTTGAGATTGGTCATTGGGTTGTTCATCGATTGTTATTTTTTTTCTGATGTGGTTTTGTATAGGATCACTGGTTGGAAAATTATTAGTGCATAGGATCGTGTGTTCGACTTATTCAATCCCATGGGGTCGAATCAAGTTCAAGACGAATTCAGAGGGCAAGCCGTACTTGGTAAGACGATCGATGACCAACTTGTATCACTTTCGTTTATTTCGGTGATCTTTTTTGGATTGTAGGCCACAGAACTCCCACCAGGCTGTCGGTTCAATTTCAATATCTCCCATGATGGGTCGATGGTAGTGTGTTGTCATACTCAAGAAACATTGACTCAGTCGACCAAGAGGGATCTCCCACAAGCAAATCGACTGTCGGGTGGCACTGGCAATGGTGATGATGATACTCATCCTCAAAGCCCTCAGATAGGAGTAGATGTGATGGAATACAAGCTACCAAGAAGCGAGAAGACTCTGGACGACTTTGGCTTGTTATTAGAGGAACATCTCAGTCCAAGAGAGAAAGAGTTGATCGACCAAAGAAGAAGAACCGACTTCAACAATCCGGGAAATCTTTTGGACGGCTTACTTCAAATCTGGACCTTCAAAGAATCGATCATCAAGGCCTTGGGGATTGGATTGAGCATGGAACTCGGCTCGATAAGTCTTAGCAATTTGATCAGCCATCCGGAAGTCAATTGGGATCCTATCGAGACCGGCAGCCCTGCTACTACGAGGCAGGAGGACTTCATCTTACCCGATAGATCGTCTCAACTAGTTGTTTCAATTAATGGCCAAGAAGATCGGAGCTGGAAGCTTTGGAATGCCGTTTGGGCCAGGCCAGACTCGATCGGGGTGGAGTGCAAATACATCCTATCGGCGGCTCTCAAGTCATTTTGTCCTCAAAACCTCTCCTCTGAGACTTCATTGCTTCACCCGGTAGTGTTCAAGACCGTCTCAGATCTTCTACCGTCTCATTGAGATGTTGTTTTTCTTATCTCCTAGTGTTGTGGCACTTCGTTTGAAAACAGCCAGGGAATAAGAACATGATCTGAACTATTATTATACCATGATTACTTATTACTGAAATGAAAATGAGTGAACCAAACTAACAAACAAAAAACTCGTACAAGATGATACACAAGTGCCAGGTGATATATGTGATGTCTGTACGTGTAGAGGATGTGTCAACAAAAATTGAAAGAGCATCAGAAACACAAGGGGTGAGAAAGCAAGGGAGAGCACAAAAGAAAGGTATTGAAGAATATTAGGTACGAATGTTAACAAGAAATAACAAAGTCGAAATTGTCACAGTGGAAATGAGTGATTCTTGTTTGTATAGGATATCAGAAAACAGCGAGACAACAAAAGGAGCAAGAATATCCACATAGGTAATTCACATTTTGACAGACTTGTGTATTGTAGACCTTAATCACCGATGAATTCTTTACCTCTAACTTCTCGATACGCCTCTTTTAGTTTCTCTTTTACTTTGACTTCCTTATTCCAATTCTTTGATAACATTCTTTACAAAAAAAGTGGGATAAGGATCAATTGAATGTAAGTTTCAAATGAATTTAACGACTTGAAGCAAAAGATAGAGAGAAAAAAAAAGTGAAAATGAACGTACTTTAATTTACAAATAGCTCTAACAGCAAGGGCAACGCTCTTAAATGTTCGATCGGTTGTGGTTGGATGGAGAGTAAAGTTTCCTGGATGTTGGGTGTCATCATCGCCAGAGGATGACGAGTAAGGTAAGCCGAAGTTAGACAACGCTAATTGGATAGCTTCGTTCCTGTCAATTATTCGCGATTCCAATTGTATCCATACCCAGAGTCAGCTTCCTGGTTTCGTGAAAAATATAAAAAGATGAGAAGAAAAAGGCATACGACTAACCGAATCTCAGTCTGGCGTAACTTGAGCATGATCAGCTTCTTTTGACAAGCTAGGTCGGCCCTGAAGAGGCTTTCTCGGGTGAACATAAGTTTTAAAAACCTGATCCTAAGTAGTAATCCTTTGGATTCAGAGTTATGTTTGTGGTCGAGTTCCTCTCTGGTTTCATTAGTCCTTATTGGCGGTAGGATCGGAGAGGATAAGAATTAAAGTCAGTTGATGATCGTCCAAGCGTTCCTCATTCAAGTCACAACACTCACAATCCGTGGTTGCCTTGGGCTCGTTGAGATTTCAATTCATTCAACTCTTTTTTACATAGCGATAACTCGTTCTTGAGCTTGGTCATTTCCTTAGAGTTGTTGGGAGCGGAAGCTTGACGATCGACTTGATCTTTCAAATCTTGCAGATGATGGCCAAGATCCTGAGCTTCCGCCTTGACTTTAATCAGTTCTTTTCGCAGAGCCTTTGTATCTTTCAACAGATTGTTATTTGTCTCATTAAGGCCCATGATCTCGTTGGTCTTCCTCTCTAGCTCATCCTCTAATTGTCCGAAGTCGAGCGTTCGTTTCTCAAGAGTCGCTTGGACCCGATGATACGATTTCTCAGAATTGATGATCGTGTGTGCTTTGCGCTCGAGCTCAGTCTTGAGTTGTCGAACTTCGGCAGTGAGTGAACTATGTTGCTCAGCATATTCTGCATTCTCTGTCTCGAGTTTCGAGATCGTTTCCTGGAGCTGCTCGATTTTCGCCGATGAAGCAGATGATTCCTTGTTCTGCGTGTGAAGAGCTAGAACAGGTATAAATATCATTAGGACAAAAAATTACCTAAAAATTCCATCCGGGGTTCACTCATTTATCAAACGAGCCACTTACCACGAATTTCAGCATCCATGGAGTCACGGGCCTCAGTCACTTGTGAGAGCTGGGCTTCGGTTTCGTGTAATTTCTGGCAAATTTCAAAGTCGGACATGCATCAAGAACAGCTCTCATGGAAGGAAAGGCGATGTCCAAGCGTGCAAAACTCACAAGATTTGCTGCTTCGAGTTGGTCTTCTAGATCTTCTTTGTCATCGGATAAAGCTTCGCGCTCTTTATCATTTTCTTGCAGACGTTCTTGCTGTTCTTGTGACTTACTGAGAAGGCTTTCCACTTCATCTCGAGCCTCAGAAAGTCTCTGTATTCAAACAGCCAACATCAGAAGGCTTGCATTTCTAAAAAACCTATGGAAGATGATGACATACATTTTGCAACTGTTCGATCTCCTGTTCTTGGGTTGCTTTCTCGGATTCAAGTTTCTCCAGTTCATCTAGTTTCAGATCGAGCTCACGCTTCAGCTTGATGATCTCAGTTTGAGACGTTTGATGGTTTGCTTCCAACTCCATAAATTTGACTTTCAAGCCCGATGAGTGGTCCTCAGTGTCATTTTCGGTTGGTTGCCTTTGGGAAGAAATTTTACAACATGAGTTAACATATTAGAAAACCCTTGATTTTCTTGGTCAATCGGAGATGATGAGACTTACTCGGTGAACTCCAATTCCTGAGTCTCAGGCAAGACCCTGAAGCGGACTATCTGGTTTGCGTCGAATCTCTCACCACAGTCAGGGCAGCCGATATTAGACAAACGATGTTTGACTTGAGCGATCGTGCCATCCTCGGCAATCAACTTATCCAATCGTTCTTCGAGTTTCTGAGCCTTCTCTTCAAAGTCATCGGCTCTCCTGCGAGCGGTAATCGCCTCGGTTGACACTTTGACTACATTTTCACTGACTTCACTGAGCTTCGCCAACTTGTGGTCGACATTCTTGTTGGCCAAATCGAGTTGATGCCGAAGTTGTTCAACTTGTTGCTGAAGTTCGTGGATCTGATTGAGCATAGGCACAATGGTCTCATCCCCCGAATCGCCTGCCAATATCGAAGTCATCTGTATTGAATAGTGCATATTAGATTTAGGCGACATTCATATACAAAGGACAAGTGAAAAGATGTACATTGCTCAGCATTTTGCCTGGTGTTTTGGGGGTGCGCATGCTGATGATCGATTGGAAGTGACACGATGAACGACTTGGAGTGCTGATCAATGCAGACGTCTGTTGACGCAACGAGCCTACCCGCTCTTCAAGCTCGCGTCGTTGAGTCTCCAAAGCTTCAATCTTCATGTTCTGGATTTCGCAGGTAGCAGCGTTGTCGGATTGGCTGATCAGGGTTTTCAGTCGATTGATTTCCTCTTGCGCCTTGGAAAGTTCGGAGTTGTTTTTGCCAGATTCCCTCTTGGGGCTAAGTCGACCTGGCGTGGATGAGACGTCTGAGAAGTTAGATTTTAGAGCTTGTGATAGTTTGGCCTGGAGGCCTGAGATGGTCGATTGCTGGGCAATTGTTTCCGCTTCCAAGACATCGACTTGAGTTTCAAGCTGCGCATAGTCGCTTTCCACAGCCTGTCGAGCGTCTTCAGAATCTTTCAAAGAGACTTCCAGGGCTTCGATGCGGTAGTCTTTTTCGGATAACTCTAGGCCAAGTTCCTCAATTTTAGCACGAAGTTCGTCTTTTTCTTGGGGTGATTGCCGATTTACTTCGCTTTGCTTTGCAGGCTCTGGATCATCTTGGCTGGTTTTTTGTTCGTTATTAGAAATCTCGCTTTGAATCCACGAGTGAAGCATGCGAATGCGGCGTTCAGCAGAGCGACCGACGGATTGATCCCCTTTGCCATTTAGAACTTGTTCCAGCTCACTTTTGACTGTCAAAAGGGTTTCCAAGCTGGACTGGCCTGTGGATTGAGTTGATTTCGGTTCATCTGGTACTTTTCCTTGGACGCCAGTCAGCCGACGGACTTCTTGATACTTGGAATTCATGGAGACCAGCATTCTGTCTTTCTCTTGGATAAGCGCCGTAGCTTGATCTTTCAGAGTTGCGATCTTCAAATCGTAGCCCGCTTTTGCATCGACCAGGTCTTTCTCGTGTTGGGCATTGCATTCGGCTAACGTACTAGCATGTTGCCCGACAATCTCAATTTGCTGGAGTTTCAGTTGGTCTACTTCGTCTTCTTTAGAGGCTAGAACTGCTTGCAAATCTTTAAGGCGATCTTTCAATTCAAAAATCTGCTTGAGGGACGAGGAGTTGAGCGGAGCTTTGTTCAGAAGCTGATTTCGAATTTCTCTTATCTCTTCGTCGCGTTCTTCAAGTTGATATTCAAGTCGGTGAATCTGGCGCTCAGACAGAAGGTTTTGAGAAGCAGACTCTGACTGAGACGCGTAATTATCTTCGGCTTGGGCGGGGTTGAAATTACTTTGAAGTTCGGCTATACTGTCATGGACGTTAATCATGCCCTGTAAGCGATCTTGTAGCACGCCACTGCGGTCAGGTGCACCGTCCGCATCTGATTGGGGTGGCAAAACCCCTCTCCGAAGTGATTGATTTTCCATTTCTAGTTGGGCGAGCCGCGCTTTCGTTTCAGCCAGAGCATTCACTATTTGGTGGTTCTCTTCCGATAAGTGTCCATTGAGATCGTGTAGGAAAGAGTTCAACTTGTTCCCATTAAATCTGGTAGACCAATCGGCAAAAGAGAACGAAGAGTTCCCATTCTGATGGCGAGCTCCAGGAAACGTGGTCAAATCGTGTGAGGTTGCTTCACTTTCACTTCCAGCGACTTGAACAGGTTGAGGATTATTGGGATGGTTTGACTGATTTGAAGGAATTCCAGAAAAGTCAGTGGTATCGTCGGCAACTTCGTTCAACCGCCTCGGCGTAAAAGGGCGTCTTGCACTGCGGAAGGGCATCTGTGACGGAATCGGCTTGCCATTGGATTTCAAGATGTCCCTCATGCGACTCAAATTGGATGGGTTCATTATGCTTTGCCGACGATGGTTATCTGGGTTGAGAACCGGTTCAGGTTGAAAAACAGGAGATCGTCCAAACGAAGATTTCTTGGACCCTTCAAACTCATGACTCATTTCTCTTGAGAAACTTTCTCCGATCTCGTCTATAGTCAGTGAGTTGTCGACCCGAAACGAATCACGGCGTCCAACCCCAGGGCTGGTGAGCTGGCTACCTGAGGGCTCACGAGGGCTTCTGTTGGTGGCAAGATCTCGGTCACGTGAATTGGTACGCGATAAACGAGCCTGTAAAGTGGAGTGTGAGCTTGACGATGATGATAAACCTGATTTTGGTTGTGGTTGTATGACTGATGAGGATGTCTTCTGGTGCTGGACGCTGCGATAATTCTCGCGCTGATTTTCTGGAGATTGGCTGGTATCGAATCCAGACTCGAGATCGTCCAAGGCAGACAGGTTCAGGTCTCCCAGCGATTTGTTTGATGGGTCATCCTGGTCGCCATCTGAGCTTGATGAATCTTCATGGAGGGTGTCAGGCGGAGGTTGGTCAGTTTCGGTTTCACTGCTGCTAGTAAGAATTCCGACTTCTGGACGATGATCTTGGGTCTGAGGTATATGACTTGTGTTGGGCGAGTGATCACGCAGCCAATGTTCAGCATGACGAGCTGGGTTTGCAGTGGCAGGGGTGGAAGTGAGTGGAGAATCGACAGTTATTTGAGGCTGGTCCATATTGGTGGGTTGATGGTTTGATGGGCCGGACCTGGGAGTGAATCTGGCATTAGATTGGTGGGTACGGTTGGCGTTAGATTGGTGAGTCCGCTCCTGAAAGGCTGGTCGACGATCCTGAGTGTTGAAGCGATTCTGTTCTGTGCGGGGAATGAAAGGAGTATTCATAGTGGTGTTTCTCGAGATGCCGACATCATATATATGGCCAGGACCACGTTGCCCGAAGCTTTCGCCGACTGAGGTCGGATCGGGAGGCGGCCAGCTTGGTAGACTATCGAGCCCTTCTTCCTCTTCCTCGGCTCGATCGATCCGATGCATGATTCGGGCGGGCGTGTCTAATTGATATCCTGGGAATTCCATGGTCAAGAGGGAGGTGGGGTGGTTGGTGGTGGGTGGTTGGTGGGTTGGCCACTTTGCTGGGTGGGGACGCGTCGCGGGTGGAGGCTCCAGTGCAGTTTCGATCCCCGGGAGTAGGGTACCCGTATTAACCGCTCGGGTTGTCGGTCAACACACCTACCATGTTCATGTGGCCATTGCAAATGGGCCCAGCCAAAAAGGATCATGCTTCATTTTGCTTCTCCTTAAAAACTACATTGCCCGATTGAAAATTTCACTGTGGTTACAGTGTAAACTCTTGATGGTGAATCATAATGACTTCTGTTTTCACCAACACCATTCCTTAATGAGGATCTATTTTTAGCCTCATAGTTTCTAGTACTACATGAGCTCCAGTCCCACCCTATGCATCCTCAATTTCACCAGCAAAAATGACATAGCCACTTGATTATAGGTGCCAGGTGAAATTCAGAAACAGTATTTATAGCTCCATCTCTGCTGCTGTTGTGCTAGCAATGCGTGGAAATGGCCCCATTGATCAGTTGCATATTTCAGATTTCCCCAGACACTAATCCATACTTTGGGCTAGGGAAAGGACATACATTTACTCCAAAATAAAACACCCCAGAATTTGAAATCAGACACATTCTGCCCTCCCGAAAAAGGTGACAAAAGTGACAAATTGAATCATAAGACATATTTGTGGCCCTGGTTAAGGTGTTCTTATCTTTTTTTTTTCTTTTTTGGCTGACCAGTATGTTCAGTTAATTAGCACAAATTTTAGGGGGTTGGAAGAACAACTCCTAAGTATTTGCTGACAACTCCCATTTTGGTTGAGGGGCAGTTGGCTGGATTTGTTCTTCCAATCCCCCTTGCAGGATTGGGAGTCAACCTCCCAATTCTTTTCTTTTCTTACTTTTACTTTTATTTTTATTGTTTTTGGGGGGGGGGAGTTGGTGCCCCAAACCCTCCTTAGAGCATCTCCAACGGTCAGGGGGGCAACTGCCTTGTGTTCCCCGGGCCTCGATCCCATGTCACAGGGATCGTGGGTCAATCCCAATTATGGACTGGCACTCAGATATCCCCCAGCTGCTGGTAAGGATCAATCACTCTCCTTCTCTTGAATTATCATCCCCTACAAAATCAAGTCATGGAAATCAACAATATCTCAAAATGGATGGTTGACAACAATGATGTGCTTGCCTCACTACAAGCAACACAAAGGAGGAAAAAAACATGTTGGTTCAACACCTGGAAGAAGAGAGATTCAGTGCAACCAAATCCAAGGCCACAATCAGCTATTCAAGGACTACTTTTTTTTCTTTCTTTGTTGTATTGATTTGATCACCTTTTTTTGTTTCTCTTTCTTTCTTTTTTCTATGCTTTCTCTCAATTGTTTCTTTTCTCAAATAATTCTTGTATTCTTTCATTTTCAAATGAATTGAAATGAAAAATACAAACAAGAATAAAAATAATGACAGTAGTAGCAAGTGTGAGTGTCAAGATTGAGTGTAAACAGATGAAATAAACTGATCTCATCAAGATCAAGAGTGAATACAAGAAAGAAACTGAAATTGTCGAGATCAAGAGTGAATACATTATTGGGGGTTGAAACATTGGTGGTGGATGTTTGCAAACTTGTTTTCCCTTTTGATTGCTTCTTTTTTTCTTTGGAGAGCTCAGTGTTGGAGTTTGTTGTTGTGTTGGGTTTGAAGAAGGGGGATCTGGGCCATCCATCGTTTGTTGTGGGGTCTCTCTGCGCGGCATCCTATGTTGGATTGTAGAAGAATTGGGAATCACAGCTGGGAGGTGACTGGCAGAACTCAAAAGGGGACTGCGGGTTTGATTTCCCCCAGCAATTTCTTGAGGGCCATGTCACAGGTCCGTTGGAGCAGAAAATGGACACCCGGCCTGCCAAAGTTTGCCCACGGATTTCCAATCGCGGGTCCATTGGAGATGCTCTTAGCAAGTGGGAGGTTTGGGAGTTGTTTCCCTCCCACTAGCTGGAAGGAATTCCCTCCGGCCATCAAGACTGTACAGTCTTGATGACCAAAGGGAATCCCTTCCAGCCATCAAGACTCTAAAATATCAATGACCGGAAAGAATCCCTTCCAGTTGCAATTTTTCAGACTCTACAGTCTTGATGACCAGAAGGAATACCTTCCAGTTGTTGAGACTGTACAATCTTGATGGCCAGAGGGAAACCCTGCCAGCCAGTGGGAGGGAGACAACTCACAAACCTCCCACTTGCCAAAGAGGGTTTGGGGTGCTGACTCCCCCCCCCCCCAAAAAAAAAGCAATGAATTGGGAGGTCAACTCCCAATCCTGCAGGGGGGATTTGAAGAACGTCTCCCGTGAACCACCCCTCAACCAAAATGGGAGTCGTCAGTGTCACCTGCCAACTACCCTATACAAGTGCCCATTTGTTTTTCCTGGTGAACTGAGATTTTCAGGAAGCTCCAAAACATCCAAACTGGGAACACTTGCAGTCCCATCCATGATCCATAGGAACTGGAATGATGTCCAAGCATTCCCAAGGATTTCAAGACATCAAACCTGCATTGTGGAAAGATACTTTAGAAAGCTTACTTTGAGATTGGCCACAGTCAATCAGGACCTTTCCTTTCCACTGGACTTCTTTTCAGATAACATCCCTCCATCCTTGACACGCCCAGCTATACGAGTTGTCGGATCCTTCTGACTCCATGCCATATCTGCCCATCCAAAACTCACAGGATTTATCCATGGGCAGAATAGTGGAAACTCTCAGAGGAATCGGTCCAAGAAAGCGTTGACAGTTAGCGGAATCCAGGGTGGCAAACTTGGAAAAAGGTCTCTTAATGAAAAGTTCAGGACAATGTAAGAAGCTTCTGTGGATATGAGGATCAGAATCTACAGCCTCCCTCACTATGTTATCGGAGACGCCCCATGATTTTGTCAGCAGAATGCATCAGATTGAATTCAGGTAAAATGAGCATAACTGTCATCAATTTTGTACACCATGATCAATATTGAACTCTAAAACCATCGGAGTTGATTCCCAGACTCTGTTGCTTGCAGGCTGAATCTTCTGTTTTCGGCTGAATTCCATTATTCACATATTCTTTATTCAAGCTTGGTATGAGAGAGGTTCTATATCGATCGATCCTGTTCCTACCCATGTTCCTGTGGAGTGTGAACCGCAAGAGGCTTGAGTACCAAGGGTTCATGCTTTTTTCTTGCCCTTGAGTCTAGAGGAATCGGAACCAATCAAACGATGGATTCGATGGTACATATCGACGAGCATCACGGCGGGTACCGCAAAGAACGGTCCTAATAAGTTGAGTATATCATCACACGTGGGGTCAATCATTTTTGCAAACCGAGTCTAAAAGAGGGTACGCTGCAGTCTTTACACAGTTGAGGTAGCCGGGGGTTATGGGACTCACCATAAGCACTCAGGAGGAAGATGAACTGGGTCGATGTCAGCGGGACTTTACGATCCCCCAAGACAAGCACCACGAGACATGTTGCCGTTGTGGTTGATGCGGCAGCGGCATAGGCTAATAGGATAGGGTAAACGCTCGGTGTACCTGTGATTTTTTTCGGAGGTTGAAGGTCAGATCGATCATTCACCCCCATAACAACTTTGGCTGATACGAGCTGGAGGGTGAGATCCAGGCAGGAAGAGCTAAACAGACGTGCGATATATACCTTTGAGTAAACCTCGGATGCCTATGAGAAAGCATGGTAAGAAAAAGAGAGCCTCGTGTACCAGGAACCATCGAAACCACAGAAAGCTGGGATCCTGCGAACGTGCGCTCAGCATCAAGGGATCGGAAGTGTTATCCAAGTAGACTAGTACATGCAAACATTTCAGCAACCTCTCTCCTTCAAGACTCATTTTCAGTGGATTGTACAGGTTGACATGGGATGCTTACAGTCCAGAAGTCGTTTGAAGACATCGAGCTGAGCGGCCTGCGGAAGGAGAGGCTGGATATCTACCGGTCCGAATCAACAGGATATGAGAGGATGCGACGGAAGCGACGTGGTAGTCATCGATCGCAAGTCGGAACAAGGGGAAAAAACCAATGGATCAGTCAGACCGGTATGAAAGTATGATCTCGGCGATCTGAGAGAGACTGACCGACACAGACTGCACTGATCGCATGGATTAGGAAGAATCCTAGATAGACCTGGTCGCGACGGTCGGCTGAGGTATAAGCTGCCATCGATATTGTTTTGGGTGTGTTGAGTTGGTTGATCGAGGATCGAAGATCGTGGAAGCACTTGGCTCGGGATTGATAGTCGTCGGCCGGCCGCTCCCCGCCGATTCCTCCTCGGCCGTCTCACCAAGAAAGCCTTACTCAGCCATGGAAGCCAACAAGAGTCCTGAGACCATCCAACAACATCAAGAAGTTATTGGCATACCTTCCCAGCAAGCTCACAACAACCCACCTTGGATAAACGTGGTGCATTCAGGACAAACAAAATATGGACATAACTTCCAGAGACAGATTGAAGAAGTTGACTTGAGCATACAACATGCGTGCAACTTACAAAACAAAAGAAATCTTAACCTGATCAAGTCAGATGCTAAAAAAGTTAACCAAGTGACTACATAGGATTTATTTTTGTTTTCTAAGACTATCACACAAGCGTTTGAGTTTTGCAAAAAAAAAAAAAAAAAAAAAAAAAACTCTACTAACCTCTGCCGGGGTCAATTTGATTCTCTGAAGGAACTAATCATAGCAGTGTTGTCACTCAATGATTTCCAGCGCTCAATGACAGGCCCGTTGGGACAAAGCTCCTTATGATAACTTAATGCTTTCCAATTACTCTGATCACTTATCTCATAGAGCTCATGACTGTTAGCCTTTCAAATCCGTCGATTGATATTCTTAAATGAAGCAACCGGCACAACTCAATCAAGAGAATAAGCATCGCAATCATCTGATTAAATTGCTTGTAAGGAACACATCTTGATGTAATCTTCGCTCCACTTTTTCTTCTAATCATCAACTGAGACAGTGTAATCACCATCCATCTTCGTCATCATCGTATTCTTCTTCATCAGTGCTGTCATCTCCATAAAATGGGGAATCGGTTGCCTCCGACCCGTCATCTTCTTCACCGTCCGACTCAGATAGCTCTCCATCCAAGAAATTCGCAAGTGCAGTATCGTACTGAACTTCCCACATCAGACACCATTCACGAGCTTTTTGAATCTGGGTTTGATCAGTGCCGCAATTGAGTGAATTCAAGTGAGTTTGAATTTTCGAATGAAGCCATCGAAACAGCCCGAGGTGATCCTTGCTGCGTATACGTGCCCTTCTACTACGGAGTTGCAACACAAGCAGGGTAAGCTTCCTAAGCTGGTCTTCCATCTCCTCTGTGTCCGAGTATAGTCTATTCAATTTGTTTAGATCGTCATAGAAGGCCATCAGGGGTGTGCTGCTGGCAGAGCTGGATAGTTTATTGACCAGAACTCGACAGACCCTAAGGAGCGGTAAATAACTTTGAAGGAATGCGATTTCATAGTCTTCCACCTCGTCTCGCGGAATCCAGTACTGTGACTTGAGATGGATATTATGATCGATTCCTTCAACGTTGAGATCTGTCCGAGATTCTTCCGGCTTTTGGAATTGGATGATAGCCAGTTCCATGATTTCGATCTCCCTCACGACCCGTTGCCATTTCGCTTGAAGCACTTTGCGCGGGTGGTCCAAGTTCCAAATCATCTGGTCTATCAATCCCAATAGGTCGCCTAGAGATGTACCCTTTAAACTGACGGACTGGGGTTCTGCAGCTTGTAATGTCTCGATGTGACTTTCGTATAACCTGATCAGACCGTCCCGTATGAGATCAGCACCCCAAGAGATTTCGGGATAGTAATATCGTTCCAGGATATAAGGTGAACGTCCTCCTTGCTTGAACCTCAATAATTCTTGATGTCTCATAGTCTCTGGTACTCCGCGCAGATGATAGCTCTTCCACTCAGACCGCGGTATGAGGACGCTCGATTTGACTTGGCAGGACTCGGCATCAATCTGATCCAACCAACCGACCTCGGTTTCCAAATGTTCCGAAAAAATCCCCTCTTCAAACCGACTCGGTTCCAGAACACTAGTCATCTCGAGGATTCGACGTCGTAAGCGAGGTAGAAGTGCTCGCTCCACCCGGAAATCGGCCCCCCCTAGTTCGTCGCGGTTTCTTCGATCTTGCCATTTGTGAACCGGCCGAACAGCGCTAAGACGTGGAATCGCTTTACCCAAGGCTTGTATGTGTAGCGCTAATTTGTTCAAGCAGTCGAGCAGGAAGAGTCTTCAAGTCAAAAAAAATCCAATAGTCCTTCCAACTACGATGCAAACTCTTGAAACGCACCACGAATAAGCAACGATTGTTTTTTCAATTTATAATTCGATGTTCCGAGTGATGCTTGTAATTTCTCGATTTCAAGTTCGTAGAGCTTTATCTTTTCGCGATCAGATAGGCCTTCCCGTCCGAGCTCGTGAGGATTGGTGCCATTGGTTTGGCTAGCCATCTGGTGGTCAAGAAGATGGTATATTTTCGGAGCTGGAGCACAAGGTGTTACCGCGTGGAATGAATAAGGGCTGCATACATTGGGATCCGGCCCGAGTCCATGTCCGGATCTTCCCACCCGGCCAAAGGGCTATGTAGGACTACGTAGATTTCATGTCCGAGCAATAGCATGCACACCAAGTTCTGCATTCTTGTCAGGCAGACATGATACCAAGGCAATCAGCTTAACTTGATTTTTTTGTAGACCAATCTCACTTGATTGACTATGTACCAAATCCATATCCTCATTCCTTCTTGTGGATAAATCATCGTCAAACAACAACATCCAGGAATAGATGCACCTTGGAATTTGAAAACAAACCTCTGGGTTTGGATGTAATTGAGTCTGAGATCACCACAAAAATTAACTCTAGCTACTTGTTTATAAAAAGTATAACATGTCTATATGGGGTTATGAATTTACACAACAAGCTCAAATTGTCTACCAATCAAGAGATAAAAGTTTGGGTGAAATGAAACAACTGATTATGAGCAGATGGTTGGACTAACTGAACCTGCCAATCTTGGATGAAAAATAGAATCTTAGGGTTAAGATGAAAATTTGAAACAAAATGAATCCAAGTTATAAATGGTTTTAGATGTCAATTCATTTGTCTGTTGGGGAAAGTGTTACAATAATTCTACCATTCCTGCCCTCTACCCCGCCTTTGAGAGCAATACCACTCCACTGTCAGATTAATCCAGAGTCAGTTCATCACAATTCATTCAGATAAGGTAGCCAAAAGATGTAACATGGGAAAAAACTGATCACCTTGCCATCACATGTTGACACCATTCGGTAGATTATTTTGTTCATGTCCTTTTTGGTCCTGTAAAATTTGATGGCAAAATGCATTAGCTTATTAGTATTTATTATGATTTGATCTGATTTTCGAAGAACTGACACAAGCATTACCGATTCATCTGATGACATTATTGCCACCTGATATCAAATATTCAAAAAGCAAATCAATTCAGAATTAAGAAATCCGTAGAGGGATTGGAAATTATGATCAGAAATTCCAGTGCGAATGACTCACGGTGCAACTTTTAACTGTGTTATAAACAGAAGTACATGTGCTTCCTTCAAAAAGAAATTCTCCATCAGCATTGGTGGGGATTGCATCGTAGGCGCTATTTGATCATTTGATTAAAAAAAAAAAAAGCGGGGTTAAATCAGCGGGACTTGGTAAGTAATGAATAGCCATGATTACTGTCCAAAGATCAGAACTAACATACTCAATACAATCCTCTGGTGCGCTACGGTTTTTGGTTACTGGATGACATATTAACTTATCGCTTGGAGTATCTTGCTCAATTCCTGGGTATGGTACTCGTCCTCTGGTGCTCAATTTGACATCTTTGAAATCCGGGAGAGTGTAAGAACCAGACTGGTAGGACACAAGCATTACACGTATTTAGCTAGAACTGATAATTGAGGCTCTGATAGAAGAAGAAGAAAATCCGGAACACACGTAGTCGGCACAGTGACTCAGCATTTTAGCGAATCCATCTTCAATGGTTTGGCGGGTCCTAATGACACGGGAAATATATCCTGGAAGTAAGCACTCGACCTTCTGACTCGTCACTTGTCTAAAAAGAGCTTCACAGGGTCTTTTCAACTCACAGTTTTAGGTCATAAGGCTTATCAACCATCACCTAGTGGAGAAATCGAGTTGGCGTTATTGTAGCATCGTATGTCAATAAGAAGACCTGTGGGTTGAACAGGGTACCGCGAGATGAAAGAGAATCAAGATTGGACGACTTACAGCACAGTTTCCGGAAATCTTTTCAACGTGCCCCTCATTCACATCAAGAGTTGAATCGCTTTCGTAGATGATTTTGCCGTATGCACTGATTCAACGTGGAATTGGATTGCAAAGGAGTCTGCATGAGCCTTGCAGCCAAAGGTATTTGGATGCCGGCAGTCGGGACAAGAACGAAACCGTAAAGCGTACCTCTTACAATTAGCCCGGCCCGGTTGATTTCCTGGGAAGCACTTTATATTCGGATCTGATGTGTCGTAGGAGCTGCAAGCATGCAGTAGACAGGTCGCAGTGAGGAAGAAAAATTGATGAATAAACATGTCCGTCTTTCCGTCTTTCGAAAGTGTTTGAGGTTCAATTGAAGGTGGTTGAAAGTTGTCAAACGAGGAATCAGAATGTTGAAGTTGTTGGCAAACGAAATCCTGTTGTTGAGAACGGGTTGGGTGACTTTGATATATAACATAGGAGGGCTGCAAGTACCGGTACAAGTGCAGGGATAGCCAACCACGTGTAGAGGGTATGTTGCCGATACTAGGACCCTTATGTACACACCCTAGTATCTTCCTGTATCTTCACGACGCCGAAGGTATGGCGTCAGGCTGCTCCGATGTTAAACAGGATTCCTGAATCTTGTTCAGTTGTACAGTCTTTTGGCGCGTTTCCGGGCCGAATTCAAAAGTTGTTATCCCTCGGAGGGCAGTGATGTTTTGGCATGTTCAAGTATATGAGGTCGGAGGTGAGGAAAAGAATAAGCACATGATAAAAGGAGAAAGAAGAAAAAAAAGAAGAGGAGAGGATGGAATAGTACAAGAAAAAACATAGAAGTGGTAGAAGTAGCGGAATGGACTTCGGTGTCAGTCAGATTTTTGACTTTATTCCCAAACATCCAGTGGGGAAGCCTGGCATGAACATTTTTTGATGATCTGAGGGGCCAACAACTTGGTAATAATGATGTAGGGGCATAGTTTGTCACATGCCCGCATATAAATAATGGAATTATGGGACTCCACTCTTCCATATTTATGAATCCTAAGCACTTATTTATGGCCTGTGACAAGATGGTTGGGTGAAATTGAAAGGAAAATTGGTTGCCACTTGAGATTTGCAATCTTCAACAGAGGGGAAAACCAAGTACTGAACAGTCACAATTCACATGAATTGAGAAGGAAAATAAAAGTTGTGGTACAATATACAACTGTGGTAGAAGAAAATCAAATTATCAAAACAAAAAAGCTCAATCCATGAAATGTGAAAAAAAAGTAAATCAAGTCCATGCTTTTGAAGATACACAATATGTACTAATTGGTAAATTTTGAAAATCATTAGTAGATTTTGAACAAAACGGATCTTCATAAAAGATGTGTGAGTTTAGGTATATTGTCCTGTTGGGGAAAGTATCACAACAATCCTACCATTCCTACCAAGCACCCCATTTTGAACAGCCATACCACCCCACTGTCAGATTAATCTCAAGTCAGTCCACTACTATTCAATTGGATATGGTAATTAGAAGATTGAAATAATCAAAAGAATTGATCACCTTTCCATTGCATGTTGAAATGATTTTATAGATTATAAGAGTTGCATCTGTTTTGGTTCTGTCAAGTTTGATAGTAAAGTGAATAAAAGTGTGAAGACTTATTGGAAGTTATTTGAGCTTTGTTGGAAGACTCACATAGTCATGGCTGATGCATCTGATGATGTTATGAGCACCTGGATTCAAGATTCAGAGAGTTAATGAATTCAGACTTGATGAATATGACTCACTCTTAGAGGACTTTATTTGGGATTTAAATACTCACATTGCAACTTTTGAAACTGTGATTAACAGAAGTACAGGTGGATCCTTGGGTCGTAAAAAGCCCATCAGAATTGGTGGGGAGTGCGTTGTAGGCCCTATTAATGAAACAAAAACACGACCGCACAGATCAGCAGGCCAGGACTTGAGTTAATAATACTGAATAGCAGTGATCGCGTTGTCCACAAATCAGATCTGACGTACGCAGCACAATCATCCGGTGTGGTATGGTCTTTTGTTCCGTAACATGTTAGCTGGTCGTTGGGAGTATCAGCCTCGATTCTTGGATAGGGTAGTCGCTCTCTGGTGCTCAATGTCACCCCTTGGAAATCTGGAAGAGTGTAAGTACCAGGCTAATGGGACATTGTGTCGTGAAACATATTCATATCAGCTAGAGCTCAAAGCTCAACCTTCTCACCTGGGCAGACCGATGTTCTAATAGAATTGTAAGCGAAAACAAATTGGTCACGTACGTGTTCCTTGCAATGACCCAACATTTTAGCGAATCCGTCTTCAATGGTTTGCCGGGTTCTAATGACATGGAAAATTTATCATTTAGCACTCAGCTTACGACCCGTCGCTTATCTGAAGGGGGCCTCCAGAGAACTTCTTCAACTCACATTTTAACATTGAAGGGCTTATCAACCATGACCTATCAGGAAAAACAGATTGTATCATTTGAGCATTGTATGGCAGTATTAAGGAGTCCTTGTGCTGGAAACCACGGGATGATTGAAGACTGATCTGCTTACAGCGCAGTTCCCGGAAATCCTTTGAACGTGCCTCTCATTTTGATCAAGAGTTGAATCGCTTTCGTAAATGATTTTGGCGTATGCGCTGATTCAAGGTAGAATTGTGAGCTGGGTACGCCACGCGGAGATAGTTTCGAAAATGGTGTATGGTTGGGGCTAGAACGAAGCCGAAAAGCGTACCTCTTGCAATTAGCCCTCCCAGTCTTAACTCTGGGAACGCACTTTATATTCGGATCGGATGTGTCGTAGGAGCTGCAAGCGTGTAGCAGGCAGCTCGCAATGAGGAAGACAGCTTGGTGAACCTGCATGTCCGTCTTTCGAAAGGTTTTAGGCTTGAGTAAGATGAATGAAAGGAATCGATCGTAAAATCAGAACGATCAAGTTGTTGGTATGTAAATGGAATCCACTTGTTGAGGTTGGCGAATTTTATTGGGATGTAGCTGATGCAGGAGGGCTGCAAGCATCCATCGGTGCAAGGATCGGTACGGCTGCAGGGATGGCTATTCAATTGCAGTGTTGCCGATACTGGGGCCCTTGGACAACCTAGTGTCTTCACGACGCCTAAGGTGTGGCGGCAGGCTGCTACTACAGCAGGATTCTGTTCAGTTATACGGTCTTTTGGCGCGGTTCCGGGCCCGATTCCGACGTTGTTCTCCCGAAGCGGGATATACAACTTACGCGAAACTTTTCTGGGATGACAGCGATATTTTATCACAAGAGGTCGGAGTTAACGAAAGCAAAAGCCACTGCATTCATTCAACATTTTTTTTGATGTTCTGAAGGGGCCACCAAACTGATTGGCACAAGTCTTGGCAATCTGGAAGATTCTGGATAAAACACCATCTGCTGACTTATGTCCACCACCAGCCCCCACAGTAGGGTTGTCGGCGCCACTTTTCAAAAAGTGCGCGCCGACGGGCGCCGATGTAGCCGTGCGCCTGTACACCTGTCTAGGAGATACCAGGACTTACGACTCCTCTCTCTCTTTCATCTCTCTGTATAAACAATAGATGTACAGCATACCCAAAAAAGCTTGCAACTTTTGCAAGAAAAAACAAAACTTTGAGCCTGCATAAATTAAAATTATTGCAGATTTCTTCCCGGCAGCTGTCAAAGATTGACAGCTGCCTTTGAACTAGGAGGTGTGTATGGACTAGACGGTGACCAGCTGGTGTATATACATACATCCGACCGGACCGGCACTCATTTCCCTCCAAACCACTTGAGGGTGTTCCGGTGTGATTCTCCTCTATCAACAGTCATCATGCGCTTGGACAACATCGTGCACAACTCGCCGGACTCTGCACCTCGTGACGCTGGGACTGATTGGCTGAACAACAGACTCGCCGAGCTGCCTTTGACCCCATTAACTAGCACGATGACCCCGGCAGACGACAGCTACGAGATTGTGGATCAAAATGGGAGAAAATACCGATATTTTCCTGCCGGTCCTAATCGCTCCATTGCCTACATAACAACCAGCTCCTCCGTCCATCAGAGCTACGGTCTATCCGACAATCAACATGAGCAGGATGCTCAACTCCGAGCCGCCCATGAATTTCGTAATATGTATACTAACCCTAGCCAATCGTTCTTAACAGCAAGCAGTCAATTGCCAGAAGCCAATCGTAATTCTCATCGGCCTGTTCGGTTGAACTATCCTACGCAAGCTGCTCCAGTCGGACCAGTCACGCCTCGTAACATCCAAACTTTTACTCCGCAAACCAGCTCCTCTACGCCAACCCCGAGATCCATCAGGCCATACCAGGTGGTTGACCATGGGGCGTCTCCCATTCAGTCAAACAGAAACTCTACTCTGTTGGACTTAGATGAAGAGATCGAGCAACTCCACACCACCGGCAGTCATCATCACTTTCTTCAGGATCATTCCGACAACGAGTCGGATTCAGAGGAAGCATCTCATCCAGTCGATCCCGAGCGCTTAATCATGATTGAGTATCGGTTCCACATGCCAGTTGTTGAGGAACAGTCAAGTTCTACGCGCAAGAGAAAGCCAGCTAGTGCTGCTGTCGAGGTACCGAAGACAAGGGTGTTTGACTCGATCCCCGGCAAGATAACCGTGGCCTGGGACTTTGAAAATACTGATCTCTCATCATTCAAGTCGGACGTCTTCAAGGCCTTATCGGAAGACGATAAAGATGATGATGGGCTACCCGAATTTGTCGAAGCTCACGAGGCGATTGGAAATATCAACTGGTATGGAAGTGTCCTTCACTGTCGCGATTTTGCGGTCGGTGGGAACAAGCAGCTCGACAAGCCGGGTGTGTTTGCTGCATGGCTGACAGCTTGCAAGAAAAGTAAACCAGGTCGCAAGCTCACCTGTCGATTAGAGCAAACAGACCCCAAGGCAATTGCCAAGGTAAGTCTTTGGGTCTTGTATCTGATGAATTTATGTATCTCGCAACTGACTTTTGCTGCAGCGAGCGGCAGCATTGAAGGGGATATCCAAGCGCCACAAACCGTCTTCAGAAGGATCGACTTTTCAACCATCATCCGCGGCTGCTGATAGGGCTAAGATCAACCAGTTCATCGGTGAGATCTTTGCGACCCATACGCCTCGCCCTTCGTTGACCGGAAGCTCCGATAAATCGGTCTTCATTAATCCGGAGAAAACCCAAGAGTATTTTGTCATTACGATGGCCAAAGCAGAAGCGTGGGGGAAAGCAATGGTGAGTTCGTATTGTATCTGGATCACATGCTTGTTTCTTGTCAGGCTAATTGTGGATCAATCCTACTAGAATTCCAGCCCGGAAACCGTTGATCTGCGTACGCCTCCAAAGACCCCTCAATTCGAATACATAACTGGCCTACTTGAGCCTGAGGGAGGACATCCGGCCCGTGGTAACCAGCTCCCGCCCTTCACATATAACCCATATGGAAATATGTATCACCCGATGCACTATCCCCCAGCTTATGGCTATCATGGTCATCCTCATCCACCTCCCCATCCCACAGGGGCTGCTCCTCATCCCGCGGTCGCTCCTCATGATTCAGTCCACCAAGCGAACCCTCCGAGATCTCAGCCAGAATCATCTCCAGCCCCATCAGACTCGGAAGTAGACGACAACATACGTGAATTTTTGAAGTACGCTCGGGTCGATCCTGAAAGCTCCGCCATCCAAGACGGCTTGACCAAATTGGGAATTACCCACTGGAGCATGTTCAGACATGTCACATCCAAGGAGCTCTTAGAGGCCGGTGTCCCATTGGGGCCGGCACGAACCATCGAGCAGGCCGCAAAGCGCTACTCAGATCACTTGAAGAAGCGCAGTCGAGCCAATGGGGCCTAGGATTGGATCTCTTTCTTGACTTACGACACTAAATAGCTCCCTGTCGATTGAACAGTCTCACATCATTCCATCCGTCTCATTTCACATCCGCCTCGGTTTCACCTGTTCATCTTCATGTACTCATGAATCAAAAATTGATTGTAGTCCAAAAAAACAATCGGAGTTCCAAAAAAACGATTGGTGTGCCACAAAAACTATCGGACAGCCAAAAAAACGACATAGACCGATCAAAATAGTATATCAATCAGAGTTGTTTTTCTTCAGCTCATCTCTATCTAACTAACAGCATATCGATTGCAGTTGTTTCTCTTCAGCTCATCTCTATCTAACCAATAGTATATCGATCACAGTGTTTTTTCTTCAGCTCATCTCTATCTAACTAACAGCATATCGATTGCAGTTGTTTCTCTTCAGCTCATCTCTATCTAACCAATAGTATATCGATCACAGTGTTTTTTCTTCAGCTCATCTCTATCTCGATTGCAGTTTCTTTTCTTCAGCTTGACTCTATCTAACAAATAGTCCGATCTCAAAACATCACTCTCAGTTGTTGATCTTTGTTACATCAATCACAGGTGTTAGTGATTTATTCCCCATTATTTACATCTGAAGACATCACAAACACCGGGTCTCTCTCACTTGCAATGAAATTCATAGGATGATCTCTCATCTGACATTTCTTCTGAATTGTCTTGTCCGACATAACCGGTGACCAACTGGTCACACATGATTTGGTCAAAACATTTAATCCAGCTGTCCGCGGATTGATCAATACAAAAACCGATGGATGAAAAAGCAAACAGATTGATGAAAAAGCAAACAGATTGATCCATACATAAAATAATGATTGATTCAGCAACCATATGATTGATCTCAAAAGGCAGGTAGAGTAAACAATAGATCGCTTGGCATAGAAGATGATAGATGGATAGGGAAAATCACCGATCGATTCATAGAGAAAGATCAACAGTTTAACCAATAGATCGCTCGGTATAGAAAATGACTGATAGAGAAAATCACTGAATGATTCATAGAGAACCACATCGATTGAACCAGAGGAACACACACAAGCAAGCAGGTCTCAGAGACAAGAATCTATTGAATGAGATTTTCAGAGAGTATATAGCAGAATTGAGACCATACAGCTAAGCAAGACAAGAAAACTGATGTAAATAATAGGTAATCACTGGTTTATTCGATGTAGCCGCATCCTCTGAACAGCTTTCTCATTAACGAAGCAGTGAAAACGTAGCGGACATGAGATTCAATGATTTCACCATCATCCACGCTACCATCCAGATGCCCATATCGTCGAAGCGAAGCCTTCAAGACACTGAATCCTTTCTCAATTGGATTCATGTCAGGCGAGTATGGGGGGAGATAAACAACTCGGCAACCACGTGCTTCTACAAGGTCAGGGATTCTTCCATTATGATGAAAAGATGCGTTATCCAAGACCAGAACGCTCCGAGGGCCAGGGAAAGGATTCATCATGGGCAACTGTTTGATAAGCTAGGTTAGAGAATAAAAGTCAAACCAGATGATAAAAAGTTGATTCACTTACTAGGATGTGTTCCAAGTAGAACTCATAGCCATCGCGACACATGTTATCCTCTTGAACCAAAGCAGTGACCAGACCGTCCAAAGCCACAGCAGGGATGACATTGAACCGATGTCTTGCACGTTCCACAGGCATTCGGGAGGTCCTTTCTCCTACGGGAGCCCATCCCATCGTTCGGCGGACCCCATCACTACATATGCCACACTCGTCTAAAGGAATGCTACTCGTCGGCAGTTCACAAACACCTACCCAGTTGAAAAACAGGGACTTACCAGTAAAGACCAATGATTGGGGGCTGTGATGTGCAATGAAACCCACGTAAGCTCCTCGTTTACAAATGTCCTGTCTCGGGTGAACCTTCTGCATGGTCTTTCGAGACATTCTCAGTCGATTGTGTAGCTCATTCGAGATCGTTTGTCTAGACACATGGATGTTCAGATTTACAAGCAATGATTGCTGTATTTCTTCTAAATAGATAGTCGGATCCGCGGTAACCAGGTCCAAAAGGAATCGCCTTTCTTCATCGGATAACGAAAATGGACGCCCACTTGTCGCATAGGTTGCCGGATTGCATACCACTGATCTGGTTTTTTCGTACAAATTAGTCCAGCGTCGAAGGGAATCATCGCTAACCGTTGTGTTATTCTGGATGTTAAAATCATCCAAGCTCTGGCCGTCAAGCACTGCTTTGACCACCAAGAACTTATAGGCCGCTCTATAATTGACAAACGGCATGGATCAACTGTAGGAAAAGTCACAGCAATCAGCAGGGAAACAGAATCCAAGTTAGATAAGACACAGAGACACTTGCAATTTCTTTTTGTTCAGGAAAACAGTCGGATGGAGGGAGGAATTGATTTAGGAGGCCAGTGGTTTGGAGGGAAATGAGTGCCGGTCCGGTTGGATGTATGTATATACACCAGCTGGTCACCGTCTAGTCCATACACACCTCCTAGTTCAAAGGCAGCTGTCAATCTTTGACAGCTGCCGGGAAGAAATCTGCAATAATTTTAATTTATGCAGGCTCAAAGTTTTGTTTTTTCTTGCAAAAGTTGCAAGCTTTTTTGGGTATGCTGTAATTGAATACTAAATCCATAGTATTAATTCTTCTTTCGTACATGTATGACGTCATTATTGCTTTCTGATTGTATTCTCATTATGTCCCTGCTATTCTATGTACGCACGGTTCTTTTGTACATAGACATATAAGCAGCATGCTCATGAGGTATCATTCCTCATCGAATACGATACAATCTTCTTTTACAACTAAACTGTAAACAAAAGTGACAACACAACAAATCGACCAACTTAACCCATACTTCCTGTAAGGGCCCCGTTACACCGATGAGGCCCTCCAAAGGGCGCGCCTTTGGCTGGCGCAGGGGGGGCGCGCCAAGGCGCCAATATTTTTTTCTATGAGAGAGGCAAGTAGGCTAAATCTGGCTAAATTGCATGAAAAATGAAGTAAAAAACAACAAATGGATGACTTCCCGTCGCAATCTACGACCCTCCCAGAAGTTGTTTTACACCCCCTAGATCTAAATTTTTTATCAAAAAAAATATTTTTTCTGAAACCTCCCGGCAATAGCTCTCACATGAGCTGGTTGGAATCTTAATCGCTGTCTTAATTTAAGACTGAGAGAGGTCTAAAAAGTGCTCTAAATTGCGACGGGAAGTCCTCCAATGAGTGTGTTGAATGTTAAAAAAAGAAGTGTTTGAGCTGAACGGAGTGTGTCAAGAAGCCTAGAGTTTGCTGGGGTCCCAGTTGGTTTTGGCAGCTGGGTTTTCGGTATCTTGAATTAAATACAATCACATCATTATCCGGTTGCGGTGGCGAGGTTTCAAGTGACCTGGTTGGGTTAGGCCAGTCTGATGATGAAGAACTATTGGTTTGGGTGGGTGGCATGGTGGATGGTAAAAATGATGACTGGTGAAGTTGTGGGCCAACTCGCCAGGTCACAAATCACAATCCTATCTCCTCCTACACCTACCGTTCCGCAATTGGAAATGACTCATATGAGTCATCTCAATCTGGTGCCAGGCCCCGCCAGATTGACACATCCTGACAGCCTGACAGGTCTGCCAGGCCAGACACTTTGACAGGAGTCTTCTCCTGGCTTTCTCGGGGAGACCTGCCAGGCTGCCGGACTCTCCGGGCCATCCCTGTAAAATTAGGGTTAGAGGTGCGCGCCACCCCCCTTTTTTAAAAAACTGGGCGCGCCACAGGGGGTGGCGCCGACAACCCTACCCCACAGCCGAACATCGGGCCGAGTGAGCGGTCGGTAGCGTTATGTATTGATGTATGTGCTACAAAAAATCCGAGTACATAAATCCCCCAGCGGATCTTGGTAAATTTTGTAGCTTCCTATGTGATGAGGTTAAGACTTGCTTTGATGTTGTTCCTTGGTGCACTCAAGCACGAGGCTGCGTATGTATGACAATGGGAAATGGCACTATGTACAAGTTCCACTACAAGGAGATCATTTGTTTTTTTAAATCTAGTGATTGGTTTTGGTTTGGATTTGACAGTGGGAGTTATTGTAAGGGCCTGTACCGTAGGGTTGAATTTTCAAAAATGGGCATTTTGTCCATCCTCTGCACAAAGACTGGGAACAATTGGAGAGATCTGGTGTTGAAATTCTCCGCACTTCCGTGCCAAAGAATAGCTTCTAGTTATGGTCAATTTTGACAAAATAAAATTTTGAGCAGGATAGATTTTGAGAAGTTGAATTTTCATGTCCTATGGTACAGGCCCTAATTAACAAAGAAAACGATTCCAGAAAACCTGACAAATGATACTCTCCATGAAATAATGATTTGTCTTGCCCGACTGACCTCGCACAAATTTAGATATGTTGAGTAGCTTGTCAGATCACTTTTGAAAAAAAAAAATTGGGTAGCCTTGGATTTTTGGAGCTTGAAAGGCCTCCAACAAGTACACACGTATTCAAGCTAGTTGGTATGTATCAATGCGGGCAATTCTAGTGAGACTTAGATATCAGACAGCCAATCAAGGCAACTTTATCTGGGACAATGTCAATCCATTTTTTTTTACCAGTGGTGCTGAACAATAAAAAAACCAGGCGAATTGAGTGATGGAATGGTTTGCGCATTATGTGTTTACAGTTCAAGTGAAAGCATGGAACAAAAGTATGAAAGAATAAAAACCAAGAATAAGAAGCTCGGATAGACAATGTGATTCCAAGATACTTACCCGTACACCAAAAAAAAATCACAAATGTCAATCTAGCTCGGCGGTGGGATTGGCAAGGTCGAGATATCTTTGTCTGCGGAGGGGGTCGAGTGCGATGAGACGGTCGAGTAGATGGACATGCTCTACGGGGCGAGCCCGGATGAGAGCGGCGATGGCCCATTTAGCGTCGGGTTCGACTTCGAGTAGCTCAGCGATCGAAGCGTACTCGGCCGCCTGGATCTGCTCGTCTTGCGCTGGAGTGGCAATTGAATATCATCCACAGGCACGACAACTTAGCTTCCCTTTCCCACATCTTCTTGAGTATAAAGGTCCGACTAACTTTGACTCAGCAACCAGCGGTGGAACAGCCATGCGCTCTGGTCATTGGGGTCGATCCAAAGCGCCCCACGAACCCATTCTAACTCGGTAGCCAAGATCTCTTCTTTCTCCTTCCGACCCTGACCGTCATGATTATCATGAGTCTGATTGTATTGATCCAGTCGGGATTGTAAGAGTTTGGAGCGATAGTGCCAGGCAGAAAAGTTTGAAAAGTTCGCCTCGATCTGCTGTCCGCTGAATGCCAGTTCATCGGCATCGAGGCTCTCCGACGGCTGACTCTGCTTGATTCTCGATATCACGTAGCGCCGATAATCCCAGGCATGAACTGTGGTGAGAAGGATCCGTGAGTATGATCAGCCCGACGCGTTCTTGTGGAAATCTAGAGCGTCGCGCAGGTCGCTTACAGTTCCGTCCGTCGAGCTTAAACAGCTTCTCAAGCAGGGCTAATTCGGCCTGCCAGTCCGCCTCAGTCATCTGGCCCAGAACCCACTTCCGGTGCTCCCAGATTGGATAGGCCTTCGGATTGCGCTGAAAGGATGCCAGCGTCAGAGGGAGTTCATCCCGAAGCGCGCTTTCATAGCACTCGTTGGCTTGATCGGAGTCTACTTGAGAGCGAAGAGTAAGCAGACAGTGTCTTCGAAATGACCAAGCTGTCACGTGTTCGGGATTGATTCTCAGGACCATCGTGCTCAGCGAAAGAGAGTCGGACTCCGAGTACCCTTTGAGTGCATGCTGTCAAAGATGAAAAGGGTTAGTGCGGGGGCGGCTGGGCAATAGAGGAATGCCAACGGCACTGAACTCGGCCCAGCAGCTCCTGGTTCAGCCGCTTGTACTCGGCCAGCTGAGCGTCCTCCTCGGCCGTCAACGGTCTGGGCTGTGAAGGGGCCCCCTTGCTCCTCTTGACGCCATGCTGAGGATCGGTAACGTTCAGGATGGAAGTAAGATCGATAATCGTCAGAGCGACTGGAGCAAGGATATCAAATAAGTCTTTGGAAAGCAAAAAGGAAGATGCAGCGGAGGTGACTTACCATTCTACTGGATGATATTTGATGAGCCAAGTCCTATGTAGTCCGTTGTGGAGGTCGATGTGATGGTCTTGCGATCAAGGACCGGGGGGAACTCACAAGAGGGAGCACGAGGTCCCCGAACGCTCAATGCCCCGATCGGGAAGCTCCCGAACCTATCAAAGCCCTTGAGCCCTAGGTCAGGATGCAAGTGGGTCGGGTCGACCCGCCGGGTACCCGAGACCCGGCGGGTCACGGGGCGGGTTCGGGCAGGCTAGGATTGGAAATTGACCCGGCCCGGATTTAACCCGACGGGTCGGTGGGGCGGGTATGGTCAGGACGGAATGCATTCGGGTCGGCTTGAGATTGACTGAATTATGTACTTGATTAAAAAGAAAGTGATTTTTGCTGGGTTGACCCGGACCCGACCCGAGACCCGACCCGACCCGACCCGAGGCACTGTGTATTTGGGCCGGGTTTGGTCAACATTTTACAATTTTTGCCCCGACCCGCCCCGCCCCGAGGATTTGGCGGGGCGGGTTTGGTCACTGTTTTTTGACCCGAACCCGGCCCACTTGCATCCTGAGCCCTAGGGTGGCAATGAGAGTTTTTGGTGGTGAAAAAATCCCAGGCATCATCCTCTCCCAATATTGGATTCCTGTTTGACCAATAGCGCCATGAGTATGATGTCTACCATCCCAAGGAACATGAACCTTCTCTTGGTGTTTCAACACATCCAAAAAGCCAGCTGGCAAGTCAGGCCATCATTTTCCTAACCATCTAGTGGGACAAGCTAAATTTGGAATCTAACTGGATGTTAAATGTGTACATGTCACATGAATAGTCCATACACTATTCTATTTTGCATCCCGTTTGGGCAGAAACATTCTCTAACAATGATAACAACCACAACTCAAGAAAAAAAAAACATCAGCCATTGCAATGTGTTGCACTACACTTTAGTCTTGAAATCTGCTCTGTTTTGATGGTCCCATGGTCATTATAAGTGGCCCATTAGGAAATGAGACAGGGATCCTAAAAGCAGGCATCTGCTGCATATATAGCTTGTAACATGGTCTGCCATTGGACACAGAAGAATCCATGCAAGTCTTCTTTCATTAAGAAGGACAAGATAGCAACCCAAGATCAAGGCATTCTATGTGAGCCGATTTACATTAGTCTCCACTCATGAAGTCATTGTATATACATATCTATATGTAAAGATATGACAGAACATTTCTTTTCTTTTGCATCATTATTGTCATCATCCAACACTACCCTACCAGCCAGTGCCACCCACCCAACAAAAAAAAGAAAGACAAAGAACAAAATAAAATGGAGGAGGAAATGAGAGATAATAAGTTAGTTTTTTTTAAATGTAAGGTACAGAGGAGGAAAGGAGGGATGCAGGAATATATATGAGAACTAAACTCTTGAAAAAGTAAGAATAGGATAAGGTAAGGTAAGATGAGATAAAAAAAACTGTAACCAAGATGTCTTGAGAAAAGAAGGTCAGATGTGATATATAAAAAAAAGATTGCAAGAAAGACAAAAATGAGTGATATGGTATTTGGAAAGACACGCATGTGAATGGTGCATATATGTAAGTATTGATAGATTATAAAAAAAAAATTAGTAGCAACAATCATAAATTAAGTGCCGAGATTTAAAGGGTATATAAATATGTGATAATGCGAGTAGAGTCAAAGTTCACGTGTATATATACATAGTAGGTAAAATTCAACAAAAAAAGGAGGGTCCATTTTTGACAAACAGAGGGCCAACAAAAAAAGGGGGGGGGGAGGAGGAGTGTATAGATCAAGACTAATGAGAGTCAATAGTTGAAGTCCTACGAGTTTTGAGTGCATGCAAGACGTCTTTGAGTTCAGTGACGATCCCAGTCTGACCCAAAGACGAAGAAGAAGGAGCAGACGGAGACGAAGAAGAAGGGGGATTGAGGTTCAGGAAAGAATGGGGGCGAGAGCGAGGTTGGAAGGAGGCTGATTCCCGACGACGCCGGGTGAGTTCAGCCTGTTCTTCCGCCGAGAGTTGGGGAGGTTTATGATTTGAGTGACCAGGTAGTGCAGTGCTACTCCTTCGCTCTGGCCGACGTCCAACCGGCTCGAACCGCATTCCACTCCGTCGGTCAGCTTTGGGGACGGGCGAGACGGCGCCTGCCAGAAGTTCTTCGAGGCCTGGTGGGGGTGCCATTGACTTGGCCCGAACGGTTGAGGCTAGAAGCGGGCCGGACTCATCCTCGCCCTCCTCGTCAGGGCCTTCGCTCTCAAACATGCCTCCCGGACCATGCTCACCGACGGGGGTCAAGAGCTCGGTGGAATATATTGACGAGGCTCGCCCGGAGCTCAAGCTCATACTGCCTTCGTTGCTGTCGAGCGAGTGCGGCCGTAGCCGGCTGCGTCCCGGCGTGGACACCTTTTCACCCTCTACAACCACCCGGATCTTGCTTCGACTCTCGTCCCACTCCCGCGCCAGACTTTCTAGGTCGGCCCGGATCGACTCGTGTACACTGATTGCACGTTGACCGTGCGATTCTCCCTGGGTCTCCTTCTCGAGCTCCTCTACGCATACTTTCATCTTTGCTGATATCGTCCGCAGGGCCAAATCCATCACCTGCATCTGATTCAATAGATCCCCATGCCGTTTGGCTTTCTTGTCGGCCTCTGGGATCGGCGGCCCAAAGTCTCGAACCTCCTTCGCTTTGGCACTTTCCTCTTCCTCTACTTCTCTGCGAATCGAGCTGCGGTTGGTTGGACCGTTGGAGCTTGATCTGGCTACCGGAGTGGTATCAAAGGAGCCTGGCCCAAACTCGGCAGTCATACCTGCTGTCAATTCTCCACCCAGGCTTTCGACGGTCTTCAGTAGACCCTGAACAGTTTCCAGCGTGTCTTGCCACATGGCCAAGGTGTTTGGTGTAAAGAGAGTGAAATCCAACGCCAGGAGACAACACATTAATCGTTTGCGAGAGATGTGCATCCGCTCAAAACTATTCTGAAGTGAAGCCAGAGAGTACGGCACGACACGCTCGGTGACAGGTGAATTGGGCTCCTCAAAGTGATTGGTTGGACTGGATGGGGAGTGTATCACAGGACGCAGCTCGGGTGATCGACGGGCATGTGAGATGGGGCTGGATGATGACAAGGTGCGAAAGGATGTGGCAGACATCGAGCAAGGCCTGGGCTTAGGAGACCGTCCGACAGGTATCAAGAGTGATGAGCGCCTTCCATCGGTACCAGCAGGTGTGGGCGAATGGGTAACATGAAAGGAAACCGGGCGGGATCCAGGAGAGCGACGTTGATTGGGTTCGTCTGTCGGACTGAAGCCTTCGCTGGATTTAAGTTGATACTCATACGATTGGGATGGTGTACCAAAGCTATTTCGACAGCGTGGTTTTCGGGAAGCCAGTGGAGCAAGTTTGTGAGTTTCAAGATGAGCCAGATGAGGTTGAGATTCAAGTTTTGAAGCATTGCTAGGTGATGAGGGGGCTTGTAGTGAGAATCTTTTAGAGTTGGGTGGGGTGGAGGTGAGATGCGAGTGTTCATTTGATGTGACCGGTGAGAGGAGTAGTGCGTTATCGTGGATTCGAGAATGCAAACTGGCGCGCCATGCTTGACGACGGGCACGCTCGCTGGTTGAGCCACGGAGACTGGATTGAGGTTCTTGAGATGAAAGACGAGAACAGCCATACATTTCCATGAGTGCTGATAGAGTCGATGAGCCGGCAGAGGTAGGTTCAATAGTCGAAGCAGGGTTCACAATCACTGATTCTAGTTCGACAGCGGTGCTTTCAAATTCATGCCTGGCTTGATCAAGTACTCGTTGCAAGACCTTGCGGACCCCTAGAGCATGTAAGGTATCCTGAGATAGGTCTGGTGTATTGGGATTAGATTGATGTGCTGATGAGGGGCCAGCAAAGGGGAAAGCAGCGGTCTCGAGGCGAGAGACTGGAGGCATTGGGTTTGATCTGGGAATTTTGTGATCGAGGAAGGTCAGTTTACATCAAACAGACATAATATCTCTGTCGAAAAAAAAAAAAGGATC